GGACACTGAAGCTGAACGTGAGATTGAAAGACACGTCACAGAAGAATTCATGGCTCGACACAAAATGCAGCTGAGAAACAACAGGTAGAAGTGGGAGAGACTGATTTCAGAAAGCATATCGGAACCACAGTCGACTGATGCAGTTTGGTATTTTACGAAGATTGTTGACAGTTTTATGAAAGATCTGAACTGTTTTATGAGTTTTCTGAGTTTTTGCAGTATTCCGAGTTTCTGAGATTTTTTGAAGTACCGAGTTTATGAAGTTTTTGAAGTATTGCGTTATGTGTTCTGTAGCTGTTTATTTGTCGTTCTGATGGTCACCGTGATGAATTACGAGTGGGAATATGAGATTTATAAACACTTGAAGAACTTTTGTTAAGTTAAAAATCATCATTCTATCAATGTGCAGAAGCCTGTACTTTTCCACTTTATGTTTTAGTCTATCTGAAGGCCAAGCATAAATGGACCGTGGCAGCTGCTGATTGGAGGTCTCCAAGCTCCGCTCAGTATAATTACACTGCTTCTTAGTATCTGTGATTTTGTGCTTTGTTCGTGCTGTCTCTACATCGACAATAAAAATGTCTTCTGTCTGAATTAAAGGGACGCGATCCAGACTTTGCATCTTTCAGTAAACTATTGCGTTACTTTTTCGTTTAGTTCTGGACCCATAATTGCAACCCGACGTGCGATATTTACCTTTAAACAGTGCCAATATTTCAATCTAAGAAAAGTCTGTTTTGCTGCTGACTCGCTCCCTGTACACTTATCTTTCTGTCTGTGCAGTAAAGGCCATTAGACTGTGGAAACCCACGGTGACGAGCGGTCGAGGTGGTGAAGCACTGGACTTCAGTCCAATCAGAATTAAACATATACATCATAATAAATCAAGTGGACAATAGTTTGGTAAGGCAAAAAATGTTTTATGCCCGATAGTTTGTATACAACACGCAAACTATGAGTTATGAAGTCTAACTTAATTTAAGCTAACCCTAATTAAATGAAGACCTCAAAAAAAAAAAAAAAAAAAAAAAAAAAACTCCTCTGTTTTGCTGCAGCCGGCTGCATCCAATTTCTAAAATCAACCGTCTTACACTTCACCTCTCTTTCTTATCATTCCTATAGTAATTGAAAAATTACCCTATGTGCATTTTAGATTATGTAAAAATGTGTTATATGTATGTTAGCCAAACCTGTTGCTGTCCTTAGCAGATAAACCAGGAAGAGCAAGGAGCTTATCGATGGAATTGTATGCAGCCGACTTCTGCGCTCACATGTGCTCCTCTGTGGCTGACCTCACGGTGATACAAGCCGTGGTTGAGCGCGATTAAGACCCATATTTGTTTCAAAAACACAATTTATGAGCCATCCTCTCAACTGTAGACATGTGGATTGTAAAGGAAATATGATTTACATCAGCCAATAATTGCTGAGAGGTTTTCTCATCCTCCCTTCTCTCATGACAACACGTTCATTGTGCGTCTTGAGTAACGCGCAGTAACGGGATGTCGGAAATGATAACGGCGTCATAGTTACTGTCAAAGTAATTAGTTAGATTACTCGTTACTGAAAAAAGTACTAACGCCGTTACTAGTAACGCCGTTATTCCCATCACTGGCAATAGCAGATGTATTTTGAACACCAAACCCCAAAAGCTGTATATCATTTTAAAGCTTATTTTCTTTATGTAAACTACATCAGACTTTGCATTCAAAAGATATAACACATAATGTGGGCACAAAATAAATCAATTCCGAAATTTTTTTACCTTTGGGCTTGTGCTGTACAAATAAATCAGCTCTCCTCCCAGCTTGCAATACATCATTCTCTCTGGAACAGTCCAAAGGAAAATTATATCCATTTGTATTTCCCAAAGTAAAATCCATTCTGCAGAAATAATCCAAAAATGTGCATTTATCTTTAGCGAAAAAAAAGAGCACAGATGTTACTCTTTCACTTTTAACGGACTTTTAGCTTTGTTTTTCACCCAAACATCTGGTATCTACGTGTTCCTTAGCTCCTTATCTTTCAAATGAGACTACTCCCGAAAAGCTAGACCAATTTTTGGGTCTGCAATAGCTCCCGTAAGTACAGCTAGTGCTGCTGTTTGCGCATGGTTCACGGATCTTTGTTGTGATCCCAACTTGTTTGCTTTTACTTCCGGGATTTACGATTGACATGTCCTTGTAGCCAATGAGGAAAGCTTTCGAACAAGGGGTGGGACAATGGTGTCCTGTCTTATGTTGTGCCTGGACAATTGTGCGTAATGGAAGCCAAAAGACGCTCTCGAAGCTGCAATGAATTTACACACACATAAAAAAATAACTTTGACATTTAAAAAAGAAAAACACACATAGATTAGTAACTTATAAGTACCAATAATAAAAAATATTGTTTTTATGATGATTAAATGTAAGTAAAGATATTTGGCACAATTTGGCACACTTGTGCCAAATTGTGCCACTTGTGCACTACTTGATGAAAAGGAGAAACTGCATAAAAACTATAAAACTTAGAAGTCTGAAACTTTAGACAGTTGTTGTCAACAACACAATGGGCCTTTAGAAATTGAAAATGTTAGGCGAGGCTAAAAAAATTGTTTTTTTTTCCCTAACTTCAAAGGATGCAGAGGAAAATAGGAATGACAAACATTATTTTAGTGTTTTTTTACATAAACTAGAAGGCTCTAGCTTTAAAATGATGCATCACACAAGCATGTGAGATGTAAGATGTGTTTTTAAATAAGCAAAGACATTTGGGTATGCCCAACCATTGTGCACGAGCCAAAATGAGGCGGATGTTAAGAGGTTAAAGTTTTACTTCTTTGCTTCCCAAAACGTATAGACATCTGTCTGACCTTAAATATAAAGAATTCCCATCTACAACAATAGTTACCAATATTTACATCATATCTGATTTCTGTTATCAAAATCTTAACTTGGTTGCAGTATTCCTGGTTTTTCAATAAATCTGCATTAAATTTCCAGTATGCATTCCTTTTGTTAGTATTTATGTTTGGTTTTAAATTAAGATTAAGGAGACAGTGATCAGTTAACGGTGCATTTGAAATAGTTATCTCTGAGACGTGGTTACACAATTCAGGGGTAATTAACCATAAATCAATCCGAGACCTTATTGCTCCATTAGGCTTGGGATTTTTGTTTCTCCATATATCAATCAATGAAAAAGTGTTACTAAATTCTAATAAAGTTATATTTACTACGAACAAATGCACACTTCGTAGAAGTGTGTAGGGTGCAGTGTGGGTATTGGGACTGGGCCATAGAGACAGACCCTTCTCCATGGATGTATTATAATAACTGGATAGGATATTACTAGCTTGTAGCTGAATAACTCATGTGCTCAGGGGATTCTCGCGGCACTGCAGACTGAACCAGACTAAATTCACGCGGGCTACCCAGAAATTTTCCCCATAGAACTCAATGCACATTAAAACAGCTCAACCTCAGCTGACAGAGAACCTACAGCTTTAATAAAGGTCGGATTTTGTGGGGACTTTAGTGTCCCTTGTCATCCTGAACTTTTTTTCTTCTTAAATCCTTCATTTTTGTTTAAATCCACACTTTAGTGCCACAAACTCTGCTCCTCTGGCTCTCGCTCTAACTCCTGCTCTGATGAACTGCTCTGATTGGTCAGAGCGCGGCCGAGCCCCTCTGTGCACGTGCGTGAGACCCACACACGCGTGTTTGGCGCAACGCATTATGGGAGATCATCCACTGAACAGAACCGGGAGGACCAGACGATGCCCAAATACAGGCGAGTTTCCCATAGATCTTTGCGAGTTTCAGGCAACTTCCGCTAATCTTTTCAGCCCCCATGCCGTCACAAAGCGCCACTGAGCACTGTCACTTCCGTATTCGTCCCGGAAACCGGATTTGTCCGGAAGTTCAGTTTGATCCAATGAGCATACGCAGCAGTAGATTACGTCACGGAATCTGGACGGAAGCGGAAGTAAATAAAAAAAACTACCTATTCATGCCTAAACTTAACCATCCATTCCCATAAAATAACCCCAGCCCAGCCTTAACCCTAACCTTAACCATCTTACTCAGACACCTAAACTTAACCAGTCACCACTTAAAGACATATTAAACTTTTTGACATGCGCAAACTGAACTTCCGGATGAATCCGGGAGTGACAAGCACAACCATTCATTTGAATAGGGCGCCATCTTGGATCGCCGGGGCTTGCCCTTCTCTCACCACTTCCGCGTCCGCTGTAGGAGCATATGCGCCCCCTGCAGGCCGCGGGGAGACCTGCCATTAACTTTGTATTGTTATATTGTTAGAATGAGTTTGACCAGAAAGAGAAAAGAAGAGAGACCAGAGAGAGAGACCAGAGGAGAGACCAGAGAGAGAGAGTAGGGAGAGACCAGAGAGAGAGACCAGGGAGAGACCAGAGAGAGAGACCAGGGAGAGACCAGAGAGAGACCAGAGAGAGAGACCAGGGAGAGACCAGAGAGAGACCAGAGAGAGAGAGACTAGGGAGAAACCTTTCCCTGACCCTTCAATAATGATGAGACAGCAGTTTTTGTACAAAAGGATATTTATATTCTTTATTTAAACCTGATACAAACATGTTTATGTACAAACCCTTATTTCCGACATAAAACAATTTACATTTGTGCAAAAGAGCGACAGACTCCAGGTCCCCTGAAGACCTCTGCTCTGAACCAGAGAGAGACCAGAGAGAGACCAGAGAGAGACCAGAAAGAGACCAGAGAGAGACCAGAAAGAGACCAGAAAGAGACCAGAGAGAGACCAGAAAGAGACCAGAAAGAGAGACCAGAGAGAGATTTCACCAGCAGAACACCAGAAACAGTGTTGTTACAGATTCAAGACGAAATCCATGTAAAAACCTGAAACTCATTATGAAATGAGAGAAATACAACTTGTGCTGTAGTCCATGCCCAGTCTTGGTCCAGTCCTGGTCCTGTCCTGCACCAGTCCGGCTCCAGTCCGGCTCCAGTCCTGGTCCGGTCTCACCACTTCCCTGGTATGGGGGTCCCACATTCGTACCAGGACACATAGTTGATGTTCGAGCGTCCCCCGATGGAGCCGAAGTGAACTGGCTCTTGGCGCAGCGCTCTGTAGAAACCTGCAGGAGACACAGGTCTGAGTCCAGGTCTGGTACCAGGATTGTCCTGGTGTTTGGTCTGGTCCTGGTGCAGTACCATGTGCGTCCCGCTAGTGTCTGGTCTGGTCCTGGTCTCTGGTCTCAGTCTTGGTCCTGGTGCAGTACCATTTGTTTCCTGCTGGTGTCTGGTCTGGTCCTGGTCTCTGGTCTCAGTCCTCGTGCAGCACCATGTGTGTCCTGCTGGTGTCTGGTCTGGTCCTGGTCTCTGGTCTCAGTCCTTGTGCAGTACAATGTGTGTCCTGCTGGTGTCTGGTCTGGTCCTGGTCTCTGGTCTTAGTCCTTGTGCAGCACCATGTGTGTCCTGCTGGTGTCTGGTCCGGTCCTGGTCTCTGGTCTCGGTGCTCGTGCAGTACCATGTGTGTCCTGCTGGTGTCTGGTCTGTTCCTGGTCTCTGCTCTCGATCCTTGTGCAGTACCATGTGTGTCCTGCTGGTGTCTGGTCTGGTCCTGGTCTCTGGTCTTAGTCCTTGTGCAGCTCCATGTGTGTCCTGCTGGTGTCTGGTCCGGTCCTGGTCTCTAGTCTCAGTGCTCGTGCAGTACCATGTGTGTCCTGCTGGTGTCTGGTCTGTTCCTGGTCTCTGCTCTCAGTCCTTGTGCAGTACCATGTGTTTCCTGCTGGTGTCTGGTCTGGTCCTGGTCTCTGGTCTCAGTCCTGGTGCAGTACCATGTGTGTCCTGCTGGTGTCTGGTCTGGTCCTGGTCTCTGGTCTCAGTCCTAGTGCAGTACCATGTGTGTCCTGCTGGTGTCGCTCTCCTGTATTTCCGTCTAAGAACGAGTCGACGAACTGACAGTGGTCCTCTCCGAAGCCCTGCTGGTCTCCGATGTGGAAGAACTGACCTGCACCAGAGACTGTGAGCACTTCTCTCTCCTGAGCGGAAATAATCCACCCCAACCGTGTGTGTGTGTGTGTGTGTGTGTGTGTGTGTATATATTGTTGTGATTTGTATTTCTGTGTGTGTGAGTCTCTCTGTGTATGTGTGTTGTGCGTAGTTGTGTTGCTGACCTCCCAGTGTGTCGCTCAGGTAGATCTTGTATCTAAGAGAGTTGCAGAGCTGGACGCCCACAAACTTGCGGTACCAGGTCCTCTTCACAAACTTGCGCCCCCTGCAGTCTGAGGCTGGAGCTGCGGCAAAGGGGAACTCTGTCCAGAGGGCAGCTTTCCCAGGAGCACGCTCACTGACGCGCGGGTCAGCTGGAAGACATTTTGCCTCCGATGAACAGACATTTCAAGATAGATAAGATAGACCTTTATTTGTCCCACAGTCGGGAAATTGGTCAACGTTGTGAACATTACAGCAGAATATAAGAAAGGAGGAAATAAGAGCACACATCAAACACCAAATTGGCTCACATGAGACATTTTGCCTCAGATGAAGGCTCTCACCAGACTCGGTGCTGAACTCCACTGGCTCAGACTCGGGTCCAGACCCAAGCTCGTTCTTTGGCTTCACTTTGAACTCATAACTGCAACACAGATGAACACGAAGGTAATCTAAGGCTATGCAAACATGATGCTATTGTGCTGCTAAAGTGATGCTATTATTTTAAAAACATGTTGATAACACGATACTAACCTGTTGATAACAGGATGCTAACATTTAGCTAGTATGATGCTAACATGGGGCTAGCATGATGCTAACATGGTGCTAGCATGATGCTAATATGGTGCTAACATGATGCTACCATGTCGATAACATGATGCTAACCAGGTGCTAACATGTTGATAACATGATGCTAACCTGATGCCAACATGGTGCTAAGGTGATGCTAATATAGGGCTAACATGGTCCTATCAGCTGTGTTCTGACCTGGACTCCGGTCGCAGGTTCTCCACTGCAGTGTGAGTTTGATTCGTCGTCAGAACTGAGACTTTTTCTCCGTCTGGACCTTTAGCCGTGGAGATCACTTCATACTCTGGAGAAGAAGACCGGAATCAGACCTGATCCAGACTTGGATCAGACCTGATTCAGACTTGGATCAGATCTGGTCCAAACCTGGTTTAGGGTTTTACCTGTCGTATCGTTACTTTTGTCCCAGTCCAAAATGACGAATGACGGACAGCCCTCCACGGTTACCACGGTGACGTTAGAGGGTGGAGATTTGGGGGGAGCGGAGGCTTCTGATTGGTGTTCCTTGCTGTTGTCGGGCGGAAAATAGTCCAGAGAGGAGGTGATGGAGCAGGGTTCATCCGGCCGTTTACCGGTCCGATACACCACATGAGGCGCTGTCGAGCCAGAGGAGAGGCTTTAAAGTTACATACCCCAGCTTTAGAGTTACATACGCCAGCTTTTAAGTTACATTCCACAGCTTTAATTTAATGTTATCTGTCACCTGTGTATCTCTTCTTCCCCTGAGCGTCCACGTCGCTGGAGGGCTGAGGCTGGAAAAGCTCTGACTCTTCCCAGGACGGGTGCCTCAAGGCTGGGGTCGTACTGAGGGACTCCCCCTGGGTCTTGGAGCCGCCAGAGGGTCTGGTGGGTCTGAAGGGTCTGGTGGTGGTAGTAGTAGGTGCTGGTGTAGTGGTAGTAACAGTCGTACTAGTAGCAGTGGTAGGAGTATTAGTAGTAGTGGAGGTGGTGGAGGTCTTGTGTGACTTGGGTTTTATCCTGAAGAGCCTCAGCTGGTCGCCATCTTTTAAATTCTCGATTGTATCTGAATAATCACAAAAACATTGAAATCACGTTAGCTTCAAACCAGCTCAGCACAGGAGTGATGTGCTCCAACAGCCTGTTTCAGCAGAGTAGAGTAGAGCAGTGTAATGTAAAGCAGCAAGTAGAACAGTGTAGAGCAGAGCAGTATAATGTAGAGCAGTGTAGAGTAGAGTAGAGCAGTGTAGAGAAGTGTAGAGCAGTGTAGAGTAGAACAGTGTAGAGTAGAGTAGAGCAGTGTAGAGTAGAGCAGTGTAGAGAAGTGTAGAGCAGTGTAGAGTAGAACAGTGTAGAGTAGAGTAGAGCAGTGTAGAGTAGAACAGTGTAGAGTAGAGCAGTGTAGAGAAGTGTAGAGCAGTGTAGAGTAGAACAGTGTAGAGTAGAGCAGTGTAGAGTAGAGCAGTGTAGAGTAGAGCAGTGTAGAGAAGTGTAGAGCAGTGTAGAGTAGAACAGTATAGAGTAGAGCAGTGTAGAGTAGAGCAGTGTAGAGTAGAGCAGTGTAGAGAAGTGTAGAGCAGTGTAGAGTAGAACAGTGTAGAGTAGAGCAGAGGGACCTCACCGCTGTGGAGGTCAGAGGTCAGGACCAGGTTTGGACGTTTGTTCAGAGCGATGGACGGACGAACTCCAGAACCTGAAATATACGACACATACAGTACTCATTCAAAGAGTTTTTTATTTTTATGAAAATTGCAGATTCACACGTACTAACAACAGAAAATATGTTTTATATTCTCGGTTCTTCAAAGTAGCACCTTTTGCTCTGATACTGCTTCACACACTCTTGGCATTCTCTTGATAAGCTTCAAGAAGACCTGAAATGGTCTTCAACAGTCTTGAAGGAGTTCCCAGAGATCCTTAGCACTTGTTGGCCCTTTCGCCTTCACTCTGTGGTCCAGCTCACCCCAAAACCATTTGGATTGGGTTCAGGTCTGGTGACTGTGGAGGCCAGGTCCAGAGAGAGAGAGAGACCAGAGAGAGACCAGAGACCAGACAGAGACCAGAGAGACCAGAAAGATTGGAGAAACCAGAGAGACCAGAGAGACTAGAGAGAGACCAGAGAGAGTCCAGAGAGACCAGAGAGAGACCAGAGGGACCAGAGACACCAGAGACTAGAGAGAGACCAGATAGACCAGAGAGACCAGAGAGACTAGAGAGAGACCAGAGAGAGTCCAGAGAGACCAGAGAGAGACCAGAGGGACCAGAGACACCAGAGACTAGAGAGAGACCAGATAGACCAGAGAGACCAGAGAGACTAGAGAGAGACCAGAGAGAGTCCAGAGAGACCAGAAAGAGACCAGAGGGACCAGAGACACCAGAGACCAGAGAGAGACCAGATAGACCAGAGAGACCAGACTCCAGACAGAGATTTCAGAGAGACCAGAGATTTCAGAGAGACCAGAGAGAGACCAGAGAGAGACCAGAGAGACCAGAGAGAGTCCAGAGAGAGTCCAGAGAGACCAGAGGGACCAGAGACACCAGAGACCAGAGAGAGACCAGATAGACCAGAGAGAGACCAGAGAGAGAGACCAGACTCCAGACAGAGGCCTGAGAGACCAGAGATATCAGAGAGACCAGAGAAGAGACAGAGACCAGAGAGACCAGAAAGATTGGAGAAACCAGAGAGACCAGAGAGACTAGAGAGAGACCAGAGAGAGTCCAGAGAGACCAGAGAGGGACCAGAGACACCAGAGACCAGAGAGAGACCAGATAGACCAGAGAGAGACCAGAGAGAGACCAGACTCCAGAGAGACCAGAGATATCAGAGAGACCAGAGACCAGACAGAGACCAGAGAGACCAGACAGCTTGGAGAAACCAGAGAACAGAGAGAGACCAGAGAGACTAGAGAGAGACCAGAGAGAGTCCAGAGAGACCAGAAAGAGACCAGAGGGACCAGAGACCAGAGAGAGACCAGATAGACCAGAGAGAGACCAGAGACCAGAGAGACCAGACTCCAGACAGAGATTTCAGAGAGACCAGAGATTTCAGAGAGACCAGAGAGAGACCAGAGAGAGACCAGAGAGACCAGAGAGAGACCAGAGAGACACCAGAGAGAGACCAGAGAGAAACCAGAGAGGGACCAGAGAGAGACCAGAGAGAGACCAGAGACAGACCAGTGACCAGAGATAGACCAGAGACCAGAGAGTGACCAGAGAGTGACCAGAGAGAGACCAGAGAGAGACCAGAGAGAGACCAGAGAGAGACCAGAGAGAGACCAGAGAGTGAGCAGAGAGAGACCAGAGAGTGACCAGAGAGAACAGAGAGAGATCAGAGACCAGATAGAGACCAGAGATACCAGACGGACCAGAGAGAGACCAGAGAGACTCTCCTCTGTTCAAATGTCCCTTGTGTCTCTCTTCCACATGTTTTATTCTTACATAACTTTTCTCCAAAAGTAAATGAAAAGTTCAAACAGTTTCATCGATGTTTGAGATCAGACACAGATGTCCCCGAGACACCGAGGAAGAAGTGATAGTAATAGTAGCAGGTTTGAGATGAGTACAGGAGATCGTTTCCAGACTTTGGTCCAGGTCCAGACTCTGGTCCAAGTCCAGACCTGGTCCAGCTCCAGACTCTGGTCCAGGTCCAGACCTGGTCCAGTCTTATATAAGTTGAACTGCAGCTGGATTCCACTTTTACAGTTTTCATAAAGCGTTGGCTCCAGACGTTTACAGCTTTTGGCTTCAGTCCAGAACATTCAAACATCTGAGAGTCTCCAAACATGAGCTCTGAGAAACACTGCTGCAGGTCATCACCTCTGACACTTGTACCTGTGCTCTCTCACACTCACATTAGTAAGTAAGTCATCTTTATTTATATAGCGGCTTTCAGAGACCAGATTCAGAGAGAGCTTTACAACAACTATTTTTCTGTGAGCATTTGTCTCTCACTCCACACATGGGAGTGAGGTCGCCTTCAGGACATGTTTTTAAATATGACTCTGATTCTGATTTAGGAAACCAGTGTAACAGGCCGTTTTATACCCCCTGGCCAGTTTATACCCCGGGTATAAAAAAGATCTATAGTCCAGATTATACACCGGGGTATATTCTGGCCTCGGCTATTTTTACCCCACTTAGGCCAGTTTAACCCCCCTCTTGTTTTATCTAATAATAATTAAAAAAATTAAACTTCAAAACTATTTTTAACCAGTTAGAAGTAGTTTGTTAATTACCCTATAGCAGTGTCTCCCAAAGTGGGGTCTGGTATTGCAGGGGGGCCACGAGAGGTCATATAAAAAATAAAAATGTTTTATATAATTATTGTATGTTAAATTAATAATATTTTGTTTGTAATATTAAAATATTTGAGTTCATTATTTGACTTGAATAATCAAATTGTAATCATTTTTGTATTACAAAATGGGGTGCATCATTTACATGTTTGTAGCAGAGGCTATTTCCCCAAATAAAATAACGAGAAGAGCCTATTTTTAACGTTGTCTTCTTGGTTAGTAATTCAGGGGGCCGCGCAGACCCGTCAGATTTTTAAGGGGGCACTGACTGGGTGTTACTGACTTTGGGAATGGCTGCTCTATAGCCCTAATTATTAGTGTGATTGCTTTTCACACTTTGTGAGGTGATGAGTCAATGTATACTTCTCACATGAAACTTTTGAGTAGATAATAGTTATGGGCAAATGACACCGATGCTCTGGAACTTGTGTCGCTCTTTCCGAAGCAAACTGTTTCAAAACACTGCGTTGGAGCGTGTATCAAAACAACCGGTCACGTAACAAACGTGTCAGTGTCTCGGACTCTGCATCCGCTGCTTCACTCTTGAGCGTTACATCTCGCTTCCTCAGTGTGAAGCTTTCAGTAGATAAGCACTAAAGCTACAGATAAATGATCCGTCAACTGTTGCTCTACGCATAAAGTGCAGTCCTTTTGTTTCTGTAAATTAACGGAACAACGCTTTAGTATTGCTTTTCATAAGATGAAATTATTACATTTGTAATAATTGGTAATAATTGCAATGTAAGGTATGGTGTAGTACGGTGTAGTGTGGTGTAGTATGGTGTAGTATGGTGTAGTACGGTGTAGTGTGGTGTAGTATGGTGTAGTGTGGTGTAGTGTGGTGTAGTACGGTGTAGTGTGGTGTAGTATGGTGTAGTATGGTGTAGTGTGTGTAGTATGGTGTAGTACGGTGTAGTACGGTGTAGTGTGGTGTAGTACGGTGTAGTGTGGTGTACGGTGTAGTATGGTGTAGTACGGTGTAGTATGGTGTAGTATGGTGTAGTACGGTGTAGTATGGTGTAGTACGGTGTAGTATGGTGTAGTACGGTGTAGTATGGTGTAGTACGGTGTAGTATGGTGTAGTACGGTGTAGTGTGGTGTAGTACGGTGTAGTGTGGTGTAGTACGGTGTAGTGTGGTGTAGTACGGTGTAGTGTGGTGTAGTACGGTGTAGTGTGGTGTAGTACGGTGTAGTATGGTGTAGTACGGTGTAGTGTGGTGTAGTACAGTGTAGTGTGGTGTAGTACGGTGTAGTATGGTGTAGTACGGTGTAGTGTGGTGTAGTACGGTGTAGTATGGTGTAGTGTGGTGTAGTACGGTGTAGTATGGGGTAGTACGGTGTAGTACGGTGTAGTATGGTGTAATGTGGTGTAGTACGGTGTAGTATGGTGTAGTGTGGTGTAGTGTGGTGTAGTACGTGTAGTACGGTGTAGTATGGTGTAGTACGTGTAGTACGGTGTAGTTTGGTGTAGTACGTGTAGTACGATGTAGTATGGTGTAGTATGGTGTAGTGTGGTGTAGTGTGATGTAGTACGGTGTAGTATGGTGTAGTACGGTGTAGTATGGTGTAGTATGGTGTAGTACGGTGTAGTACGGTGTAGTACGTGTAGTATGGTGTAGTGTGGTGTAGTGTGATGTAGTACGGTGTAGTATGGTGTAGTACGGTGTAGTATGGTGTAGTATGGTGTAGTATGGTGTAGTACGGTGTAGTACGGTGTAGTATGGTGTAGTATGGTGTAGTATGGTGTAGTATGGTGTAGTGTGGTGTAGTGTGGTGTAGTATGGTGTAGTATGGTGTAGTGTGGTGTAGTACGGTGTAGTGTGGTGTAGTACGGTGTAGTGTGGTGTAGTACGGTGTAGTGTGGTGTAGTACGGTGTAGAATGGTGTAGTATAGTGTAGTACGGTGTAGTACGGTGTAGTGTGGTGTAGTACGGTGTAGTGTGGTGTAGTACGGTGTAGTGTGGTGTAGTACAGTGTAGTGTGGTGTAGTACGGTGTAGTATGGTGTAGTGTGGTGTAGTACGGTGTAGTATGGTGTAGTGTGGTGTAGTACGGTGTAGTATGGTGTAGTATGGGGTAGTACGGTGTAGTACGGTGTAGTACGGTGTAGTATGGTGTAATGTGGTGTAGTACAGTGTAGTATGGTGTAGTGTGGTGTAGTATGGTGTAGTACGGTGTAGTATGGTGTAGTACGGTGTAGTACAGTGTAGTGTGGTATAGTGTGGTGTAGTACGGTGTAGTATGGTGTAGTGTGGTGTAGTGTGGTGTAGTACGTGTAGTACGGTGTAGTATGGTGTAGTACGTGTAGTATGGTGTAGTACGTGTAGTACGGTGTAGTATGGTGTAGTATGGTGTAGTGTGGTGTAGTGTGATGTAGTACGGTGTAGTATGGTGTAGTACGGTGTAGTATGGTGTAGTACGGTGTAGTATGGTGTAGTACGGTGTAGTACGTGTAGTATGGTGTAGTGTGGTGTAGTGTGATGTAGTACGGTGTAGTATGGTGTAGTACGGTGTAGTATGGTGTAGTATGGTGTAGTACGGTGTAGTACGGTGTAGTATGGTGTAGTATGGTGTAGTATGGTGTAGTATGGTGTAGTGTGGTGTAGTGTGGTGTAGTACGGTGTAGTATGGTGTAGTGTGGTGTAGTACGGTGTAGCGTGGTGTAGTACGGTGTAGTGTGGTGTAGTACGGTGTAGTATGGTGTAGTACGGTGTAGTACGGTGTAGTACGGTGTAGTGTGGTCTAGTACGGTGTAGTGGTGTAGTACGGTGTAGTATGGTGTAGTATGGTGTAGTACGGTGTAGTGTGGTGTAGTAAGGTGTAGTACGGTGTAGTGTGGTGTAGTACAGTGTAGTGTGGTGTAGTACGGTGTAGTATGGTGTAGTACGGTGTAGTGAGGTGTAGTACGGTGTAGTATGGTGTAGTGTGGTGTAGTACGGTGTAGTATGGTGTAGTATGGTGTAGTATGGGGTAGTACGGTGTAGTACGGTGTAGTACTGTGTAGTACGGTGTAGTATGGTGTAATGTGGTGTAGTACAGTGTAGTATGGTGTAGTATGGTGTAGTGTGGTGTAGTACGGTGTAGTATGGTGTAGTATGGTGTAGTACGGTGTAGTATGGTGTAGTACGGTGTAGTACGGTGTAGTGTGGTATAGTGTGGTGTAGTACGGTGTAGTATGGTGTAGTACGTGTAGTACGGTGTAGTTTGGTGTAGTACGTGTAGTACGGTGTAGTATGGTGTAGTATGGTGTAGTGTGGTGTAGTGTGATGTAGTACGGTGTAGTATGGTGTAGTACGGTGTAGTATGGTGTAGTACGGTGTAGTATGGTGTAGTACGGTGTAGTACGGTGTAGTACGTGTAGTATGGTGTAGTGTGGTGTAGTGTGATGTAGTACGGTGTAGTATGGTGTAGTATGGTGTAGTACGGTGTAGTACGGTGTAGTATGGTGTAGTATGGTGTAGTATGGTGTAGTATGGTGTAGTGTGGTGTAGTACGGTGTAGTATGGTGTAGTATGGTACTGTACAGTACAGTACAGGAGTATTGGGACATTGTTATAGTTTTATCAAATAAATACAATATGGTCTATCAGCATTTAGCTATTGTATTTCTTAACTGATTTCTTACAGTACTTTGTTTTCTAGAATAGAATAGTTTATTTCATAAATCATATACATTCCCTAAATGTATTTTGTAAGAAATAAAGAAATAAATCAAATTAAAAAAAATTAACCCCCCCCCCCCTTATCTGGCCTATGGGGGGTTAAACTAGCCTAGGCCAGTTTATACCCGGGGTATAATCTGGCCTAGGCTACTTTATACCTGGGTATATACTGGTGGGGGGTTAAACTGGCCTGCTACACCGGAGCAGACATGGGAAGCGCATGCAAACTCCACACAGAAAAGCCTGGAGGTGGAGCCCAGGACCTTCTTGCTGTGATGCACATGTGCTAATCACATTACACCGGTTTTCCTCACATTACACCTGTGTTACAGACCTGGTCCGGTTTGTGATAGTGTATGTCTATCCTGGTCCAGTTTGTGATAGTGTATGTCTATCCTGGTCCGGTTTGTGATAGTGTATGTCTATCCTGGTCCGGTTTGTGATAGTGTATGTCTATCCTGGTCCAGTTTGTGATAGTGTATGTCTAACCTGGTCCGGAGCGCAGGCTCTGGTTCCGTGGAGAAATACGTGGGTGAGTTCTGTTGTGAAGAGCTGTTGATAAAAAACAACAAAACTTGTCATATTAAAACACATTTTGCTGTTCCCTTGTGCTTCATCACTTCACTCCGACACATTCCACTTCCTTGTCGTTCAAACTCTATCTTCAGTTTCTCCTCTGAATCGGCCACCAGCGCTGTATCATCCTCAAACAGTAACTACCAACTTACATTCTTGCATCACTTCTCTCACTACTCCATCCATGTTCTGAACAGCCACGTGACATCACACACCCTCGATGTAATCCCAAATTCACTCACTCTCTCCGTCCACTGCCCTCACACAAGATCCACATCCTTACTGCTCCCTCACCTACAACTCTAAACTAAACTAAACTTAAGCGTCATAAAAGATTCAACAAAAAACGTTTCACTTCTTTAAACAACATTCCACCGAAGGCGTACAAACACCTCACTGCCCACAATGCATCTGTCATCTCTATCAGACGCCTTCTTCAGATCGATAAACGCACAGAAAACGTCCGTATGTTTTTCTATAGGCTTTTCCAACACCTCACATTCACGCTGCGTCATCACCTATAGCACATACACAGTACCATTAAGCTAAAGTTAGAGATTTTATACTAGCTTCTTTATTATGCTAAAGTTAGAGATTTTATACTAGCTTCTTTATTATGCTAAAGTTAGAGATTTAATTTAATTTTAGAAAAGAGTTATTGTGATCATTTATCTTGTGTTGTGCTCCTAATTCAAACTGTTCTGTAACTGGTGATACAACACTGAAATTTCCCCACTATGGGAGGAATAAAGGATCTCTTCATATTCATTTTAATTCCCTGAGAGGGTGATGAAGTGTGTAATGAGAGGGTGATGAAGTGCTTGATGAGAGGGTGATGAAGTGTGTAATGAGAGGGTGATGAAGTGTTTGATGAGAGGGTGATGAAGTGTGTTATGAGAGGGTGATGAAGTGCTTGATGAGAGGGTGATGAAGTGTGTTATGAGAGGGTGATGAAGTGTGTTATGAGAGGGTGATGAAGTGTGTTATGAGAGGGTGATGAAGTGTGTAATGAGAGGGTGATGAAGTGTTTGATGAGAGGGTGATGAAGTGTGTTATGAGAGGGTGATGAAGTGTGTTATGAGAGGGTGATGAAGTGTGTAATGAGAGGGTGATGAAGTGTTTGATGAGAGGGTGATGAAGTGTTTGATGAGAGGGTGATGAAGTGTTTGATGAGAGGGTGATGAAGTGTGTTATGAGAGGGTGATGAAGTGTGTTATGAGAGGGTGATGAAGTGTGTTATGAGAGGGTGATGAAGTGTGTTATGAGAGGGTGATGAAGTGTGTTATGAGAGGGTGATGAAGTGTTTGATGAGAGGGTGATGAAGTGTGTTATGAGAGGGTGATGAAGTGTTTGATGAGAGGGTGATGAAGTGTGTTATGAGAGGGTGATGAAGTGTTTGATGAGAGGGTGATGAAGTGTGTAATGAGAGGGTGATGAAGTGTGTTATGAGAGGGTGATGAAGTGTTTGATGAGAGGGTGATGAAGTGTGTTATGAGAGGGTGATGAAGTGTGTTATGAGAGGGTGATGAAGTGTTTGATGAGAGGGTGATGAAGTGTTTGATGAGAGGGTGATGAAGTGTTTGATGAGAGGGTGATGAAGTGTGTTATGAGAGGGTGATGAAGTGTGTAATGAGAGGGTGATGAAGTGATTGATGAGAGGGTGATGAAGTGCTTGATGAGAGGGTGATGAAGTGTGTAATGAGAGGGTGATGAAGTGTGTAATGAGAGGGTGATGAAGTGTGTAATGAGAGGGTGATGAAGTGCTTGATGAGAGGGTGATGAAGTGCTTGATGAGAGGGTGATGAAGTGCTTGATGAGAGGGTGATGAAGTGCTTGATGAGAGGGTGATGAAGTGCTTGATGAGAGGGTGATGAAGTGCCGACTGTTGTGTGATGTGGAAACGTGAGGTATGAGAGAAAGTGAAGAAGGAAGAAATGTAATGTGATTGAAATGAAATGCTTGGACGAATGAGTGATCTGGACATGGTTTCCGGCTGTAGATAGATTCATAATGTTCTCACCGAGACGAGGAGGAAACAAGGACCGACCTCCAGGATTCTGAGGAGACAGGGTCGCAGGTCAGGGTCAGAAGTCAGAGGAGGGAGCAGCTAAAGAGTATCAGAGTACTGAGAAAAAGTATTTGAGTACAGAGTAGTATTACCAGTGCTCGACCCAGAGGGTTCCTCAGTCTGAACGTCTTAAAGGGAGGTTTGTCTGAAACAGATTCAAATGTGCAGTTATGTATTCATTCAGATTCACCTTTAAGAGAGAGGAGCCAAAGCCTTACACCACGACAGCATTGAACTAGCAGGTTAGCAATGAACTAGCAGGTTAGCAATGAACTAGCAGGTTAGCATTGAACAAGCAGGTTACCATTGAACTAGCAGGTTAGCATTGAACTAGCAGGTTAGCATTGAACTAGCAGGTTAGCGTCAAACTAACAGTGAGGGTTAGACTTACGGTTGCCACCAGTGCTGTGATAAACCGGTTTGCTCCACTCTCCACTGAAAGGCAATAACAGGTCAGATGTCAGAGAAGACAAGGTTAGGGGTCAAAGGTCAGGTCAGATGTTTAAAGTTGCGTACTGTGTGTTGTCATGGCGACTGGCCCTCACGCTGACCTCGTAGACAGAGTCTGGTTTCAGGTCGGACAGAACGGTGTCGCTGCTCGGACACCACTCATACTGCCACCTGCTGGAACGCTCTCGCCATCGCACTGTGTAGAAGCTGAGGACCAGAGAGGGACCAGGTGAGACTAGAGAGGGACCAGGTGAGACTAGAGAGGGACCAGGTGAGACCAGAGAGGGACCAGGTGAGACCAGAGAGGGACCAGGTGAGACCAGAGAGGGCCCAGGTGAGACCCAGAAGAGACCAGAAGAGACCAGAGAGAGACCAGAGAGAGACCAGAGAGAGATCAGAGAGAGACCAGAGAGAGACCAGAGAGAGATCAGACAGAGACCAGAGAGAGACCAGAGAGAGAACAGAGAGGGACCAGAGAGACACCAGCGAGACTACAGGGAGACCAGTGAGAGACCAGAGAGGGACCAGAGAAACACCAGAGAGAGCCTGGGTGAGACCAGAGATGGGAAGAGGATCATATGTATCCATACCCGTCCCTCAGACAGTGTCCCAGGATGTCCCCCAGAGGAGTGTGAGGATGAGGAGCCCAGGAGAGTAGCGCCGCTGAGGGACTGAGGGAGCGGACCAACAGTCTGAGGGAAGACTTCAGGTCCACAGTACCTAAGGAGAGAGCGACCGGGTGAGACCAGGTGAGACAAGAGAGAAACCAGAGAGAGACTAGGTAGGATCAGAGGTACCAGGTGAGACCAGACCCCATACCTGAGAAGGACCAGGGTCAGACCTGGACACGTACCTGGACCCAGACCTGAGGAGAGACCAGGACCCAGACCCGGACCTGGACCCAGACCTTAGGAGAGACCAGGACCCAGACCCGGACCTGGATCCAGACCTGAGGAGAGACCAGGACCCAGACCAGTGTGTGTACTGTGTAGAGTCTCACCAGTGCAGAGTGGGTGCAGGTCGGTCTCAGGAACAGACTGGACCGACAGCAGGTACTTGGGCTCCGCGTCTGGAACAGAACACACACAATTATACAGGTTAAAGCTGGGGGATGTGACTTTCACTTCTACAACTCTGTAATAAACCCATGTGACGAGTTCCAGGCTCTAAAACAGGTCTTGGTCTTGGTCCTGGTCTTGGTCTCAATCCTGGTCTTGTTCTCACATGTATATTTGGCCTCTGTCACATGTATAGATCAGAGAGAGGACCCCCGTCTCTCGGCCAATCAGCTGTTAGCGCAGACGTCATGTGTTTAACTTTGGTTCATGTTTCCTCTCAATGTTTACAGTAAATTTAACAAGAGATGATGGATGTGGACCAGGACTGAACCAGGCCTGAAACAGGTCTGAACAAGGTCTAAACTAGGTCTAAACAGGAATAAAGTAGGTCTAAACCAGGTCTGAACCAGGTCCGAACCAGGTCTGAACCAGGTCTGAACCTGGTCTGAATCAGGTCTGAACCAGGTTTGAATTCTGTCTAAACCAGGTCTCAAGTGGACTAATGCAGGTCTGTGTGTGTGTGTCTAGGTGTGTGTGCGTTCGTGTGAGTGTGTGTATACCTAGTTCAGTGATGTAGCTGCCCTCTGGTGGCAGACTGATGAACTGCAGGTTGTTGGTTCCGCTGCCGTAGCCGATCACATGACCCTCCAACCGGACACCCGCCGGACGCAGGAACCGGAACACGATGGTGTCAGCGGAGACGTTCACCAGGACACGCAGAGGGGAGGGGCCTGAGGGAGAGAGAGAGAGCCCTGAGAGTCACCATCTGCCTCTCTGGGTAGGGAGCCTGAGTGAGGGTGGTCCTCTCATTTGATCTAAAGATGTGACATCACAAAAACATAATGTGAAACTAGTGACAGAAAAAAAAGCTTTAGAGCCAGAACTTTGGGTTTAATACAGAAATCTATTGGTCTGAAGGTTACAGACCCCAGCTTTAAAGTCATAGACCCCATTATAGACTTTTTCCCCATAGACCCCAACGAGTGCCTTCAAAAATTCATAGCGACAAAACTAGAGTGGTCCAAAAACATTCACCCCCCTCAGCATTGACACACATGAGGAACAGAGCTTTGGGCCGAGAGCCAACTTTTGGTCCATCCTGTAAAGACATCTTTGAGCGGTCTGCCAATGCTAACATATAGCATTGGCTAATTCTTTTTCCGGGTCCACCCCCATCGGCCCGGCGTGGTATTGCAAGCATGTCAGCGCACGTCATTTTGGCCACTTTTGAAACTAGAAACAAGAAAAAAATTAATCTGCTGGCAATAGCAGATGTATTTTGAACTTCATAACCCACAAGCTATATGTCATTTTAAATCTTATTTACCTTTTGTCTTCTGCTCCTTAATTTAAACAAATTAGACTTCTCCCATCATTGCTTAGGCTCATTTGCTCTGTAAATGTCCATGAAAAAAGAATATCCACTTGTATTTTCCAAAGTGTTTTCCAAACTTGTATTTTCCATTTCTTCAGAATGGATTATCCATTCTGAAGAAATCATCCAATATGCATGTGCATTTATGTTTAGCAAAAAAAAGTTCTGAAAAAACACAGGCGCTGCTCTTTCACTGTTAGCGGACAATCAGCCTTGTTCATCACCCACAAACAGGGTATGTTCATGTTCCCCAACTCGTTAGCTACAAAATGAGAGCTTCCCTGAAGAGGTAGGAGCAGGTGTCCGCTCGCAATCCCCTTGTGAATATGACAGGCAGCATGTTAGCCAGAAGGCTAGGGAAGTGTTCTTTTACTGAATGATTGAAGTATATAGGCAATAAAAAAAGCTTCGTAGCAAGGGGTGGGACATGTTCTCACAGTACAAGCGTACTGCGCATATTTTATATGCATTTACACTACTAAAAAATTTATTTTGAAATTTTTTTTAAAACGATGACCATATAGGCTTTGAATATTGTGCCTTTGTTAGGGCATTTATACATTGAATATTTTAGGCGAGGCACAAAAAAAGAACAGGTTTTTTTCCCCCCAAACTTCAAAGGATGCAGAGTGAAATAGGAATGACAAACATTATTTTAGTGTATATTTACATAAACTTGAAGGCTCTAGCTTTAAAATGATGCCTCACACAAGCATGTGACATGTAAGATGTGTTTTTAAAAAAGCCAAGACATTTGGGTATGTCCAACTTTGTACATGAGCCAAAATGATGCAGGAGCTTAAGAGGTTAAAGTTACACACTCCAGCTTTATAGTTACAGACCCCAGCTTTAAAGTTACAGACCACAGCTTTAAAGTTACAGACCACAGCTTTAAAGTTACAGACCCAAGCTTTATAGTTACAGACCCCAGCTTTAAAGTTACAGACCACAGCTTTAAAGTTACAGACCACAGCTTTAAAGTTACAGACCACAGCTTTAAAGTTACAGACCCAAGCTTTAAAGTTACAGACCACAGCTTTAAAGTTACAGACCACAGCTTTAAAGTTACAGACCCCAGCTTTAAAGTTACAGACCACAGCTTTAAAGTTACAGACCCCAGCTTTAAAGTTACAGACCACAGCTTTAAAGTTACAGACCACAGCTTTAAAGTTACAGACCCAAGCTTTAAAGTTACAGACCCAAGCTTTATAGTTACAGACCACAGCTTTAAAGTTACAGACCACAGCTTTAAAGTTACAGACCCAAGCTTTAAAGTTACAGACCCAAGCTTTAAAGTTACAGACCACAGCTTTAAAGTTACAGACCACAGCTTTAAAGTTACAGACCCAAGCTTTAAAGTTACGGACCCAAGCTTTAAAGTTACAGATGTGTTCTCCTCTGAATGAACAGATTTTTGTCGTTTGTTTAAAGTTTGAGCGAAACAGGAACCAACTGGTCTAAGAATGTTCATGTTTGTAATTTACACTGTGGTATTTACAGTGTGTGTATCTGTGTGTGTGTGTCCCATGTGGAGGTTGTGGTCTGATTGGACATGTTTATATTTTAGCAGTAGTAGTAGTAGTTTTTTCCCTGTGTTCTCTTTGTGCTACTGTTACAGTATTATTAGATGATGTAACAATAATTATGTTTGAAACAGGAGCTGATGACATCATCCTCCCTCACCCCCCTCATCTCCCCCTCACCCTCCTCCTCCTCCTCCATGAGTGAAACACAACCTCATGTTTGAGTCCTCTTCTGCACAGAGGTCTTGTGTGTGGAGTGTTTTACAATCTGAGCTTTAACAGTCACAAACATGAGGAGGACCACTTGATGTTTAAGTGTCTTGCTCCAGGGTTCAGGGTCTGACTCACACACTATGCACAAACCAGAGACTGAAACCTTTGCCCATTCCTCTTTACAGAACAGCTCTGGTCTTTAAAGTGAATTAGGTCTGGACTTCTAACATGCTCCATGATGCTGCCCCCTGTGTGTCTGTGTGTGTGTGTGCGTGTGTGCGCGTGTGTGTGTGCGTGTGTGTGTGTCTATTGAGAGTATAAGTGGAGAGGCATGTGTGGGTAAGTTTGCAGTGGTTCCATGTCTAAATATGTCTCAATATGTCTACCATCCCTGCACTGACAGTGCCTGTGCTGCTTCGCCGCAAACTCTGACCTCTGGACACGAGCTGCGTCTGCGTCTCCGTCCATCCCATGATGAACAGCAGAACCATCACTGGCGTTGCCATGGTGACAGCAGCAGCCCTCCAATCACAGTGCAGGGATCGGATAACAGAGGTCCGATAACAGGGGTTTGCAAACAGAGGTCCGCAAACAAGGGTCCGTTTGGAAAAAGACAAAAACCTGTGAAGTGTATAAGTGTTCGGCTCAGAGGCACAAGACGAGTGGAAGGGAAACCAGAGAGAGAGAATATATACACACCAGACGACCCGCCCACTGAGAGGCTCCAGCCAATCACAGAGCAGCAACCAAAGAGGCTCTGAACCAGGACTGAACCAGGTCTGAAACAGTTGTTTCAAGTCTCAGCCCATAGAGTCAGAGAGTGACTCTCGGGGCGCTCTCGCATTTTCCACTGGAGAGAGGAGAGAGGAAGAATGACAGTTATGAACCAAGTATGGAGCAAACACAACAGGTTCTGGTCTCTCTCTGGTCTCTCTCTGGTCCCTCGCTGGTCTCTCTCTGGTCTCTCTCTGGTCTCTCTCTGGTCTCTCTCTGGTCTCTCTCTGGTCTCTCTCTGGTCTCTCTCTGGTCTCTCTCTGGTCTCTCTCTGGTCTCTGTCTGGTCTCTCTCTGGTCTGTCTCTGGTCTCTCTCTGGTCTCTCTCTGGTCCCTCTCTGGTCTGTCTCTGGTCTCTCTCTGGTCTCTCTCTGGTCCCTCTCTGGTCTCTGTCTGGTCTCTCTCTGGTCCCTCTCTGGTCTCTCTCTGGTCTCTCTCTGGTCTCTCTCTGGTCTCTCTCTGGTCTCTGTCTGGTCTCTCTCTGGTCTGTCTCTGGTCTCTCTCTGGTCTCTCTCTGGTCCCTCTCTGGTCTGTCTCTGGTCTCTCTCTGGTCCCTCTCTGGTCTGTCTCTGGTCTCTCTCTGGTCCCTCTCTGGTCTGTCTCTGGTCTCTCTCTGGTCCCTCTCTGGTCTGTCTCTGGTCTCTCTCTGGTCTCTCTCTGGTCCCTCTCTGGTCTGTCTCTGGTCTCTCTCTGGTCTCTGGCTTCTTTAGAATGATCTATTTATTTGTTTTGTTTATATGGAAGCATGTGTTTCTGCTCCTACTAGACACCTGCATTTCTCCCACAGTGGATCAATTATCTATTTACTGAATCTCTCTATTTACTTTTAGAACAGTTTACATACTGTTCCCTTAAATTAAGTGTGACATCACAGACTCAGAATCATTACACTGTTAAAGGAGAGAGCCTCATTCTCTCTGGTCTCTTTCCGGTCTCTTTCTGGTCTCTTTCTGGTCCCGCTCTGGTCTCTCTCTGATTTCTCTCTAGTTTCTCTCCGGTCTCTCCCAGAGAAGGAGAGAGTGGAGAGGAGGTGAGGATAGAGGAGGTGAGAAGAGAGGAGAGAGGAAGAATGAGAGGTATGAAGCAAACACAACAGTTTCTGCAGCTACACGTGTTTGACATGTGACATCACCTTCACACATGCTTCACTCTGATCTGCTCCTGATGTCGCTCTGTGGAGGAGCAGGTCTGGGTCTGGGTCTGAGTCACTTTAGTACCAGCTCGGCCTGGATAGAACTAGGACCAAGAGGGACTAAAGAAGGTCCTGGTACTGGCACAGACTGTATATGGGTGATTCTTCAACTATGGACAAATCTGGGTCTGCAATTTGTGAAAAAAAAAAAAAAGATTTCCAAAAAATGTTGTTTACTGTAGTGTTGTATTCCTTTGTGATCGTTTTTTTTTTATTACTATTACATTTTATTATTGCTATTATTTTTTGTTGTAATGGAAATGATGAAATGTTACATTTACTACAAAATTGTAAGCTTTGGGTTTTTTTTTCCGTAAACTTTTCTAGCATGCTAGTCTCTAGTGTTTGCTTTAGCATTAAAATACACAAAATACAACAACTGATACATTGTACTGTACATTCAAAAGAAAAGTGTTTGGAAATTCAATTTTCAAACTTTACCTTGACTTTTTCTTGGACGTGGGTCTGCTACTTGGCTAACACTGCTTAGAGACCATGGATCTATAATAATAACTGGATAGGGTATTACTAGCTTATAGCTGTCCCACCAATGGACACAGGGGGCGCTGTACTGCAGACAAAATTCACGAGGGCTACCCAGAAAAAAGTTCCAGAGAACTCAATGTAAACTAAAACAGCTCGACCTCAGCTGACCTCAGTTGACTTACAGCTTTCATAAAGATCAGATTTTGTGGGGATTTTAGTGTCCCTTGTCATTCTGAACTTTATTTCTTATTAAATTCTTCGGTTTTCTTTATATCCACACTTTACTGCCACAAACTCTGCTCTTCTCCTTCCCGCTCTGGCTCCGCTCTACCACTGCTCTGATGAGCAGCTCTGATTGGTCAGAGCGCGGCCGAGCCCCTCAGTGCACGTGCATGAGAGCCACACACGCGTATTTGGGGCAACGCATCATGGGAGCTCGTTCACTGCGCAGAACCGGGAGGACCAGACGATGCCCAAATACAGGTGAGTTCAGCTAATCTTTTGGTCTCTGTGAAGTCCCATGCACTACTGAGCACCAGCCATTCATTTGAATAGGGCGCCATCTTGTACTTGCAGAAAATAAGAATTAAGACCAACTGAACCTCAGGGACAGCTATGCTTTAAAAAAAATGTATTTATAATTATAATATTTTAGACAAAATTACACATTTTTACTCCATGCCACTGAATAACATGCTATGATGGATTGAAAGTGTAAAACTGGTCTCAGGGACAAGGCTACTCTAATATAAAACCATTATTCAAATTTCAAAACAACTTTTTATTAATAAAAAATGATTATATATATATATATATATATATATATATATTATATATATATATTTTTTGTCTCACAGCTTATCTTGCGTTGAACGAATTTTGGAAAATGGAAAAAAATCATGATTTTTTTTTATTCATATCAATTCAGGATAAAGATTTGTTCATAGTTGAAGAATCACCCAATGCTAAGCCGCTAGCTCCCTGAGGTTCAATAGGGAAGTGCTCATGGTGAAGTTTGGCTCCACTCTCTGGCTCCTATTGACTTCAAATGGAAAAGTAAACTCCTCTAACTCTGTAACTGTTTGTGTCACACTCACCATTTTGTGCTTAAATCTGTGGTTTATCGTTCTCTGTGATTCTGCAGATTATGTTATATCGTATTTGTAAATCCAGATATGAGCCATATAAGGACTGACAAATCAGATGCCTTAGTTCAGGGGGAAACTCCGGCTTTAACAACCGTCCGCCCTGAGCCAACGGCCTCAAACATATGATCATATAAGGAAACTGGCTGCAGTTTATGTTCAAATCAGCTTCTCCTGCATTAATGCTTACACTGTGGTAATGTCACACTGTGATGTCACACTCAGATGGTCTGTAATTCCAAATGCAACACAAAAGTAAATCAGACACTTGACCTTTGTACAAAATATGGATCCTTTATTATAAACTCTGATAAACACACACACACACACACATACAGACAGCCACACATATACACACAGACAGACACACACACATACATACACAAACAGACACACATATACAGTACACACACAGACACACACACACACACAGTCCAGTGAGGGTCACCTTGATCATGTGCAAGACAACGACACAAACAGAACAATTAAGGTCACGAGACGCACACATCTATCAACACTGTTCCGGTCTCATTACAAGACAGCCGAGCAGCAGTCCCTTTGGTCCGAGCCGTGGTGATGTAAACAAGAGAAACGTGAGGAGTGAAGTCCAAACAGCGTCAAAGGAAAGGCACCGGCGATTCAGAGCAGAGGAGGAGTGGTCCAGAACTGCACCAGAGCAGAGGAGGAGTGGGCCAGAACTGCACCAGAGCAGAGGAGTGGTCCAGAACTGCACCAGAGCAGAGGAGGAGTGGGCCAGAACTGCACCAGAGCAGAGGAGGAGTGGGCCAGAACTGCACCAGAGCAGAGGAGGAGTGGGCCAGAACTGCACCAGAGCAGAGGAGGAGTGGGCCAGAACTGCACCAGAGCAGAGGAGGAGTGGGCCAGAACTGCACCAGAGCAGAGGAGGAGTGGGCCAGAACTGCACCAGAGCAGAGGAGGAGTGGGCCAGAACTGCACCAGAGCAGAGGAGGAGTGGGCCAGAACTGCACCAGAGCAGAGGAGTCGTCCAGAACTGCACCAGAGCAGAGGAGGAGTGGTCCAGAATTGCACCAGAGCAGAGTAGGAGGAGTGGGCGAAAACTGCACCAGAGCAGAGCTGGAAGAGTGGGCCAAAACTGCACCAGAGCAGAGCAGGAGGAGTGGGCCAAAGACACAGATCTGGTTCGTAAACGTGACACTCAACTGAATGCGCTCATGTGGACGAGCTGCCGCGACGCTCCAGGTACCTGCAATACACACAATACATGAAGTACAAGTAGTAGCAGTAGCAGTTGTAGTATTAGCAGTAGCAGTAGCAGTAGTAGCAGTAGTACTCACAGCAGTAGCAGCAGTAGTAGCTGTAGCAGCAGCAGCATAAGTAGTAGTAGTTGCAGTAGCAGTAGTAGTAGCAGCAGCAGCAGTAGTAGCAGTAGCAGTAGTAGTAATAGAGGTAGTAGTAGTAGCAGCAGTAGTAGTAGTAGTAGCAGCAGCATCAGCAGTAGTAGCAGTAAGCAGTGGTAGCAGCAGCAGTAGTATTACAAGCAGTAGCAGTAGTAGTAGTGGTCGTAGCAGAAGTAGTAGCAGCAGCAGTAGTATCAGTAGAAGCAGGAGTAGCAGCAGCAGCAGCAGTAGTAGCAGCAGAGTTGTAGAACTACTTACAGTGTAGTCTGGATGAGGTCATCAGTCGGGCCTGTGAAGTGTCGATCCTGAAACACAACAAATCAGTTCAAAGCTGTTCAAACATCAGTCTGAATGTGGTGCAGTTCCAGTACCTGTCTGCTGGTGGCGCTGTACTCTGGGAAACGGGGTGGTGCCTGTGTGTAAGGGGGCGGGGATTGCAGCTGGTCGTCATGCCGACGATACGCTTGAGGCAAAACCGGAGACTCGGACTGAACTGGGAACTGGGACCGGGACCACTTTGGACTATCAGAACTGAAACAGACGAACTGGAATGAGACCAGAGAGAGAGAGACCAGAAAGAGACCACAGAGAGATCAGAGAGAAAGAAACCAAAGAGAAAAGAGACCGGAGAGAGAGACCAGAAAGAAACCAGAGAGAGACACCAAAGAGAGACCAGTGAGAGACCAGAGGAAGAGACCAGAGAGAGACCAGCGAGAGAGACCATAGAGAAATCAGAGCGAGAGATAGACTGGAGAGAGGGAGAGATCAGAAACAGACCAGAGAGAGATCAGAGAGAAAGAGACACCAGAGCGACCAGAGCGAGACCAGAGGGAGAGACCAGAGAGACAGCGAGAAACCAGAGGGAGAGACCAGAGGAAGAGACCAGAGGAAGAGACCAGAGAGAGAGACCACAGAGAAACCAGAGAGAGAGACCAGAGAGACACAATTCTAATATCCAGCTTGTCCCTGTTCTCTCAAGTTTCTCTGTGTCTGTGTCTTAGGAGGATCCTCTCTGTGCTCTCAGGTACCTGTGATGCCAGAGTCTCACCTGAACGCGTCGCTGTAGTCGTCAGACTCCAGTTGCCGTAGAAACCTAGACAGGAAGTAAACGATCACAGCGGTAACCAACAGGAAACAGAGGATGGAGGCCACAGCGCCGATGACAACCAGCTTCTCAGACACAAAGTCCTCACAACGGTCTCCACGGAAGTACCAGGAATCACCAACCAGACACCTGCAGAGACCAAGAGAGACCAAGTGAGACCAGGACCTGACACCTGCAGAGACCAGGAGAATCCAAGACCAGACACTTGCAGAGACTAGGAGAGACCAGGTGAGACCAGAAGTAACCAGAATCAGAGCCTTTAGCTTGCAAGTAAGCATTGAGCTAGCGGCTTAGCATTGAGCTAACAGGTTAGCATTGAGCTAGTGGGTTAGCATCGAGCCAGCAGGTTATCCTTGAGCTAGCAGGTTAGCATTGTCTATCAGTACACAGTGTATTTACTGACCTGCAGGTGGCGCCCCTCCCTGGTACCACGGCACACGTCCCCTGGTGGTGGCAGTAGTCTGGTTGGGTTTGGCATAGACTGGCACACGGCAGACCTGACACACTCTGGTATCCGGGCAAACACACACACTCGGGCTCTCGCGACACCTCGTTCAGATGGCACCGTGAGAACTGGTTACAGGCCAGGAACTTACAGGCGTCTGCACGGAAGCCTGAGGAGAAGAATTATGGAGTATGAGATGACCTGGTCACGTGACTATAGCCTCATAAATATGTTTAAAACTGGGGACTGTAACTTTAGTCTCATAAATAGCACATGTTTAAAACTGGGCTCTGTAACTTTAGTCTCATAAATAGCACATGTTTAGTAACTTTAGTCTAACAGGTTGTTATGGATTGTTAGTATCCTGCTCTGACCTCACGTTTGTCTCAGACATATTTATTGGATTATAATCTGATGATTATGATCAGATTAACCCCAGCTCCACGTGCAGCAGCGAGACAGAGACCTGGTCTGGCCTGCTCTTAACTGGTCTGGTCTGGTATGGGCTGGCCTGGTCTGGTTTCTGGTATGGTCTGGGCTGGCCTTGTCCGGTCTCTGGTGTCTGGTCGCTGGTCCCTGGCCTCTGGTCTGGTCCCTGGTCTGGTCTGGCCCAACCTGGTCTGGTTTGGTCTGGTATGGCTGGGTACCTGGCTCCACGTCCAGTGAGCTCTTGTCAATGCTCAGGTCCATGGTCCTCTGGGCGGTTGAGGCAAAGTCCTTCAGGAGCAGGAGGACAGCGGTGCTGAGGCCTCGTCTGACAGGAGCCAGGAACCTGAGCCTGGAGTTCACCACCACACTGCCATTACTGAAGCTCAGGATCTGCAGCGCCTGGAAGTGCTGCAGGTGGGCCTCCAGGTATGGAACCAGCTGGGAACACAGACCAGGGAGGGTTATGAGGACCACAGTTAGGTTAGAGTGGTCTAAAGCAGGTCTAAAGCAGGTCTAAAGCCAGTCTAAAGCAGGTCTATGGCAGGTCTAAAGTAGGTCTAAAGTAGGTCTTAAGCAGGACTAAAGTAGGTCTAAAGTAGGTCTTAAGCAGGACTAAAGTAGGTCTAAAGTAGGTCTAAAGTAGGTCTAAAGCAGGACTAAAGCAGGACTTAAGCAGGACTAAAGCAGGTCTTAAGCAGGAATAAAGCAGAACTAAAGTAAGTCTAAAGCAGCAATAAAACAGGTCTAAAGCCGGTCTAAAGCAGGTTTAAAGCAGGTCTAACACTGGCCTCCAGAGGGCGCTCTCACCAGATTCTCGAATCTCTCCTCCAGACGTCTGTACTCCTGTGAGTTCTTGTCGAACAGATCTTGGCTGAAGACCATGTTGGTGACTCTAAGGCTGAAGAAAACAGTCAGGTCTCGTTCCGGTCGCGTGTGAAGAGTCTCTGCCTTTCCGGGAATTGAACCCACAACCTGTCCATCCCCTGGGGAGACAGCCGAACCCTCCCCCCCCTCCTTCCCCTCAGAGCCGAATGGGACGAGACCAAAGCTGACGTCGAAGCTGTTGGAAAAGTCATCGGAGAACAGACGGACACTGCCACTGTTTTCAACCACATCTGTGCCGGCGGACATTTTGGATCCCTCTGTGTGTGCGGGAGCCTCTGTTTGAGAACCCTTTGTGTGTGGGGGAGCCTCTGTTTGAGAACTCTCTGTTTGAGAACCCTCTGTTTGAGAACCCTCTGTGTGTGGGGGAGCCTCTGTTTGAGAACCCTCTGTATGTGCGGGAGCCTCTGTTTGAGAACCCTCTGTATGTGCGGGAGCCTCTGTTTGAGAACCCTCTGTGTGTGCGGGAGCCTCTGTTTGAGAACCCTCTGTGTGTGGGGGAGCCTCTGTTTGAGAACCCTCTGTGTGTGCGGGAGCCTCTGTTTGAGAACCCTCTGTGTGTGCGGGAGCCTCTGTTTGAGAACCCTCTGTGTGTGCGGGAGCCTCTGTTTGAGAACCCTTTGTGTGTGCGGGAGCCTCTGTTTGAGAACCCTCTGTGTGTGCGGGAGCCTCTGTTTGAGAACCCTCTGTGTGTGCGGGAGCCTCTGTTTGAGAACCCTCTGTGTGTGGGGGAGCCTCTGTTTGAGAACCCTGTGTGTGTGGGGGAGCCTCTGTTTGAGAACCCTCTGTGTGTGGGGGAGCCTCTGTTTGAGAACCCTCTGTGTGTGGGGGAGCCTCTGTTTGAGAACCCTCTGTTTGAGAACCCTCTGTGTGTGCGGGAGCCTCTGTTTGAGAACCCTTTGTGTGTGGGGGAGCCTCTGTTTGAGAACCCTCTGTGTGTGCGGGAGCCTCTGTTTGAGAACCCTTTGTGTGTGGGGGAGCCTCTGTTTGAGAACCCTCTGTGTGTGCGGGAGACACTGTTTGAGAACCCTCTGTGTGTGCGGGAGCCTCTGTTTGAGAACCCTCTGGAACTCTAGCTGTGATTTCTGCATCTTCAACCAAAGATGCAACTGGTGAAGAAGCCTCCATTTTGGGTCCATCAGACGGTGGAACTTGAGGCGAAGTTGTGTCAATTTTAGAATCGTCTGCTGTTGGTTCAGAGATTGGGGATTCAGCGACGGCCATCTTTGTCGCTGTGGTTGGTACTAACTCAACAGTGGACAGAGGAGATGTTTCTATATTTACTGTGTCCTCTCTGGTGTCCTCTCTGGTGTCCTCTCTGGTGTCCTCTCTGGTTCCTTTAGTGGGAGATGTTTCCAGAGTGTGTGTTGTGTAGATACCTTCTGAAGAGAACCGGGACTCTTCCACTGGAGAGGCAGAATCAGATTGTGACGTACTGGAAACTGTTGCGGTGATCCTGATCTGGTTGAATTCGGCGGCCATCTTGGATCCTTCTGTCTCTCTCTCCAGGTTCAGAGCCAAAGTCGGGGCCTCGGTCTGAAGCCTGTGATTTGGAAAAGCAACGTGGAGATTGGCCTCCTCCACAGGAAACACGGTTCCAGCAGTGGACAGGACAGAGTAGATGATCACCTCCACTTGAGGACTCTCACTCGGCTCTAAAGTCGTTCCAGTCTCAGAATCTAGAGTTGATCCTTCAAAATTATCTTGTTTTGGTCCAAATGGTTTCACCGCTCCATGCACAGGACTGCTTTGACTTGAGCTGGTACCAGGTGATGTCTGTGTGTGGATTTCTGGTATCACTTCTATGGACTCCACTGTCGGGACCAGCGTCGTTAGCGTTAGCGTGCTAACCGGCGTCTCATCCTCGTACTCCAGGAACGAATCTGAAACTCGTGTGAATGGAGAGTCCTTTTCTGGCTCAGAGATGACGTAAGAGGATGCAGTGGTGGCCATCTTTGTAGTTTCATGCAGCTGCAGAGTTGTAGTCCATGGAGCCTCTGCAGTTGGAGCTTTGGGAGTTTGTACTTTCACCATGTTCTCAGAGAATTCAGAAGGTTCCTGGTCCTCAGGCGTCCGGGCAGAGGGGACTCTAGGAGGAGCCATTGTTGTAGTTTTTGGAACTATGTGAGGAGCCATGGTTGTAGTTTTTGGGACATCGTTCACTTCACTGTGTAGGACGTAACGATTCTGCTTTTCCTGTTCAATTATTTTTACAGCAGAAGTCTGACCAGTAGTTGCAGCAGTAGTAGCAGTAGTAGTAGTAGTAGTAGCAGCAGTAGTAGTAGTAGCAGTAGCAGCAGCAGTAGTAGTAGTAGTAGTAGTAGCAGTAGCAGCAGTAGTAGTAGTAGTAGCAGTAGTAGTAGCAGTAGCAGCAGTAGAAGTAGTAGTAGCAGTAGTAGTAGTAGTAGTAGTAGCAGTAGCAGTAGTAGTAGCAGTAGTAGTAGCAGTAGCAGCAGTAGAAGTAGTAGTAGCAGTAGCAGTAGCAGTAGTAGTAGCAGTAGCAGTAGTAGTAGTAGCAGTAGCAGCAGCAGTAGTAGTAGTAGTAGTAGTAGCAGTAGCAGCAGCAGTAGTAGTAGTAGTAGTAGTAGCAGTAGCAGCAGTAGTAGTAGTAGCAGTAGTAGTAGTTTTTGGAGATACAGTTACTGCGATGACTTGGTCCATGTTCATATCTTCATTAGGAAGTCCAGAAAGTTCAGTTTGAACTGGTGGATTTGCAGGTTCTTCCATCAGCTGCTGGTCCAGGACCTCCAGGTCTTTGGCAGAACTCTGGAGTTCTGTTACTGGTGTCTCAGTGGATTGTTGCACCTGTCCTGGTTTGTTTGGACTCATGGGAGTGAAGGGAGTCATGGTCTTTATTTCTGGTTCTTCCACAACATCGTAGACCTGAGGAGGATCCAAACCCTGGTCTTCTGCTGGATCCTCTGCCACATTCAGTGCTGGTATCTCTGTAACTGCTCGTGTTTGGTGTGTGAAGGGCTCCAACAGTTCAAAGGTTACGGTTCCTTCAGAATAATAATCTGGATTCTCTGTGGTGAAGGTCACGACACTGAGAGGAACAGTCAGAGAGCCTTCTGTAGGTTCTGCAGCTTCCAAATTTGACATAGTTATATTTACAGGTTCAATGACAGACACAGATTCAGTTCTGCTCCAAATGTGTTCTTGCTGTTCCAGTCCTGGTCCTGGTTCTGCTGTTGCATGTTCCAGTTCTGGTCCTGGTTCTGCTGTTGCATGTTCCAGTCCTGGTCCTGGTCCTGCTGTTGCATGTTCCAGTCCTGGTCCTGGTCCTGCTGTTGCATGTTCCAGTCCTGGTCCTGGTCCTGCTGTTGCATGTTCCAGTCCTGGTCCTGGTCCTGCTGTTGCATGTTCCAGTCCTGGTCCTGGTCCCGGTTCTGCTGATGCATGTTCCAGTTCTGGTCCTGGTGGTTCTGGTCCTGGTTCTGCTGTTGGGACTGGACTCCCCTCACCTCCAGCTGTAAAGGTTTCAGTTTCACTTTCTCTGACAGCGGGGACCGGGTCTGTCCTCAGGACTGACAGGAGGAAGTCTTGGATTTCCAGTAGGTTTTCGGTCTCGTCAGTCTCTTCGGTCTCGTCCTCTGTCTCCAGATCCGGAGGAGGCAGGACTTCTGGGTTCGTGGTCTGGATGTGACCTGGATCTGGACTGAGTTGAACCGGACCTTCTCCAGAGAAACCTGAGCCCAAAGTGTCGTCCAGGGCTGAGTCCAGGGCTGAGTCCAGGGCTGAGTCCAGGGCTGAGTCCAGGGCTGAGTCCAGGGCTGAGTCCAGGGCCGAGTCCAAGGCCGAGTCTTCAGCAGCGTCTGTCAGAACAAACATTTAGTTTAGAGAAATAAATACATATGCAAACATGATCTTAAAGCTGGGGTCTGTAACTTTAGTCTCATAAATAACACATGTTTAAAGGAGATCAGGAGTAGTTTGATTGATTGTAAAGCTGAAAAACTCACATCCTGTGGTTGGCGTTCGAGCAGCAGTCTCAGCTACAGTATCAGTATCAGCAGCAGTAGAAGTATCAGCAGCAGCAGTAGAAGTATCAGCAGCCGCAGTATCAGCAGCAGTATCAGTAGTAGCAGCAGTATCGGTATCAGCAGCAGAAGTAATGGTATCAGCAGCAGTAGAAGTATCAGCAGCAGTATCAGCAGTAGCAGTAGCAGCAGTATCGGTATCCGCAGCAGTATCGGTATAAGCAGCAGTAGAAGTATCAGCAGCAGGTGTTTGGTCGTCACTGATGACGTCATTCTCGCTAACTCCTTTCAGTTTTGAGTCAAACGCACCAAGGAAAAAGTCCTCTTTGTTCAGAAGCAGCTGCTGTGGCGGGGCATCAGGGGGTTTGTCCTGCTCCTGCTGTGGCGGGGCATCAGGGGGTTTGTCCTGCTCCTGCTGTGGCGGGGCATCAGGGGGTTTGTCCTGCTCCTGCTGTGGCGGGGCATCAGGGGGTTTTTCTGCGGCCAACACGTTGTCCTGATGACAGACGAGAGGAGAAAGGGGTCACATAGTACTAATACTCGGTCCAGTCCAGGTCCAGGCCAGGTCTAGGCCCAGTCCAAGTCCAGGTCCAGGTCCAGTTCAGACCCTGTCCATTCCAGACCGAGACCTGCAGGGTAATCTCTTACCATGTTGTCTGAGGGTGGTGTGGTGGGTTTAGCCGTGGGCAGCAGGTTCTCTGGAAAACAGCATGTAAGCACAACGTTAACACAGTGTTAGCACGACCTTAGCATAGCAGTAGCACAGCACCAGCCCACTTGAGGGGAGCCTCACCCTCCTGGGGTCTCACCGTGCAGGTGCAGAGCCTCTGTGATATAGTTCCCAAACTCAGAGATGGTGTAGAGGACCGTTGGCTGCTCTGACTGCAGGAAGCCCTTCTCCACCTGGTTCTTCTCCACCTGGTTCTTCTCCACCTGGTCCTTTTGCTGCGCAATGAGGTCCACTGTGTCGTTAGAGAGGCCCCCAGGGGCCACCTCTAGAGTCACTGTGTAGTGGACCGAGACCACCAGACCCCTGTGTGAAAGAGAAGAGATTAAGAGACCGGAGAGACTAGACAACAACAACAACAACAAGAGATTATTCCTGTATAGCCCTAAATCATGACAGTATCATCTCAGAGGACTTAACAAAACCATTGAAATCACCAACACAGATCAGAGAATCAACTGTTAAGACACAAAATATACACATATGAGTTGGTCCATATGGAGAGACCAATGTCCATGAATGTTGATAAAAGTGTGGATCATCACCACAGTCCTTCTAGTTGGACACTAACTGTCCAACAGACCCTCCTACATCGGCAAGGAACAACTCACAAAAACCCAGTGGGAAAAAAAGTGAGAAACCTCGGGGAGACTCACTCGGGGAGCGGAGAAAGGGATCCGCTCCGACACGGACGACAGACGGGCTATAGATCCAAGACCTAAGCTACAGAACGAGGACCAATGCCACGCAGCGGCCGCAGATGGGGGACAGGTCCGGTGCAGGACTGAAGCGCTCCCAGAGAGACCAAAGAGAGACCAGGGAGAGACCAGACTACAGAGAGACCAGAGAGAGATCAGAGCGAGACCAGAGAGAGACTACAGAGAGACCAGAAAGAGACCAGAGCGAGATCATAAAGACCAGATATGGCTCATATCTGGATTTTCACAATATAAACACCAGGATCACTGAGAGCACTAAAACACAGATTTAAAGAAATGTACTTTTACTTTAGTTTTGAATGCGCTGGAAAACTGCTGCAAGTCCTAAGTTTCTCTGAAACAGTCAATAGGAGCCAGAGAGAGGAGCTAAACTTCACCTTGAGCACTTCCCTATGAGAGAGTTGGACTGCGGTGAGTGTCAATCATGTGTGAAATGAGGCAGTGACCGCGCTGACCACTAATGTGAAACTAAAGACTTAAGAGGATAAGACCCCCACACACCTGCAATAATGAGATTAAAGCTACAAGTGCTAATGCTACTGAAGCTAATGCTGCTACAACTACCACTGCTAAAGCTAATGCACCTTCAGGCGCTCTGGGAATGAAACCTCACGTTCCGAGTGTGACATCACACGTGTTTTGAGATGACCTTTGATCTTTGACCTTGAAAATGGTGGACAGTGACATAAATACAGCGACTTCACAGGGTTCAGAGGGAAGTTCAGTGATGTCACAAAACAGTGACATCGTCTGGCGTGGAACAGACGGTCCTCAGACCTGTCAGACCTTGTTAGTCCAGTTTAAGACCAGGACTTAATCCAAATGTGTTGATGACGAGGTCAAAGCCGGACACGCTGTTTTACTCTCGGATTTACACTCTCTCCCATTACTTTCAATGTGCATCACCACAGACTAAAGCTTTAGCTTTAAAGTTACAGTTGAAGCTGGTTCATGAGACTTTGAAGTTAGGGCTAAAGTCTCATCTGGAAAAGATACCCGAGCCACCTCAACTGGTTATTGAAAGGGCACTCAGAGAGACACAGCAGGGGTCGCTTGGGTCAGCCAGGTCTGACCAGCTTCCTCCTGCAGCTGATCCAACTCACCACCAGGTGGGGATCGGTGACAGATCTGCCTCTCTCTTCAGCTTCAGCTCTCCTTGGCTCCACCCCTCTCTTTAGCTCCGCCCTTCTCTTGAGGCTCCACCCCTCTCTTTAGCTCCGCCCCTCTCTTTAGCGCCATCCAGTGAATCAACGACCTCAGACCTCAGGTCATGGTGCCACCTGGTGGACACTCTTGTGCTCTGCTCGAACATGGTGTTCGTGATGGACAAACCGTGACTAGCACAGAAGTCCAACAACTGAACACCACTCAGGCTCAGATCAGGGCCGTTCTTCCCAATCACCCCTCTCCAGGTGTCACTGGCGTTCACCACATGGGCGTTGAAGTCCTCCAGGAGTATAACGGAGTCCCTGGTCGGTGCACCGTCCAGTACCCCTTCCAGGGACTCCAAGAAGGCTGAGTACTCTGCACTGATTTTAGGCCCGTATGCCGTCACAACAGTGAGAGACTTGTCCCCAACCGGAGGCAGAGGGACGCGACCCTCTCATTCACCGGAAAGAACTCCAACACGTGGAGCTGAGATGGGGGGCAATGAGAATGACCAAAGATATGAGATCCAGAGCTGTGTGTGGAGGTGAGGCCGACTATCTCTAGACTGTATCTCTCAACCTCCTGAGGTTAAATCTGTTTGTGAGACTTTAAAGTTAGGGTTAAAGCTGTCACTCACCGCTCCAGATCCTTCTGAGGCCTGAGGAAAGAAGAACAACGTGAGAAGAACTTAACATGTGGAATACTTCCATTTACGAGGAGCGTCTCTGACCTGAACTCCACCACATGGACATGTTTGAAACCAGGAAGACGATGGAAGGCCTCCAGGATCTGGAAGGTGATCAGAAGAGGTCAGAGAGACCAGAGAGAGAGACCACAGAGAGAGACCACAGAGAGACCAGAGAGAGACCACAGAAAGACCACAGAGAGAGACCACAGAGAGAGACCACAGAGAGAGCAGAGAGAGAGCAGAGAGAGAGACCACAGAGAGAGAAACGACAGCGAGACCAGAGAGAGAGACCACAGAGAGAGACCACAGAGAGACCACAGAGAGAGCAGAGAGAGAGACCACAGAGAGAGAGACGACAGAGAGAGCAGAGAGAGAGACCACAGAGAGAGACCACAGAGAGACCACAGAGAGAGCAGAGAGAGAGCAGAGAGAGAGACGACAGAGAGACCAGAGAGAGAGACCACAGAGAGAGACCACAGAGAGAGCAGAGAGAGAGCAGAGAGAGAGACCACAGAGAGAGAGACGACAGAGAGACCAGAGAGACCACAGAGAGAGACCACAGAGAGAGCAGAGAGAGAGACCACAGAGAGAGACCACAGAGAGACGACAGAGAGACCAGAGAGAGAGACCACAGAGAGAGACCACAGAGAGAGACCACAGAGAGAGCAGAGAGAGAGCAGAGAGAGAGACCACAGAGAGAGACCACAGAGAGACGACAGAGAGACCAGAGAGAGAGACCACAGAGAGAGCAGAGAGAGAGACCAGAGAGAGAGCAGAGAGAGAGACCAGAGAGGCACCAGAGAGGGACCAGAGAGGCACCAGAGAGGGACCAAAGAGGGACCAGAGAGAGACCAGAGGCCCCCCCACACACTGATCTGAAACACAGTGTGGTTTCTGCAGAACTGTGGGTAAAACAGGGAAACTCGGGACTTTCCTCCAAAGTAATGACAAACACATGTTCTGTTGAAGTATGAGACCAGGTTTAGACTGAGTTTAGACCTGCTTCAGTCCTGCTTTAGTCCTACTGTAGTCCTGCTGTAGTCCTGGTTTACTCCTGCTATAGTCCTGCTTTAGACCTGCTTTAGTCCTGCTTTAGTCCTGGTTTAGTCCTGCTGTAGTCCTGGTTTAGTCCTGGTTTAGACCTGCTTTAGTCCTGTTTTAGTCCTGCTTTTTGGTTCTAGTAATTCTGCGCTTCTCTTGTTAAAAGTGATTAATCCCAGATGTTTATTTCACAGCCGTAATAAAACCGCTTCAAAACTGTAATTATAAATGTGGGTCAACAACAACGCTGTAACTTTAAAGCTGGGGTCTGTAACTTTCAGACCAATAGAACTCTTAGCACTCTTACTGATTTGGGTAAGTCCTGGTCTCAGTCCTGGTCTCAGTCCTGGTCTCAGTCCTGGTCTCAGTCCTGGTCTCAGTCCTGGTCTCAGTCCTGGTCTCAGTCCTGGTCTCAGTCCTGGTCTCAGTCCTGGTCTCAGTCCTGGTCTCAGTCCTGGTCTCAGTCCTGGTCTCAGTCCTGGTCTCAGTCCTGGTCTCACTCCTGGTCTCACTCCTGGTCTCACTCCTGGTCTCACTCCTGGTCTCACTCCTGGTCTCACTCCTGGTCTCACTCCTGGTCTCACTCCTGGTCTCACTCTTGGTCTCACTCTTGGTCTCACTCTTGGTCTCACTCCTGGTCACGGTCTTACCCTCCTGGTGACTCCTTTCTCCAGTCTCTGGTACTGGGGACTACTGGGGTTTCTCAAGGCGTCGGTGTAGGTCTCATCTCGGAGTCTGAGGCTCAGGTCCAGGACCTGGTCTGAGGGTCTGAGAGGTCTTAGCTCCACAAGGCCAATCTCATTCCCCATCTGTGGAGACACAAGCAGGTCACACCAGACCAAAGCAGGCCAGACCAGAGCTAAAGCAGGTCTAAAGCAGGACTAAATCAGGTCTAAAGCAGGACTAAAACAGGTCTAAAGCAGGACTAAATCAGGTCTAAAGCAGGACTAAAACAGGTCTAAAGCAGGACTAAAACAGGTCTAATGCAGGCCTAAAACAGGTCTAAAGCAGTACTAAATCAGGTCTAAAGCAGGACTAAAACAGGTCTAAAGCAGAACTAAAACAGGTCTAATGCAGGCCTAAAACAGGTCTAAAGCAGTACTAAATCAGGTCTAAAGCAGTACTAAAGCAAGTCTAAAGCAGGACTAAAGCAGGTCTAAAGCAGGACTAAAACAGGTCTAAAGCAGGACTAAAGCAGGTCTAAAGCAGGACTAAAACAGGTCTAAAGCAGGACTAAATCAGGTCTAAAGCAGGCCTAAAACAGGTCTAAAGCAGTACTAAAACAGGTCTAAAGCAAACCAATCTCTCTGTGTTGTGTATGTGGCTCACCGTGTCCTCGTCCTCGGCTCCAAACCGGTTCTGGACCAGGTCCAGGTCCAGACTCGGCTCTGTGACGTCATCAAAGTTTCCATTGTTGTATTCGATCACGTTCGCCACGGTGACCTGAGTCTGGTCTGTGCCCGCACCCTCCACGCCGCCATCTTGGTCAGTCCTCGTCTCCTCGTCTTTCTTCACGTCTTCTTCTGGTTCTTCCACTTTGTTCACAAAGCCGCCATTCTGCTCAGTCTCCTGAATAAAACAACAGTTTAAGAGATTCTGTGGAGGATCTAACTGGTCCTCACTGGTCCTCACTGGTGCTCACTGGTCCTCACTGGTGCTCACTGGTGCTCACTGGTCCTCACTGGTGCTCACTGGTGCTCACTGGTGCTCACTGGTCCTCGCTGGTCCTCGCTGGTCCTCACTGGTCCTTACTCTAAAATGATAAAATCATGTTTCCTTCATTTAAAGTCCCGCCAACACTTTTGTGGCTGGTGTGCACCAAAGTGATCAGTTTAGAGGACTCTCACTCTGGTCTCCCATTGGTCTCTCACTGGTCTCTCATTGGTCTCTCATTGGTCTCTCACTGGTCTCTCACTGGTCTCTCACTGGTCTCTCATTGGTCTCTCACTGGTCTCTCTCTCTGATCTTCTCTCCGGACCAAACAGAATCACTTCTAAACCAGCGTTCAAAGACTGGTGGTGTTGCACTCACACTTCCATCTCGCTCTGGTCTCTCAGGCTTCAGGCTGGTCTCTGTTGGTCCCTCTGCTGGTCCCTCTGTTGGTCCCTCTGTTGGTCCCTCTGCTGGTCCCTCTGCTGGTCCCTCTGCTGGTCCCTCTGCTGGTCCCTCTGCTGGTCCCTCTGCTGGTCCCTCTGTTGGTCCCTCTGTTGGTCCCTCTGTTGGTCCCTCTGTTGGTCCCTCTGTTGGTCCCTCTGTTGGTCCCTCTGCTGGTCCCTCTGCTGGTCCCTCTGTTGGTCCCTCTGTTGGTCCCTCTGTTGGTCCCTCTGCTCGTCTCTCTGTTGGTCCCTCTGCTGGTCCCTCTGTTGGTCCCTCTGTTGGTCCCTCTGTTGGTCCCTCTGCTGGTCCCTTTGCTGGTCCCTCTGCTGGTCCCTCTGCTGGTCCCTCTGCTGGTCCCTCTGTTGGTCCCACTGTTGGTCCCACTGTTGGTCCCACTGTTGGTCCCTCTGCTGGTCCGTCTGCTGGTCCGTCTGTTGGTCCCTCTGCTTGTCCCTCTGCTGGTCCCTCTGCTGGTCCCTCTGCTGGTCCCTCTGTTGGTCCCACTGTTGGTCCCACTGTTGGTCCCTCTGCTGGTCCGTCTGCTGGTCCGTCTGTTGGTCCCTCTGCTTGTCCCTCTGCTGGTCCCTCTGCTGGTCCCTCTGCTGGTCCCTCTGCTGGTCCCTCTGTTGGTCCCTCTGTTGGTCCCTCTGCTGGTCCCACTGTTGGTCCCACTGTTGGTCCCTCTGCTGGTCCCTCTGCTGGTCCGTCTGCTGATCCGTCTGCTGGTCCCACTGCTGGTCCCTCTGCTGGTCCGTCTGCTGGTCCTGGTCCTCTCTGCAGTAGGAGATCTGTCTGAACCTTCTCCTTCCATAATCTGCACTTGTCTGGGTCCGGTTTCTTCTCTCTGTTCTCCTGTTTGTTCTGGAACCTGTTTGGAGACATTCTCGTCTCCTCCTGAAGCCTCTGTGCTCCTCATGGTCTGTGTCTCCGGGCTCCTCATGGTCTCTGTCTCTGTGCTCCTCATGGTCTGTGTCTCCGGGCTCCTCATGGTCTCTGTCTCTGTGCTCCTCATGGTCTGTGTCTCCGGGCTCCTCATGGTCTGTGTCTCTGGGCTCCTCATGGTCTGTGTCCCCGGGCTCCTCGTGGTCTCAGATCTCAGATCTGGACTCACGGCTCCAGTCGCTGCAAACGTCGGCTGCAAAACAACGTCTTCTGAAACTGAATCGTCTTGTGAAGGTTTGTGGGCAGAGCTTTCAGACACCTGTGGATGTGAATCCTCTTGGACCTCCTCTTGGACCTCCTCTTGGACCTCCACCTGGTCCAATAGATCCGCAGCCTGATCTGTTGGAGCCTCCACCTGGAGGAGAACCTTGTGTGTTGGAGCCTCCTCTTGGACCTCCTGTGTGACCTCCTCTTGAATCTCCTGTGTGACCTCCTCTTGAATCTCCTCCTGGACCTCCTCTTGAATCTCCTCCTGGACCTCCTCTTGAATCTCCTCTTGGACCTCCTCTTGGACCGCCTCTTGGACCTCCTCTTGGACCTCCTCTTGAATCTCAGGAGCAGACGTCGTCTGCAGAGGGAGGAGCGTTGGTTGGACTTCAGCAGAGAGGAGCTCCAATCCAGGCGTCGTTGGAGATGGTCCAAAGTCCTGGACTGGTTTCCTCAGACTGTCCCTGTGAGGAGAGACGGTCTGAAGGTCAGCTCTGTCTGATGGATCCTGCTGAGTTCTGATCGGTTCTAGAGGAGGTTCCTCCTGATCTTCAGGCAGTGTTTTTGATGTTGCTTCAGATAAAGAGAGACGCACAGATGGAGGGGCCTGGTCTGGGATGGTCTGGTCTGGTCCGGTCTGGTCCGTGATGGTCCAGTCTGGGATGGTCTGGTCTATGATGGTCTGATCAGGGATAGGCCGGTCTGTGATGGTTCGGTCTGTGGTTTGAAAGAACTGCTGGATCTCCTGTTGAATGGTGAGAGTCGGGGAATCTGGGGGAATCTCAGAACTCTGTGATCCGGGTTCGGGTTTAGGTCCGGGTCCATTTGGACTCCGGTCCTGGTTCAGTTCTGGGACTAGAGTCTGAGAAGTGGATTCGATTTGGGGTCGATTGGTTTCATCAACTGTGAGGAAGAGAAAGTACATTTAAACCAGGATTAAACCCGGACTAAACCAGGACTAAGCAGACTGAACAAGGACTAAACCAGGTCTAAACCAGGTATAAACCAGGTCTAAACCAGGGCTAAACCAGCTTTAAACCAGGTCTAAACCAGACCTGAACCTGGACTAAACCAGCACTAAACCAGGTCTAAACCAGACCTGAATCTGGACTAAACCAGGACTCAAAAGCAGACAGAGTCAAAGCAGGTCTTGACTGAAGCTAAACCAGGTTTCGTTTTCAGTCTGATCCGGAGGTGGTTCATTGACTGGACTTAAGGAGATTAATTCTATTCTGAGGAGCGACAAATCCTGACAGGAACAGGGATCAGACCCAACTGGACTAAAGCAGGTCTAAATCAGGACTAAAGCAGGACTAAAGCAGGACTAAAGCAGGTCTAAAGCAGGTCTAAAGCAGGACTAAAGCAGTTCTAAAGCAGGTCTAAATCAGGTCTAAAGCAGGACTAAAGCAGGTCTAAAGCAGGACTAAAGCAGGACTAAAGCAGGACTAAAGCAGGACTAAAGCAGGACTAAAGCAGCATTAAAGCAGACCTAAAGCAGGACTAAAGCAGGACTAAAGCAGGTCTAAAGCAGGTCTAAAGCAGGACTAAATCAGGTCTAAAGCAGGACTAAAGCAGGACTAAAGCAGCACTAAAGCAGACCTAAAGCAGGACTAAAGCAGGTCTAAAGCAGGACTAAAGCACTACAGCAATACATACAGTAGATGAACTATCTACCTGTCACTGGAGCTGCAGGTGTGGACTCTGAACCAGAACTGGAGACAAAGAGAAGGGAAATTAAAACAGCAAGCGGCATTCGAGGGCCTCTTCAGTGATGCTCAAAGCTCACGGGACAAACATGAATCTAAAGGAATTTCTCACCTGTTCACAGCAGCAGAGTTCAGTCTCTGCAACAATAACAAAACAGTCAGACCAGAGAGAGAACAGAAAGAGACCAGAGAGAGACCAGAAAGAGACAAGAGAGACCAGTGAGAGATCAGAGAGGTACCAGAGAGAGACCTCCTTACGCTCAGGATTAGCCGCCTGTGCTCCTGGTCTTGGCTGAAGTTCAGTCCGATGCCCCTGATGTCCAGAGTCTGATTCAGACACAGATTCACCCACAGTCTGTACTCGTCTCTCTCTGGAAGACGGTCCCAAAAGACTCTGAAGGCCTCCCACACGGTCTCTTGGCAGACTGCAGGAGATCACACACACACACACACACGCTCAGGTTAACCTCCACCCCTGACGCCTGAACCCTGATCCTGAGCAGAAGTCTCCATCACCCTTGTCTCCATCCCCCTTTTTAAGAAGATTTTTAAACCCAATACTTTGATGCTGCTTTTTGATATGAAATTATTGTAGATTTCATTGACTTTTCACTTTGAATTGCCTTGAACACGAATAGTGCCATACAAATAAATGATTGATTGATTATTTGTGACAGCCTCTTAACAGGACTAATGCCTGCGTGTGTTTGTTATTGTTGCATTTCCTGAATTGAAACGGTTTGATTCTCTGATCTGTTGCTAGTGAATCCACAGCTTGTGGTAAATTAGGACCAGACACAAATACATTAAATTGAACTGACAGCTTGGAGTCTTTAGTGGGAGTTCAATGAGGTTTGTTTCTCTCTGGTCTCTGGTTGGTCTCTCTCTGGTCTCTCTCTCTCTCTCTGGTCTCTCTCTCTCTGGTTTCTGGTCCCTGGTTGATAGTAGAAGTGAGAATTGGTCACTGTTGAACCCTGACCCACAGAGCTTCTCTTTAATCTCATAATCTGTTTATGTTCAACACAACAGTATGCTCCACACACAGCCCCTAACCAGCGCCAAGTCCTTATGCTAATGCTAACAAGCGCTAAGTCCTTAGGCTAATGCTAACGAGCGGTAAGTTCTTATGGATGCTAATGCTAACAAGCGATAACTTATGCTTTCAATGTTATGTTATCAACACTACGGACTCTGCCCCTTAAGGACCAATGTGTTCTCTATTATTGCATTTCCTGTGTTAGAACTGTTTGATTCTCTGATCTGTGTTTGAGAATCAACAGTTTTGTAATTTAGGGCTGTACAGGAATATATCATTAATCTATTATAATATCTGGATAGGGTATTACTAGCTTGGAGCTGAGGGATGCTTGCGGTACTGCAGACTAAATAAGACTAAATTCACGTTGGCTACCCAGAAATCTGAGAAATCTTAGAAAACTAAAACAGCTCGACCTCAGGAGGACCAGACAATGCCCTAATGTGGGCGAGTTCCGCTAATATATCGGTCCCTAAGGTGGCACCAGCGCCACTGAGACATTTATTTTAATAGGGCGCCATCTTGGATCGCCAGGTATTGGAATAAATTGAATTGAATGCTAACGAGCCGCTAACTCCTTATGCTAATGCTTACAAGCGCTAACCCCTGATGCATCAGTAGCTTCAGTATGGATCAGAGCACTCACCGCGCAGGTAGAAGTACTGCAGGTGGTTGTTCACCACTTGTTCGTACGTCTCTTTGGTGCAAAGTTTGACTCCGTTTGGAAACAAAATGTTCCTCTTCCTCCTCATGGCTCGACCCGACTCTGACCGAGACAACAGGACATCTGAGGAAAACCCAGAGGAACCAGGGGAAGCAGAGGGATCAGGACTCTCAAAAGTCCAGGACTCCAGGCGGAGATTCTGGTCCTGGTCCAGACGGAGGTCCTGATCCAAACGGATGTCCTGGTTTTGTAAATAATACACATTTAGACCTGTGGAGCCGAGGTCTGCAGAGATCACTGTGAAGATAAAATAACGAATCATCGATCAAATAGTGTCTCACAGAGAAGACCGCCCTATCTGCCTTTTTGGGCTGAGAGCTGATCTAAAGATGTGACATCACCAATATATGATGTGAAACTAGTCAGACGCCTGAACAAGACTCATGGGATTAACACAGAGTTCTATTGGTCTGAAAGTTACAGACCCCAGCTTTAAAGTTACAGACCCCAGCTTTAAAGTTACAGACCCCAGCTTTATCAGCTTTAAAGTTACAGACCCCAGCTTTAAAGCTACAGATTCCATCTTAAAAGTTACAGACCCCAGCTTTAAAGCTACAGATTCCATCTTAAAAGTTACAGACCACAGCTTTAAAGCTACAGATCCCATCTTAAAAGTTACACACCCCAGCTTTAAAGCTACAGATTCCATCTTTAAAGTTACAGACCCCAGCTTTAAAGCTACAGATTCCATCTTAAAAGTTACAGACCCTAGCTTTAAAGCTACAGATTCCATCTTAAAAGCTACAGACCCCAGCTTTAAAGTTATGGTGAGGGCTGTATGTTATTGTGAGGACCAACCTGAAAAGGCAAGAAGACATGGGACCAGAGCTGTGAAAGCAGACATGGTCATTCCCACATCCAGCCTAGTCCTGGTATAGACCGGGTTTAGACCGGGCTCAGTCCTGGTTTGGATCGAGGAAAGTCCTCCTTAAGTCCTGGATCTGGGTCCAGCCTCAGTCATGTCTCAAGCAGGACTCACATCCATTACTGCTTTGTGCTGCTGTAAGACCCTGGACTAGACCCTAGTCCTGGTTCCGCAGACCTGTAATCAGAACATGTTTCAGAGGATGATTTGACCCTCAGTTTAACATGTGTCTTTGAGAGACACCAGAGAGACCAGAGAGACACCAGAGAGACCAGCAAGAGGTTCCAAGAAATGTGTAGAAACATTACCCTGTGTGAGAGATGTGTGACATCATCTGAATCTTTGTTGGGTCTGCTTCTAGTTCTGGTTCAGGTCTGGGTCTGGTTCGGGTCTGGAGTCCCACAGTATTGACAGAATCGAGTTAAAATATCATGAAGAATCAGACTCACCTGGAACAGCAGCTCTGATGACCTCCAGATGTCCTCAACTGGATCAGACCCAGTCACTACTCGGGTCCTGGTCTTGGGTCTCGGTCTTCAGCAGTGTGGATGTTCCTCAGCTCCTGCTCTGTCTCTACAGAAGAAGAGGTTCCTTTTCCGATCTCTGGTCCAGGCTTTGGTCCGTCTCTGTACGTCTGTAGTAGTAGCAGATTAAGCTGGTCTCTGGTCCAGGCTTTGGTCCGGTCTCTGTCGGACTGCAGGAGTAGCAGGAGTCGGTCTCTGGTCCTGGTCTGTTCCCAGGTCTGTGTAGCACTGCAGTAGTAGCAGATGGAGCCGGTCTCTGGTCTCTGGACTTAATCCTCTTTGGTCCTGGATCAGAGTCAGACTCACCTGTGGCACAGTGCCGCCTCACCGCAGGGTCACAGTGTGAGACAAACTACTGTTAAAGCTGAGGCACCTAACTTCCAGACCACAACAGAACTCTAAAAAAAACTCTACATCCTGGCTCTATAACGGTTTGCTCCTATCACACATTTACACATTTTATTTTTGGCTGGTTTGGTCTCTCTGGTCTCTGTATGTGGCTTTCCAGTTGACCATTTCTCTGATGATCCTTTGCCACAGACGGCTGTAATCTGCTTTAAAAAGCAGAGGGCGCTAGATTAGAGCAGAAAAACAACAGAATGACCAGACAGAGAGACCAGAGCGAGACACCAGAGAGAGACTAGAGAGAGAGATAATAGAATGAGACCAGAGACCAACGAGAGAGACCAGAGAGAAACCAGAAAGAGACCATAGAGAGACCAGAGCGAGAGATTAGAGAAAGACATGAGAGACATCAGAGAGCGAGAGAGACCAGAGGGAGACACCAGAGAGAGTTCTATTTGAAAAAGCGACAAATTTATCCATCACCTCAGACATGAACACTTGACCGTTTTTCACATGATTTTATTAGAACGACATTTACATTTGAGTCACTAAATCCTTCAGATAAAAACCTATGAAAGTCTTTGGTCCTGGTCCAGACCTGGTTCAGGCTTAGACCTGGCTCAGCCTCTGATTCTGGTTCCGACCTGGTACAGACCTGGTTCAGTCCTGGTTCAGATCTGGTTCAGCCTCTGCTCCTGCTGCAACTTTAGGATCAGAAGTCGGATCTGGTCTCTCTTGTTTCGGACTTGTTGCCTTAGATACCAGGTCTCCAGTCTCAGCGGGAGTTCAAAGTTCACCACCGGGTTCTAAGCAAAAGATAAGAACAGGAAAGGTCTGGCATCTCTCTGGTGTCTCTCACTCTCTCTGGTCTCTCTCTGGTGTCTCTCTCTAGCCTCTCTCTGGTCTCGCTCTAGTCTCTCTCTATCTCAGGGGTGCTCAATACGTCGATCGCGATCTACCAGTCGATCGCAAAGGTAGTATTGGAAGATCGCATTACATCATTTAAAAAAAAAATCCGTTTATGCATTTGCGTGTGGACAGAGATAACCGGAGTTTTGCGTTTTTGCACGCCACAGTTTGCCCCCAAAACAACAACAACAAACAAAACGTGCGACCTCTGATCACTGAAGCATGGATCATACTGCGGTTCACAGCAGCGATCCTCGCTCCACATCAGAGAGCAGCAAAGTGATCACACACGCTCGAAAACAACCAAAACAGGAGCTAAACCAGGATCAAACCAGGGCTGAGGACTGGGGTCAATGCTTGTAAACACATGTCTTCACCATGGATCTATAATAACGTCTTCACCCTGAGTTTCTACTATGACTGTAAGTACCACTACAGAACGAAAGTTACGAATGTAACTATGGTTCTATGAATCCTGGATGACCGCCAGAGGCGGTGCTTAAATGCAAATTATTTCATAAATCATGCGGTTTTGCATGTACATCAACATACATTGTAGATATAAAGAATCCTCAATATATTTAGAAATAAATATGTTTTGCATTTTTGTAGTAGGAAGATCATTTTGACTTGATCATTTTATAAGTAGCTCGCATGCTAAAAAAGTGGGAGCACCCCTGCTCTATCTGGTCTCTCTCTACCCTCTCTCTAGCCTCTCTCTGGTCTCTCGCTCTCTCGCCACTCTCTGGTCTCTCTCTCTCTAGCCACACTCTGGTCTCTCTCTCTCTAGTCTCTCTCTGGTCTCTCTCTCTCTAGCCACTCTTTGGTCTCTCTCTCTCTAGTCTCTCTCTGGTCTCTCTCTCTCTAGCCACTCTTTGGTCTCTCTCTCTCTAGTCTCTCTCTGGTCTCTGGTACCTGTAAGAAGCTATGAACGTTCTGCAGCAGGTAGACCCCACAGTCAGAGCTGTTGTCCTGTTGGGGGACTCTGCAGCTGTGGCTCTTGAATGTGTCTGACGAGAAGAGACGCTTGGAACCGCGCCGCACCTCCCACTCCACCGTCAGGTAACTATGGAAATGCAGGCAACACAACAGGTCACTATAGCAACGCAGGCAACAGATGACACATAGTGTTATCACAGTGATGTCATGGTGACGTCATAATGTCGTTATTGGGAATATCAGCCATGTTATGTGATGTCATCATGACAGCATGGTGACCTCATGATGTTATAGTGAAGTAATGCTGATATCATAGTGATGTCATGGTGACGTTATAGTGACATCATGTGATGTCATGACGTTTTGTGATGTCATAGTGACATCATGGTGATGTTAGTGACATCATGGTGATGTTAGTGACACCATGGCAATGTTGCTGTGATGTAATGGTGATGTCTTCTTCCGCTGCTGGACACCTGAATTTCTCCTACGGGGATCAAGGAAGTATCTATCTATCTATGTCATTGTTACGTAATGGTGATGTCATAATGACATCATGGTGATGTTATAGTGATATCATGGTTATGTCATAGTGATGTCATGATGGCACAATTACATTACTGTTCCAGGACTGAGTCTGGATGGATCCAAACACAGTCTCAGGTCTGTTACACAAGACTCACTCTCTCAGCAGTCTGCCCACGTTCTCATGAAGACACATCTTCAGCGAGTCCATTACCAGGAGACAGGGGCTGAGGAGAGAGAGGTCAGAACCAGGACTGGACCAGGCCCTTTACCAGGACTTGGACCAGGCCTGGACCAAGACTGGACCAGGTGTGGGTTAGTAGAGTGTAACCGAGAGTTACCGTTTGAGGACTGTGCTGCTCCTGCAGCCTCTCAGAGAACACTCCTGAAACACACATCATTAGAAACTTGTTCTATACAAATAAATATCACTGATCAGTGTCGTCCTCACCGGCAGAGTCTGGGAGCGCAGTCCAGGGACCTGCACATCTGCAACAACAGGAAGCATCAGGACTCAGACTCATCAGACACATCAGAGTCATCAGGCACATCAGAGTCATCAGACACATCAGAGTCATCAGACTCATCAGACACATCAGAGTCATCAGACACATCAGAGTCATCAGGCACATCAGAGTCATCAGACTCATCAGACACATCAGAGTCATCAGACACATCAGAGTCATCAGACTCATCAGACACATCAGAGTCATCAGACACATCAGAGTCATCAGGCACATCAGAGTCATCAGACACATCAGAGTCATCAGACTCATCAGACACATCAGACACATCAGAGTCATCAGAGTCATCAGACACATCAGAGTCATCAGGCACATCAGAGTCATCAGACTCATCAGAGTCATCAGAGTCATCAGACACATCAGAGTCATCAGGCACATCAGAGTCATCAGACACATCAGAGTCATCAGACTCATCAGACACATCAGACTCATCAGACACATCAGACACATCAGAGTCATCAGACACATCAGAGTCATCAGGCACATCAGAGTCATCAGACACATCAGAGTCATCAGGCACATCAGAGTCATCAGACACATCAGAGTCATCAGACTCATCAGACACATCAGAGTCATCAGACACATCAGACACATCAGAGTCATCAGACACATCAGAGTCATCAGACTCATCAGACACATCAGAGTCATCAGACACATCAGACACATCAGAGTCATCAGACACATCAGACACATCAGAGTCATCAGACACATCAGACACATCAGACTCATCAGACACATCAGACACATCAGACACATCAGACACATCAGACACATCAGACACATCAGACTCATCAGACACATCAGAGTGTTCCTACCAGAGCTGGGGCTGAAGTCCTCGTGTCGAGGTTCCTCCAGACCAGGGAAACACACCACCACCAGGAACCAGTGAGACCTGAGAAAGACCACACATACCATGAGGAAGGACGACTCTCTCTGGTCTCTCGCTCTGGTCTCTCTCTTTGGTCTTTCTCTCTGGTCTCTCTCTCTGGTCTCTCTCTCGGGTCTCTCTCTTTGGTCTCTCTCTATGGTCTCTCTCTATGGTCTCTCTCTCTGGTCTCTCTCTCTGGTCCCTCTCTCTGGTCCCTCTCTCTGGTCCCTCTCTTTGGTCCCTCTCTCTGGTCTCTCTCTTTGGTCTCTCTCTCGGGTCTCTCTCTTTGGTCTCTCTCTATGGTCTCTCTCTCTGGTCTCTCTCTTTGGTCTCTCACTATGGTCTCTCTCTCTGGTCTCTCTCTCTGGTCCCTCTCTCTGGTCTCTCCCTGTGGTCTCTCCCTCTGGTATCTCTCTCTGGTCCCTCTGGTCTCTCTCTCCGGTCCCTCTGGTCTCCTTCTGGTCTTACTCTTGGTTGACTGGGACGAACAGGAAGTCCTTGTTGAAGATGTCGACCTGTCGGGTCCAAGTCCGGACTCTCTGGTGCCTCGTGTGGCGGTCTCTGGAACAGCAGCATAATAGACGCCATTAGTATGTGTGTGTGTTTTGGGAACATGTGTGTGGGTCTATATTTCTGTGTATGTCTGAAAGGGCGGGGCTTACGGCACAGCTGTGATGTCATCTTCCCCCGCCGCACGTCGTTTACTCAGCTGTTTGTAGAAGAAGCTGCTAAAGACGTGACTGCGCTCAGCTACAGCGCCCCCTACTCCCTCCAGCAGCAGGAACCTGTGAGAGAGAGAGGTGAGCACAGGTACTGCAGCAAAGGTGGGGAGAGAGAGAGGTGAGCACAGGTACTGCAGCAGAGGGGGAGAGAGAGAGAGGTGAGCACAGGTACTGCAGCAAAGGTGGGGAGAGAGAGAGGTGAGCACAGGTACTGCAGCAAAGGTGGGGAGAGAGAGAGGTGAGCACAGGTACTGCAGCAGAGGGGGAGAGAGAGAGAGGTGGGCACGATAATGATATGATTTCAACAAGCAAGGCTCCTCGAGCTCAGGTGGCACGAGAACCTAGAGATGTGCACAAGTGTAAAGTAAAAGAAGGAACAATGATAGTGGACAGAGTCAACTTTGTTGCATTTATTTGCAAAATCGTGTTTATTGCAATGGAACAGTCTGACAAGGATGACAAAGCAGATACTATAATGGAAGCTGCAAAGCAGTTTTTGGGAATTTCGAGCGTGGAGTGTTGTACCATTCAAGAAATGATCCATCCATTTCAATATGACTTGTCTGATTAAACTAATTATGGTTCTGTCCGTATTACAATGGAATGCTAGGAGTTTGATTGCGAATGGACAGGAACTAAAAAAAGTTATTAGTGATCTAGAGGTTAAGCCTGAATTGGTATGCATTCAAGAAACGTGGCTACGGCCTCACCTTGATTTTGTTATCCCAGGATATCATTCAGTTAGATTTGATAGGGCAGAGAGCCTTGGAGGAGGGTGCGTCACGTTTGTTAAGGATGGCATAGCGTTCAAAAGAGTCCTCCCTGAGGGAAATCATGAATGTGTTATTGTGGAATTGTTTGACATGCAGCATCCATTGAGAGTGATAAACTTTTATAACCCATGTAAAAGATTAGGGCCGGAGATGTTTGATGAGATAAGTGGGCCAGGGCAATTTAAAGAAATATGGTGTGGTGATTTCAATGCTCACAGCAGTCTCTGGGGAAGTGATCACACTGATGGAAATGGCTCTGCGGTTGAGGAATTTATGGATGTGAGAAATCTTGTATGTGTTAACAATGGGGATGGAACAAGAATGGATATATATAGAAATAAAATGTCATGTATTGATGTTACATTAGTGTCTGCTGGTATGGCCAATTCATGTGTGTGGAATGTAGGAAGTGACAGTCATGGCAGTGACCATTTCCCAATTTATTGTACAATCAATATTGGTAAGCACCTGCAAAACGGCCCTAGTCTTTCCAGGTGGTGCTTTAAAAAGGCAAATTGGGAGGCATTTAAGGAAAAGTGTAGACAATTAGCCTTGGATATTAATCTGAGCTTAGATATTGATGAGTGTGTGCGAGAAGTATCAACTATGCTAAGTACTACTGCTTTGGAATATATTCCCAAAAATACCATTAAAGGTAATTGTTCCTTGGTGGAATGAGGAGTACAGCTTAGCTGTTAAGGATCGTAATAAAGCATTGAGGAGAATGTGTGTATTGAAAATGTAATTGAGTACAAGAAGAAAAGAGCTAAGGCACGTAAAATCATTAAAACGACAAAGTAGAATACATGGAGGGAGTTTTGTGCTAACCTTGGAAGGACAAGCAGCAGGATGGTCTGCAGTATGATGAAGAAAATGAGAGTTGCTACTAGGATTCCAGTTCTGGTTGATGGTGGAAATGTAGCTGTAATAGATTCAGATAAGGCTAGTCTGTTAGGGAAAGAGTTTGCTGGTGTGCATAGTGGAAATCACTTGACAGATATGCATAGACAGAGGAAATGTGAGATGCTCACTGAATTTGAAAATGAAGTAAGGAGGAAGTGTGAGAGTAACTCTGTTATGGATGTAGATTTTACTATGGCAGAACTTAAAGGTGCGCTGCAAGGTAGTAAGAATTCAGCTCCAGGGAGTGACCAGCTTAGTTATGTTATGTTCAGAAACCTTCCCAATGAAGCCTTAAAAATTGTGCTGGAATGTTTTAATATAATCTGGGACTAGGGTACATTACCAGAAAGCTGGAAAACTGCAGTTATCTTACACTTTGCTAAACCTGGGAAAGATGCAAATAGTGCCAAGAATTATAGACCAATTGCCCTGACGTCTCACTTATGTAAGTGGATGGAAAAAATGATTGTTGCAAGAATGGCTTATTATCTAGAGAAGAATAGTCTGTTCAGTAAATATCAACATGGTTTCAGAAAGGGTAGATCAACGGCAAATGCTTTGATTAAAGTCAGCAATGAAATAGAAAAGGCTCTGAAAATGAAAGAGGTATTTGTCATTGTCTTCTTTGATATTGAGAAGGCTTATGATTCAATGTTGAGAGAGGGTCTGCTCATTAAAATGAGTAGAATGGGTCTTGGAGGGAAAATGTTTAATTGGATGAAAAGTTTTTTATCTGAACGAAAATTCCAAGTCAAAGTGGGCAGTGCTATATCTGAGAATTTTGACATTGTTAATGGAATTCCACAAGGTAGTGTGGTAAGCCCAGTTATGTTCAACTTGATGATTAATGATATCTTTGATTCGATTGGAGATGGCATTCAGTCTTCACTATATGCAGATGATGGAGCAGTGTGGAAAAGGGGTAAGAATATTAAACACTTATTTAAATGTATGCAAAAAGCTATTTGTGCAGTGGGAAAATGGTCGTATGAGTGGGAGTTTAAGATTTCAATTGAGAAATCATGTTACATGGTAATCAGTAGGAAAAAGATTGCATGCTTTCCAGCTCTTCATCTGTACAATTGTCAGATGGAAAAAGTAACTCATTTCAAATATCTGGGGATGTGGTTTGATGAGAAGCTCAGCTGGGGTAAACATGTAGAGAACACAGAGACAAAATGTAAGAAGATTGTGAATTTATTAAAATGTATATCAGGCTCTCAATGGGGTGCGGACAGAATTCTTTTATTAAAGATGTACAGAGCTATCATGAGGTCTACCTTGGACTACGGTTGCATGGTTTATGATTCTGCAGCTAAATCCCATCTTGAAAAGCTGGATTGAGTACAGTTCAGGGCATTGAGAGTGTGTATTGGTGCTATGAAATCTACCCCAATCAATGCGCTACTTGTAGAATCAGGAACTCCCATTAACATTGAGAAGATCGAAGGTTGCTCTCTCATACTGGATCAGACTTCAAGGACAAAAGGAATGTAATACTGCATATACTGTGTTACAGAATTGCTGGGAGTATGAAAAATATCCTAATGGGAGATTTGGATGGAGAATTAAAGAGCTGGTGAAAGCTCATAATGTTCCCTTGTCTCCTGCTACAGTGTACTGTAACATTGCTCCATGGATGCTTCCTCAGCAGACTCAAAAGTAGATTTGAGTCTGCTGAATAAAAAGAAAGAATGGAAGGGTAAGAATTGTGACTTGGGATATATGTCACAAAAGTATTTGGATACAAGGTACTCGTATTGTTTGCCTATTTTTACTGATGGATCTAAGGAATGTAGCAATGGTCGTGTTGGAGTGGGTGTGTACATTCCAAAGTTTGAAAAATGCTTCTCAAAGAGACTCACGGACAATCTTTCAGTCTACACTGCAGAACTGTTCGCCATAATACTTGGCCTGCAATGGGTTGAGGAAGTGAAGCCGCTTTGGGTGGTTATCTGTTCAGACTCTGCAGCAGTGCTGCAAAGTCTGACTTCAGGAATGACTTGTCGAAATGATTTGATTATTGAAGTAAATGTGATACTATTGAATCTACAACAGATGGGTATCCAAGTGCAGTTTTGTTGGATCCCTGCCCATGTTAATATTTTTTTGGGAATGATGTGGCAGATAAACTGGCAAAAAGAGCACTTTGAGAAGAGAATATTATTGCAATTCCATTTGGAGGATCAGAGATAAAAAGTGTAATAAATCAGAGCATTGTTGCAGTGTGGCAGGAGATATGGGACCATGATGTTAAAGGACGACATTTGTACGGGATCAAAAAGAGTGTCAGAGTGTTAGGATTTAGCAGGCAGAGACGGATCGTGGTGTGCCAAACTCTGGAAGTTTATTTAAGTTTCTCTCAAGTTCCACTGGTTTCCTCTGTTTCTTTCTCTCAGACAGAATAAAGGCAGTACACAGTTTATATAGTCATTGTCACGTCACACATCGAAAGACATACGTGTCACAAAGAGACAGTCAAATCATAGTCATAACATGGAGTCCTTGTAGAGTCCTTGTACAGTCCTGCACGTAGGCCATATTGCTATCTAATACTAATACCCTCCCCTTTGATCACATAATCACATGTGATCACTCAAATCGATCAATCAATAAAGTGGAAAAAGAAAAAAAAAAATTCTAAAAAAAAACTTTCAAAAATTATTAAAAACAAAGAAAATGTATGCATTAAACTCATAATCATCAAATCAATATCAGTGGATTTTATCCTCTATCCTGGGAAAAAACAAACAAAATAAACAAACAAAAAAAAACAAAAACAAATCAAAAATAAAAAACAAACAAACACTATTGGACACAGTAGAACTCAGCAGATTCAGTCAAAACACAGACAAAAACGAGCTGAGTCTCAAATTAGAAGCTAATTTCACTTTTATTACTCTATACTTTTATTCTAATGCTAATTGTTTACACTACACTTCACTTATTTCACTGTATTATTTTCACTTTTCAATCTTAGACTGTGTACTTTACTTTCACTATTCACTATAGTTTAAACTATTCTAATCTATTTACAAATATGTTTGTATATTTGCTTCTATTGAGCCATATTCTTAAACATACATTTTAATCTAATAAATCTCTCTGTGGTATTATACTCTCATTATCAGTGGCTTTGTGCTAATGGGATTTTGTTCTATCTCTCTTCTACATTCTCAGGAATAAAACTGTGAACACAGTAAGGCAAATGGTCAACATTTACACTTCTATAGTGGTCAGTGATTTATTACTTTTTATTATCTAAAGATATTATTGTCAGGCATTTGGGATGAATGTACATCATTAATCAAATTAGTATTATCCTTACAAGAGCTAATCTATTTTAGCAGGTTTGGGGTCAGTTATTCTACAATGGTGTTTGTGCTGGAAACTTCTCAATATCTAAATATCTACTATTGTGTATTTGGGCTACACCCAAATACATCAAAATGCTTTTGAATCTCTGTTGGTTCTAATCTATCTCATTAATCTAGGCATTAATCTAGGCTACACTCATATGAACTTTTTGTATTGTCAACATTCACAGATGTTTGAACACAAGTGAATTTGGCAGTATCTAATAAAACTGTACATAAACTGTAATGAACTTTATCTACTTCTGAAGTAAATGTTTGTGAAATGGTCCCTTTACCATTTGATATTAGCACTGGCTAAGAATATTCTCTATTTTTGAAAGCATCTATGGTTGATGCATTTATCTATCTCTATTTTTACTCTATTTTTTAACTCCAAAGCTTGGTTGCAGCTTGAGCAAAGGCATATTCCTAGTTTGTGACTTCTGTCACTTTTAGTGGCTGTAACATGATTCTGATTCTAATATTCTAGCTGATCTATCAAAAGGATAACATTGTAGGGTACTATTTTAACTCTTACGTGGAAATGTGTTTATGAACAACAAAGGAAGGACAATTCTAATCTTTTACTACTATTTAACATCTACTAAAATGCTACAATACTCATACTTTATCATTTTCAAAGTTTTTGTCTGTCAGATGTCTGAATACTTAACATGTATATTGCATTTGGTCACAGGTTCCGGTTGTAGCAATAGCATCGGCAATAGACGTTTTCATTGGCTGGTTCTTGTTCTGCAAATGGCTGTGTCCAATAGATCATCAGATGTCCAGAAGCTAGGGACAAACAAAAACAAAAGAAAGAATCATGAGTATCTCTCTCATTTAGCACTCATCAATGTATGATTTCAAAAATATAAACATCACTCCCCAGTTTTCTCTCTCTCAGGTCCTCAGGTCCTCAGATCCTCAGGGTCCCCTGAGGGTGAGTCTCAGTCGTCATCAGGTCAGGTCATATAGAGATGTCATCTTGGACATCAGTAGGGTCCAAGCCATGGTTTCGGTCTCTCCAGATGCACATCAGATCTCCAGATACAGTCTTTTCACTTGAAGCGCATCAGGTCATTTGCGATGCACTTCTGGTCAATGGTGCAGTGTCTCAGTTCCTGTACACAGCTTGTAATGCAGTAGTTACTCTCTATGGTTAAGTCACTTTGATTCTACTTTAAAGACAATTTCTATTCATGCTGTTGCTAATGTCTCTCAGACAAAAAGCAAGCGCAATGATTCAGTTTACTTCTCTAATTTGTGTTTTTATCAGATGTAATCCTAATCAATGTAATTACTTCACACAGTACAAAATCAACAAATCAAAAGTGTCAGGACAGAGGTCAATTAGTCCATGACAATATAGAATTCAAATGAACATTTCTGGTCTCAAAAAATACCGATTCAACTAAAGATTCAAGTGATAGACAATTAAAAATATGTGTTTACATTGGAGTAAACTTTTAAAATGCTTTTTTCTCATGTTCTGCTTTTTCATGTATCTATATGTAAATGTGAATGTGTGAGTGTATGTGTGTGTGTGTGTGTGTATGTGAATTTTGGGGTTGTTTCTCCAGACTCCTCGAACCACCCGTAGGTGTCAAAGGTCACACTGTGGTGATGTAAACCAACTGGACACACTTCCAACTCTCATTCAGGTCTCTACCTGATGCTCCACCAATCACTGCCTCCAGAAACCTCTCTCTACCCCGGTCTCTCTCACACCCACTCAGCTCTGCAGTGGCGTGGGGAGGGGCAAGGAGGTGGCATTTCCCTTTGCTCTTAGCTCTGTGGCCTGTGGCTGGGTGGGCTTTGCGCTGTCCAGTGTCCAGCAGTGACCCCTCCCACAGTGTGCCAGAGTCTGAAAAACAATCCTTGAGACGGCCAATTTAAAAACAACAGATACAGTATCAGTTTGTGAATGAGATTGTTTTTCTCCCTGAAGTCAAAACAATTTTGGAGCGCTCTGGGTTTTCCCAAGCGCTATGTAAATAAAAGATTACTTATTATCTTACTAATGTGAAACTTTTTAAAACCAGAAACTCTTAATAAAAAACAAGACTCAAATCTCTTGAACCTTTTAAACTTTAAAAAATGTATTCTATTTTGTACTTCTGTACTGTGTGATGTTTTTAATCTTGGCGTCCTTGGATTTCTTGAAATGCGCCATAAAATAGAATGAATTATTATTATTACTCAAATCGCAACTAAAACTGTATGAAAAATCTCCCTTTTACACTTGAACATTTAAAGCATATATTCTAATTTAAGATAATGGCTGCATTCTTCAAATGCACTCAATAAACTTTTAAAAACATTTTGAATTAACGGACGTAATCAAACTCTGCTCGCTCTGCAGTGAGCAGCAGCTGCAAGGCCAGAGCTATAGACAAAACAAAACTCACAAAACTCGCAGCTTTTAGACTGTAAATTGGGTCACAGTTTAACTTAATAATACTTTTACAGCTATCCTGTTCTATTCCTAATTCCCTCTTTCTTTTTTACACAAACTCTATAAATCAATCATTCTAATCACTTTTAACACGGATTCTAATTTAAATGTTTGAAAAACGGCTTTTGTAACTAAAATAAAAACATAAAAACAAACACAACTCACAAAAAGTTAAGAAATAAGCAGCAGATTTAAAAGAATGGAATCTAGAAATATGTTAGGTCTAAAAAGAATTGCACAGCTTTAGCACTAATCTTTGGGTTTCAAAAAACATATAATATTCAAAACTTATTCACTAATGGTGTTTAAAAACGTTTAACTGTGTCATAACACAATGTTCAATTGCAAATTTAGCAAATTTAACGGAATAACAACTATGAAAAGCCTAAATCCTAAAAGCAGTAGCTTTGCTTCAGATTCAGAGCCAGAGCAGCGAAGGTGGGGGCCGTTTCCCTGACAACGGCAGCAGATAGAGCGACGCACACACACAGGCAAAAAGATACAGAAGAATAACTTTCAAGATTACTTTGTTAAGCAAATATAACATAAAACCAAACTAAAATTCCTATAATTCACAAGAAGTTATACTAAAGACCAAATATATGCAATTTACACTCAATTTCAAGAATATGTCTGATGGTTTTCTTTATACTTTTGTCATCTAAGTATAGAAATGGTCCATTTTAACACTAGTAACAAAAGGCACTCTTGTCTTTAACGTTTACGCTTCTATTTTATCGAGGTAGCAAACTAATTTAAACTTAAAATCTCTTTCTAAAAAACAAAAACAACTGTTGGATACAACCCTCTCATAGCTCAACTGTAGATAAAACTCGGCAAAAAATGTAAATAACTCACGAAAGCTCTCATAGCTCAACTTTAGATAAAACTCTGCATTCTCCGGTGAACTCTGTTCACTCCAAAAACAAAAACTCCCTTTTTCTGTATGTAATTTAAACCGTGATCACTGAAATATTGTTGCTTCTTTACTTTTGTCATTTATCAAGCCTGAAATTCGTCAATTTCAAAGCTTTTGTAACAAAGGCCTCCTTAACACGTTTCCCTTTTTATTGCTTTTATGCCCTGTCCACACGAAGTCAAGCTCAGGCCTAAACGCAAAAATACTTTATCAATCCAGTGTATCGTCCATACGAGGCCGGCGTTTTGGGGGGGTGTAAACGAACATTTTTGAAACTAGGTCCCAGAGTGGAAAGATTTCAAAACTCCGTATATGCCGCTCCGTGGTTACTGCCTCTCCGCAATGTATCTGAGACGCTTGCGTCATCGCCCCGCCTCTTGTTAAAGCACGCATGCGCCGCACTCCGAAAATAATGACAACAACAATGTAGCTTGTTGGTTTTGTAATCCAGTGTGACCCGAAGCAACAGTTCAACCTCATCGTCCGTCCATACTAATGTAGTACCAGCTCGCCCACTCGCCATGTTGTCTGTTTACAAAATTCCGCGCATGCCCACGGAAGTTTGGGCTTGATCCCGTCATTGCGTCACAGCGCCACCAACAGGTCTGGCATAGTTTCACAGCGTTTTCAGGCGTATTGACTACATTCATATGGACGCACACATTTACTGAGCTAACTCCGTGTTTACAGAAAAAGTTTCTGAAATTATAAGCGTTTTGTCTTCGTGTGGATATAGCCTTAATTTTACACTTTTGGATCCAACACTTTTCTCTGGCTAGCAAGGGGCCTCTACCCCGGTAATTACTCAAAAAAGGGCCTCTACCCTGTAATTACTCTTTTTCTCTTCTCAAGGGGCCTCTACCCCGGTAATTACTCAAAAAGGGCCTCTACCCTGTAATTACTCTTTTTCTCAAGGGGCCTCTACCCCGGTAATTACTCTAAAAAGGGCCTCTACCCTGTAATTACTCTTTCTCTGCCCTGACTACTTCAAAGGACAGGGACCCCGATACGTCAAGGGGTTCCTTTTTCCTATAGGGACTGGTTACCCACACAGCTAACCTGTTTTCTACAACATAAGACATGACAAAGACGTGACAAAGACAAAACAAAGAAAATTTGATTTAGAGAGATTTGGACAGACCTCCGGGACAGCTCAAAATTTAGCTAGTATCCAATTATGCAGACTTTACATATTAAAAAAGGTGTCTGCTTACCTTATTTTCTTTGTCCGGACTGTTCGAGAGGTCGACCAACATCTTTTCCGCGTCGAAAAATTCAATTTAAACACAAAACAGAGAAAGTGAGGGAGCAAGAGCAAGCCCATCCAAAAGCGAGCCCTTTCAGCGTCCACTGGGATTTCTCCCCTTCCAGATAACGTGCTGTTGCTCCCACACGCCGAAAAAAAGAAACAGAGGAAATTCCCTCAAAACAATCCAGAGAATGGCACAAACCGAGCCGCGCATTCTCCACCAAATCTGTTAGGATTTAGCAGACAGAGACGGATCGTGGTGTGCCAAACTCTGGAAGTTTATTTAAGTTTCTCTCAAGTTCCACTGGTTTCCTCTGTTTCTTTCTCTCAGACAGAATAAAGGCAGTACACAGTTTATATAGTCATTGTCACGTCACACATCGAAAGACATACGTGTCACACAGAGACAGTCACATCATAGTCATAACATGGAGTCCTTGTAGAGTCCTTGTACAGTCCTGCACGTAGGCCATATTGCTATCTAATACTAATAAGAGCTTATAGATTAACACCTGCCAGTTATCACAGGAGAAACGATACAGCACTTACCCGCCTAAGGCTCGGACATACAGGCCTGAACTCAACATTGTTTAGAATATATAAGTCTGCTACAGATAAGTGTGACATGTGTGATGTAAGTGAGACAGTTGAGCATGTGCTGTTGAAATGTGAAAAGTACAGTGTGCAAAGGGATAGAAGCAGGGCGGGAGTGGAGCATGGAGGGTATTTTGGGAGAGGGGCTTAATCAGGAGAAGGCATGGAGGGCACTATTTTATTTTTTAAATTCAACAAAAATCATAAATAGACTGTAACATTGTACCAAAGGCATGGAGTATTACGCTCTGATACAGTAGGTGGCGGCATACGTCAATGCTGATTCGTAGCCCGCCATAAAATTACAGAAGAAGAAGAAGAAGTCCCCTGTCTAAAGAACATGGGCTACAGACGAAGGTGGGGGACACCACGTGACCCAGGAACACACGCACTTAAGTGTAACTTTCTGAACTTGGCAGAGTATGAGGCCGCCGCAGTCCTAATGCTGTTTATGCTTTATGTTTATGTCCAGCATGCGTACACTCCCTTTCACTCATTTTATGACGTCTTTCTGTCTCCAGGCTCGTCTGGGCGCTGCTCCTCTGTACGTGTCTGGTCCACGGTGAGTATTTCATCATCTACACTTTAAAAGTGATGTCGCAATTATCAGTGGCTCATACTTCCTCCTGAAAACTGAAGGGTGTCTCTCTCCCTCTCTCTCATGATTTGTATGAAACGCTAGAGATAACTTTTTTTGGGGGCCATCTTGTGTTTCCAGAAAAGCGGGATTGTGGCAGACATCTTGGGATTTCAGTGTTCTATTATAGAATGATCTATTGCAGAGTGTCAAACACTGGCCCGCGGGCAAATTTGATGTAATTTCATTTGGCCCTTGAAGCAATATCAAATAAACATTAGAGCTGGCCCGCCGATATTATACAGTGGTCATTCACTGCTAATTCTATAAATCCCATAATACTCAGCTGATGTTTTGGCGCGCCCACCTCTCCTCATGTTCGGCAGCACTTATCTATATGAGCGACTTTTCTCCTCAATGAAGATGACAAAAACTGACTGATGAACACCTTTGTTCGATAATGAAGGTTGCCTGAGCTCAAAGCCTGAACCCCAACATGAGGTCTTTAATGAACTAGCATCCAAGAAAATATGCCAGGTATCCGGGCACACCTAACCAAACTAACCAAACTGAGCAGTAAAAAGGCCTGAATGTTTGATTTATTCATTGTTATTTTATTTTCAAATTTATCAGCCTGTGTTGATACTTACCTCAGAAGGCTGCAAAAGGAAAAGACATATTCAATTTGTATTTACATTTTTTGATATGCCATTGATATTTTTAAATGATTATTATTATTATTAAACTCTATTTTGCATGTCACTACAAAGATATAAAAGCCTTGCTTGTTCAATATTCAATGCAAAACTTGTTTGGGTCCTTAGTAAAAGGTTAATTTGTTCAACCTTGGCGCGGCTTTGTTCAGTTTTAAATTTTGGCCCACTCTGTAGTAGTTTGACACACCTGATCTAATGGGACTAAAATCTTGGTATTTTGTGGGAAGAGAAAATTATTCACATTTTGTTTTAATGTAAATATGTGCTAAAGCAAGTAAAGTTTGGGGTAAGAGCAGTTCATTTGTGAAAGGACTGGGAATAGGGTGACATTTCTACCTTTTTCAATCGGAGAGCTACATTTATACAACAGAAGAAGCAGAGAGCTACTCCTTTTTGCAATTGTAATTAAAATCTATGTAGATAGAGAACACATGTCAAATATACCATAATAATACTAATAATATGTAATGACTCCAAACATATTCATTGAAGATCGTGTGGGAACTCCTGAGCTACAGGTCGAGGCCCCTGCTTTAGAGCCTTCTCATATGTTTCCTCAGAGCTGCTCGGAGCGGTCTCTGTGGGGGACACTGTGACCCTCTCCTGTAACTACACCCGCGGCGACCCCCCCCTGCCCCCCTCCCCCACCATCATCTGGAAAAGCCCCTCAGGAGAAACTCTGTCCAACTCCAAAGACTTCAACCTCACACTGAAGAACGTGAGCAGGAGCCAGAGCGGCACCTACACCTGCCACATCCCGGACGTGAGGTTTCAGAGGACCGTGAAGCTGAGCGTGACCGGTGAGGCATGTTCAACACTGAGTACTACTGAGACACAGCCAGCAGGGGCACCAGAGAGCACAGGGGACAGCTTTATGTTTGCATGTATGTATTTTTTTAGCTGTATATGTGTTGAAATCAGTGGGGGCGGGTCCCGGCTCCAAAAGGTCCATGAGTACGTGCCCTGACACGCTGAAATCTCTTTCCAGGCCCTTGGGGGTAGACATGGTATAACAATTACCTAATGCTTATGTAACGTATGCCGCCTTCTTTCCTCGCAAAAACATCTCTACAGGATGGTCCCAACTCTTGGACCAACTCTAGGATTTCCCCTCAGCATTGAGGTTTTTTTTGCAGACCAGCCTAGTTTAGCTGCTGTGGACTTTCGAATGCACTCGTTAAATGAATGGGGCTGGAGCTATTTTGAAAAAGCCCAAAGACGGCGAAAGTGGTGGTACATCAGTTTCAACGGGGGAGATAGGCGTTAATATCTACAGTCTATGGATACACACAGTCCCCCTTCATGTTGATTGTGTTTCTAGTGTAAACCATGGTATCTCTGTCTGGTCTCTCTCTCTGATCTCCCTCTGGTCTCTCTCTCTGATCTCCACCTGGTCTCCCTCTAGTCTCTCTTTCTAGTCTCTCTCTCTGATCTCTGGTCTCTTTAGACTCTCTCTCTGGTCTCTCTCTGATCTATCTCTGGTCTCGCTAGTCTCTCTCGGATCTCCATCTGGTCTCTCTGGTCTCCCTGATCTCTCTCTTTCTGTGTTTTTCAGATAAAGTGATAGTTCCAGACGTAGAGGACCGGAGTGTTCCTACAGGGGGCGCTGTGGGTCTGATTGGGTCCTTTCTTCACGTCCTCATTCTTCTCCTGTTATTTTACTAAAACACACACACAGAAACAACATGCTTTTGTGTTTAAAATCTAACGTTGTAGAAGTAAGTTATTCTTTATTTATCTAGCACCTTTCTCAAACAGTCAGAAAGTGCTTTCCGGGGGCGTGGCTGAGCTGTTCATGGAGTAGGACGTGTGATTGCGGGCTCCTGCCGAATACGATTAAAAAGTAACATTTATTTGCGCTTTTATTTACAAATCTTACATGGTTGCTTAAGCACATATTCATCTGAATTGAGTCGTACAGTCACGTTTAAATGTTTGGAAAGAACGCAATTAGGAAGTCTCGGACCACCATCCAGACGCAGCTACCTCCTAGCATGCAGGCTAACGCTGGTGCTACAGATGTGCAGCTAGCATCGAGCGAACCTGGCGCTACCCTGTCCGAGGCTGGATCTAGACACGTCGCAGACACTGATGTCTTGAAACTTGAGATTTTATCATCGCTTAAAGAAGACATTGCTGGAATTATCAAGAAAGAGCTCCAGGATGCCCTTGTGCCCGCGCTAACACCAGTGAGGTCTGACTTGCAGGCACAGCTAGCGGCTAACAAGGCTGCTACTGATGCTATACTGACTACACTGAAAGGTACTGTACAGTTGAGGACATGGAGACGGCGCTGTCTGAATGCACGGATGATATAACCAATTTGAAAACTACTGTGGCACATCTCACTGTAACCAGACTGGAAGGTAAATGTGAAAATCTCGAGGCCAGATCGAGACGTCAAAACATAAGAATTGTTGGAGTCCACGAGGGTCCCAACACCTGCACCACCACTGTTGTCGCTGCCCTGCTTAAAGAGACCCTCGGTTTGGACAACGAGCCCCGTCTGGACCGGTCTCATCGAACCGCGCCTCGTCGATCAGCAGCAGGAGAGCGCACGCGTCCCAGAGCTATCGTCTGTCGGCTTCACTACTGCAGTGACTGTGTGGACATTTTACGTCGAGCGACAGAGCGGGGACAGATAAAGGTGCGTGATATGACAATCTCTGTTTTCCCTGACTACACTGACGGCGTGGCTCGGGCTGCATTCAATGATGTGAGGCGACAACTCCGAAACATCGAGGGCACCCGGTATGGTCTGTTCTACCCAGCGCGGCTTCGGATCACCTACGGGGGAGCAGAGAAGGAATTCACCTCCGCTGATGACGCTGGACAATACGTGAAGACCATGACAACATGGTAATTTGAGGATACACCGGTATGGCCTCATCTCTTAGACATTCTTTCACTTCTTTTTCATTATTCAATATAAGTCTGATCAACAATGCAGCTTCTCATTTACGTTGAAATTTGGTGATTCACATTTGCTATTATGTGCATACGTTTATGTACAGTTTGTGCTGCGCATATAAGTTAAATCTTACCTTTTGTGACACTGTTTGAATGCCATTACAATGCGCACTTTGATTTTAGGATATGTGTTCGGTGGGAGTCCTTTCACATTATTTTTCTTAGCTAACTAATTTTATTTCTTGCTTCTTAGAATAGTTTAGTTGACTCCGAAGTGCTTACTTTAAGTGAGCATGTTTTTCGTCTGTGCTAAATACACTGTTGTCCCCACTGTTGGAAAGTTTTTGGGTAACTTTGGGTGTTTTTTGTTTTTTAGGGGAATTGGGGGGAGGGGGGGCCGTCTCAGCTCTGTTATTTGATCATATGGCTAGTACCACCGTGAATCCTAAAATGGCCGGGCCTGGCACACCTTGCAGATTTATAAGTTGGAATGTCAGAGGGATGGGCAACCCTGTCAAGAGATCTAAAGTGTTCTCACATCTGAAACGTCAGAAGCCTTCCATAGTGTTCTTGCAGGAGACTCACCTTAGAAATAATGTCCATCACAGATTGCGCTATCCTTGGGTGAGTCAGATTTTTCATTCTGACTTTAATTCAAAAGCGAGAGGAGTTGCCATTTTGATCCATAAAAATGTACAATTCTTTTCCACTAAACAAGGTAGATTTTTAATAGTTGCTGGTACTTTGATGAGGAAACAGGTTTTGTTAATTAATGCATACGCTCAAAATTATGATGACCCTGCCTTTGCCAATAATTATTGAGCAGCCTCCCCTTTCTGAATACCCACTCAATCATTTTTGCTGCTGATCTAAATTGTGTTCTTCGTCCAAATTTGGACCGATCAAATCCAGGCACTCATACTCTATCGGCTATGGCACAAGTTTTCTCCAATTTTATGAAACACAATGATCTTATCGACCCATGGAGATCTCTAAACCCCTCTGGTCAGAAATATTCTTTTTTTTCCCAAGTGCATCATTCCTTCTCCAGGATTGACTATTTCTTAATTGATAGAGCTTTAAACCCATTTGTAATTTCATCTGATTATGTTATAGTACAATATCTGATCATGCGCCAGTATTATTAGACATTCAGTTTGACACCCAAATACACGCCCCACCTCGATGGAGGTTTAATTCACTTCTTTTGGCTGATAAGGAATTCTGTGATTTCATTTCTAATTCAATTGATGAATTCCTTTTGTTTAACAAAACTTTTCCTACTTCACATTCATTAATATGGGAGACACTCAAATGCTATCTTAGGGGCCAAATTGCATTATCAAAGAAAAAGTCTGATTTTAGGATGAACGAATTGACCACAGCTATTGCTGACCAAAGATATGCAATAAACCCGTCCTCAGAACTTCATAAACAACGCTTGGATTTGCAAACGGTAAGAATTTAACCTCTTAACTACTCGTGAAGCAGAGCGCTTGATATTACAAACCCGTGGCACATATTATGAGCATGGCGATAAAGCCAGTCTTTTGGCTCACCAGCTGAAACGACAAAATACTTCACGCAGTATATCAAGTATAAAAAATGCGGAAGATACCATTACTGCTGACCCTATTGAAATAAATAACACCTTTAAATCATTTTATTCTTCTTTATACAAATCAGAATTTCCCCCAGACAGCTGCAAAATGGATGATTTTTTCCGTGACCTTGATAATCCAGTGGTTGACCCTGACGTGGCTGAGAGCATGGATTCCCCACTCACCAACATCGACATTTTTAACTCAATTAAAGCATTCCCACCTCTGCACCTTCTCCACGGACTCCCACACTGCTGTCGTTGTGTCCTTGGGCAAGACACTTAACCCCACTTTGCCCAAAGCCCCCACTGAAAGATCAAGGCTATGCTCACACTCAGAGAGCAGCCGTTCTCCTGTGGACTCACCACCTGCAGAGGGTCAGTGAGGGGCTGGTGCTATGAGACTTGGGTGGCATCTCTGACTGCCACCCCCCTGACCCAGAAATGGATTAAAGGGTAGAAAATGGATGGATGGATAAAGCATTACAATCGAATAAGGCATCCGGACCCGACGGGATACCGATTGAATTTTATAAAAAGTTTGCTGAGAAATTGGGACCACTGCTTCTGGCCATGTTTAATGAATCACTAGAGAATGGCTGTCTGCCACCCACGCTCACACAAGCCACAATCACGTTAATTCATAAGAAGGACAAGGATGCTACACTCTGTGGGTCCTATGGGCCCTTATCACTTTTACATTCTGATGTTAAGGTGCTAGCTAAAGCAAATGCATCCCGTATGGAAAATGTACTCCCCTCCATTGTTTCAGCCGAGCAAAATGGCTTTATAAAGTCGCGCCAGCTATTTTTCAATACTCGTACTTTACTAAACATTATTTATCCAAAACATACGTCAGATAATCCAGAATTGGTAATTTCGCTCGATGCGGAGAAAGCTTTTGATAGAGTGGAGTGGAAGTATTTGTTTTCAACTTTGTTTAAATTTGGCTTTGGCAATAGATTAATTGCATGGATCCGTCTCCTATACTCATCACCCAAGGCTAGTGTACATACCAACAACATTTACTCTGACTTCACCCTGACGCGGGGCACGTCAGGGTTGCCCTCTCTTGCCTCTCCTCTTTGCCATTGCAATTGAGCCTCTGTCAATCACACTGAGAGCTGCTCCATTATTTAAAGGGATAATGCGAAATAATATTCAATACAAATGATCATTGTATGCTCATGACTTGCTTCTGTATGTAACTGATTATACCACCACTATTCCAACTGTTTTGAAGATACTCAATAACTTTAGCTCTTTTTCGGGGTATAAATTAAATTTTGAAAAGAGTGTATGTTTTCCAATCAACAACGCTGCTTGCAATCTTCAACAAAATGAATTTCCTTTTAGATTTAGCCCATCTGGGTTTAAATATTTAGGTATAAACATCACTCGTTCTTTTACCTCTTTGGTTTCAGCTAATTATACCCCTCTTATCACAAAGGTTAAGTCAGACTTTCAGAAATGGCGTTATCTCCCATTATCCCTTATTGGCAAGATTAATGTGATCAAAATGAATGTCTTGCCCAGATTTCTTTTCTTATTTCAGACTATCCCCAGTTTTCTTCCTAGAATCTTTTTTGATGCATCAGACAAGATTATGGGTGATTTTATTTGGGATGGGAAACCTCCTAGAGTACGGAAATCATTGTTGCAGAGGTGTAGACTTAGTGGCGGACTTGCACTGCCCAATTTCCAATCGTATCACTGGGCAGCTCACATCCATAAACTATGCTACTTACTAAAATCTCCGACAACTCTATCGTGCAAACTAGAACACTTATCATGTGAAGGTTCATCTCTTTCACCTTTGATTTTTTTTCCTCTATTTCTATAAAACTATCCTTGTATACTAACAACAGAGTGGTACAGGACACACTTAAGGGAATAGTTCACCGTTTTTACATACTGACAAATGTTCTTACCTTACCTTAGACTAGTTAATACGTACCTGTCTGGTCTTAGTCCGTGCGCTCTGTCATGCAAACGGAGCAAAAACGGGAGCACAACCGCAGCCTCCTCTGTATATTTTGTAGCACCAAAAGGTAGCTCCCGCTAGAAGCTACCAAACTCTTCCAAGTGTTCCCTATTAAATGTATATAGTTACGTGACGTGTTACACTGCAAAGTATAGTAACACAGAAATGTAACAGTCGATTTTCTCAGCGGATAAAACGGGTACTATATTGTGAGGCGTAGTAATCTAAGGGGCGCTACGTCCGCGCACTAACTTCTCTCCGGAGACTTCTCTCTCGCTCACTTCCGTCAATAGAAGCAGCGTGACTTGTAGTACACACAGTAGCAGCGAGAGAGAAGTCTCCGGAGAGAAGTTAGTGCGCAGAGAAGTTAGGAGCGCTACGTCCGCGCACTAACTTGATATTCTACATTTGTGTAACTTTGTATCATTATTGTCCATCCATCCATTCATTTTCTTCCCCTTAATCCATTTCTGGGTCGGGGGGGTGGCAGTCAGAGCTGCACCCAGTATAGCACCAGCCCCTCACTGATCCTCCTGCAGGTGGTGAGTCCACAGGAGCTGAGATCTTTTAGTGGGAGCTTCAGGCAAAGTGGGGTTGAGTGTCTTGCCCAAGGACACAACGACAGCAGTCATCAGTGGGAGTCGTGAAGTAGGTCTTGTGGTGGGCTCGAACCCACAACCTTCAGGCTCAAAGGCCAATGCTCTACCAACTGAGCCACTGTCGCCCCCAGCCATTATCATTATTGTATCAAGGGAAAAAAAAAAATACATTGTAATATTGTATTTGACTATGCATGGTATTTTATTACCTGTGTCTTCAATAAAAATAACTGGGGAAAAAAAGAAAGTGCTTTCCATTGTACATGTGTCTCTCTCTGGTCGGGGAAACCGGAGCACATGAAGGAAACCTGCGCAGCTACAAGGAAAACATGTAAACTCCACACAAAAAGTTTAATTCTTGTGATTTATCTATCTATTAAATATGGAAAGTTATCTGTTCAATTTGTGTTTTTGAATATAGACATGAAGTGGATTTAGTGTCACTGCCACAAGAGGGCGCTGCTCCAACACCACAGTTCTGGAACTAGCTTCAATAACTATAAGCTGGGATCTGTAACTTTAGTCTCATAAGTAACATGAAGAAGTGCCCTGTGAGTCAGTGATCAAGATGGCGCCTCGTAAGGTCGCCACGGCTCTTTGCTGCTCAGGGTCCTGTTCGTGGACTTCAGCTCTGCCTTCAACACAATCCTGCCATCCCTGCTCCAGGACAAGCTCTCCCAGCTCAACGTGCCCGATTCCACCTGCAGGTGGATCACTGACTTCCTAACAGACAGGAAGCAGCGAGTACGTCTGGGGAAGAATGTCTCGGACTCTCGGATTATAAATACAGGAGCCCCACAGGGCTGTGTTCTTTCTCCCCTGCTCTTCTCCCTGTACACCAACCACTGCACCTCCAGCCACGACTCCGTGAAGCTGATCAAGTTCGCGGACGACACCACCCTCATCGGACTCATCTCCAACAACGATGAGTCCGCCTACAGGAGGGAGGTGGACCGGCTGGTGTCCTGGTGCAGTGGTAACAACCTGGAGCTCCTGGACCTGGACCTCTGCAGAGGAAGTGATCGGCCGCAGCCTTCCATCGCTGCAGGACCTGTACGTCGCCCGAGCTCGAGGCCGGGCTGGTCGTATCACAGCCGACCCCTCTCACCTGCACATGGACTATTCCAACCACTCCCCTCAGGCAGGAGGCTGCGGTCCATCAGGACTAGAACCTCCCGCCACAAGAACAGTTTCTTCCCCTCTGCTGTTGGACTCTGGAACACTTCTTAACCTGTCCCCCCGCCCTTTATAAAGTCACTTTACTGCCCATCATACGTCACTTTACTTCACTGTACTGCTGTCACCTTACATTGTGTGCACCATGTGCACTTGTATATTGTAAATAGTAACTGTAACTCTATTTTAAATTTAACTTTATTCCTTAGAAGTGTTTTTTATTCATTTTATTTTATTCTCTCTGACTGTTGCACTTAGCCAAAGCAATTTCCAAGTCTGTGACTTCCTGTTACTTACGTGGCAATAAAATTATTCTGATTCTGAGTATCTGACTCTTTGGGCTCAGTGGGGGTGGTCTTCTCTTTGATCTAAAAATGTGACATCACAAATACATATTGTGAAACTAGTCCCAGAAGCAACTTCTTTGAGCCAGAACTGGATTTAATAGAGTTCTATTGGTCTGAAAGTTAGAATCAGTTTTAAAGTTACAGACCCCAGCTTTAGTCAGAAAATCTATATATTTGTAAACATTTCTTCCTCTTTACACAAACCACAAAGTGGCGGTTTTACAAGAAAGATGAAAAATGACAAACAGGAAGTAACACCAGTCGCTCAGAAAAACCTGTAACCAGAAATCACAAAGCATCAGCATGTCGGTGCCCCTGCTCCTGATCTGGCTTCTGGTCCTGGGTCTGGTCCACCCTCAGACCACGGTCCCGGTCCGGGTCCAGCTGGGTCAGTCTGTGGTCCTGCAGTGCTCTCTGAGACCGGACCAGAGCTGGTGGTTCATGGAGGTGCACAGTGGTCTTCAGAGCTGCATCAGCCAGAACCTGGCTCTGAATCAAACCAGCTTCTACTCAGTTTCTGAGTCTGAGAAGTTCTCTGTGGAGAGCAGCAACCTGACCATCCACAACCTGAGCCAGTCCGACCTGAGGACCTACAGCTGCGTGAAGGTCCGGGCCACACAGAACCTCAAGTACGGCTTCCACCAGATGTTTGAGGAGAGGCACAGATACACGCTGAGCTCAGGTTAGACCCACTGCTCCTCACCAACATGCAGGACATTCTGGCTCAGATGAACATCCCTGTGTTTGCAGATGAGGACTCTACAATCCAGGACCTAGGTCTGGACCAGGTCTGGACCTTCAGGCTCCTCCTGGTCTCAGCAGCTCTGAACCTGCTCCTCACTGTTACAGGTGAAACTCTGTTCTATGTTCTGGTTAGAAACAGACAAACTCAGACACACACACTCACAAATCCCTGTGTGTGTTTTCTCAGTGTTGGGGCTGTTATGTTTGAGGAGGAGAGGTTCCAAAGCTGTAGTCCAGGAACACACAGAGGTTCAGGTACAATGCACGCACACACTCGCACACACACAGACACATACAGGCACACAAAGAGCAGACAGACAAGTACAACTGTGTGGTTTGTTTCAGTATGAGGAGATCCAGCTCAGTCCCAGACCAAGTCCCGGACCAAGTCCCGGACCAAGACCAGGACTCCGAGCTCATCCTCCCTTCGACTTCTACTGCAAAGTCCAGCTGCCCATAGCCCCTCCTTCGCTCTCAAAGCCCCGCCCCCTGTGAATGTCCCGTACTGTTTAAGCATTCATCTGAGCCAAAACGCCCTCTGCTCCCGTCAGTGTCTCAGTAGTTTTCCTTTTGTCACTCACAGGGATTTTTGCTTAAAGGGGGAAAATCCACTGATTTCTGACTTGACCCTCGCTCAGTGCTGCCTGAGTGGCCTTTGACGTTTCTGTTATTTTGACGTTTGGTGAAATAAACAGAACATTTATTATTGATAAAGTCTTGAATGTGTCTGTGGAGTTTGTGCTATGGTGATGTCACACGCAGACAGAATGAGCTGCTGTTTCAAGTCATGGGACCAAGTCATGAGTCCAGACCCAAACAAGGCTAGACCGGGAGTGGAGACGGGTCTAAGGTAGGTCTTATGGAGGACTAAAAGAGGACTACTAAAGCAGGACAAAAGGAGGTCTAAAGCAGGACTAAAGGAGGACTAAAGCAGGTCTGGACCAGGTCTCAGGCTCAGATGGAGAAGTGGGTGTGTTGGTGCAGACATGAGACAAATGATGAAGAGGAATCTGAACCAGAGGAAGAGGAGCAACTCCCAGAACCGACAGAGGTGAGAGGAATTCAGACTGTTCTGGAAATGTTTGGTCTTTGTCTCTTGTCTCTCCCTCGTCACTCTTGGTCTCTCTATGTCTATGGTAATAATGATAATAATAATAATAACAGTATTGCAGTGGTTTTCGGGACACTCAAAGACGTTTCACATGTCATTAATGTTTCACTCCATGCACTGTGGTGATATACAACTACTGTAGCCACGGCTGCCCTGGGGCACACTGACAGAAGCAAAGCAATTAGTCACTATACCATCTGCCCCTCCGACCACCATCAACCATTCACACACACACACCAAACTCATTCTATAGGCAATGTTGGTGAAGTGTCTTGCCAATGGGCACAATAACAATAACAATAGCAACCGTTCCACTGTGGCACCTGTTGTCCCCAGAGGTCTCCCATCACAGTACTAACCAGGTCCTACCCTCCAGAGCTTCAGAGATCTGACAGGATCTTCTGCTTGCGGAAGCCAGTGATAGACCAGAGAGAGACCCTATGGTCTCAGGCTCAGCTGGAGAAGTGTGTTGGTGCAGACATGAGATGGTCATGACCAATATGGTCTCTCTCTCTCTGGTCTCTCTCTGGTCTCTCCCTGGTCCTTCTGATCTCTGGTCTCTCTAGTCTTTCTCTTGTCTCTCCGGTCTCTCCCTGGTCCCTCTGGTCTTACCCTGTTTTTTTGTGGTCCCAGGTTCAGTCTCAGTCTGGTTCTGATCCTCGCTGGTTCCACAGTCTTCAAATCAGAAGGTCCAGAGTCCAAAGAGACCGCAGCAACAGTGACCCCTTCAGGAGCAACGCGGAACTGCCCTGTGCCTGGGTGAGTGACTGGGTTCAAGACTGTGTCCCACACTGGGTCTAGAGCAGGTCTCTAGTCCTGGCAAGCCGAGTCAAACCTGTTTTTTGTTACGCAGAGACCTGGGTTCCGGTTCGGGACGTCCCACTCGTATCTGAGTCTGGAGAAACTGGGAGAAGGAGCCTACGCTGAGGTCTACAAAGGGATCAGCAGGTCTGGTTAAGACCTGTTTTAGTCTGCTTTAGACCTGCTTTAGTCCCTCTTTAGTCCTGCTTTAGTCCTGCTTTAGTCCTACTTTAGTCCTGCTTTAGTCCTGCTTTAGTCCTGCTTTAGTCCTGCTTTAGTCCTACTTTTGTTCTGCTTTAGCCCTGCTTTAGTCCTTCTTTAGTCCTACTTTTGTCCTGCTTTAGGTACTCGTAGGTTTCCTCCGGGTACTCCGGTTTCCCCTACCACTAAAAATATGTACAAATAACAATTGTAAAACCCCTTTGTGACTCTGGTCTGTGAAAGGCGGTATATAAATAAAGATTACTTACTTACTTACTTACAGTACTTTAGTTCTGCTTTAGCCCTGCTTTAGCCCTGCTTTAGCCCTGCTTTAGCCCTGCTTTAGCCCTGCTTTAGCCCTGCTTTAGTCCTGCTTTAGTAGTGCTTCAGACCTGGTTCAGATCTGGTCATGGTCTCTGTGCAGGATCAATGGTCAGCTCGTGGCTCTGAAGCAGATCCGGACATCGGTTCAGGAGGGAGTTCCCTTCACTGCAATGAGAGAAGCTTCGATCCTGAAGAAACTGAAACACAACAACGTGGTTCTACTGCACGACATCATCCACACAACAGACACACTCACCTTTGTGTTCGAATATGTGGTATACACACACACACACACACACACACACACACACACAGACAGACGCAGACACATACATACAGACACACACGTACAGACACCCACACACAGACACACACACACACACACACACACACACACACACACACACACACACACACACAGACTACACTACATCTGTGGTTATATTGACAGACACAGTAGAGAGGACAGTGCTGTGACCATATTCCTCCAGCAGGGGGCTCCACATGTGTGCTCTGTGTTTGAAGGTTTTAACAGTCATAATGACTGCTCTCTCTGCAGCAGACGGATCTGTCCCAGTATCTACAGCAGCATCCAGGAGGACTGCACCCTCACAACACCAGGGTCAGTACCTGCTGAAGACCCGGTCCAGACCCGGTCCAGACCCGGTCCAGACCTGATTGAAATCTGGTCCTTGTCTCTGCAGATCTTCAGTTTCCAGTTGCTCCGTGGCCTGAGTTTTGTTCACAAACAGAAGATTCTCCACAGAGACCTGAAACCTCAGAACCTCCTCATCAGCTTCAGAGGAGAGCTCAAGCTGGCTGACTTTGGTGAGGCCCAACCAGGCCCAACCAGACCCAGCCAGCCCCAATCAGCCCCAACCAGTAACAACCAGACCCAACCTGTCCTAAAATAACCCAACCAGAACTAAACAGACTCAACCAGTCCCAACCATACCCAATGAGTCCCAACCAGTTCCTGCCAGGCCCAACCAGTCCCAACCAAACCCAATTAAACCCAACAAGTCCCAACCAGGCCCAATCACACCCAACCAGGCCCAATTAAACCCAACCATTCCCAATCACACCGCAACTAGGACCAACCATACCAGACTAAGACCAAGCAGGCTCTCAAGCCATTAAACAGGTCTAACCCAGGTCAAATGCAAATCTAAATCAGGTCCTAAGTCCAAACCAGGTCTAAAAGGGGTCTCTGGTTCAAGGTTTGGCCCGGTCTAAGTCGGTCCCCTGTCAGACATTCTCCTCTGAAGTGGTCACACTGTGGTACAGACCTCCTGAAGTCCTGCTGGGGTCTACGGACTACACCAGCGCCTTGGACCTATGGTACTAAAACCAGGACTGAACCAGGACTGAACCAGGACTAATGCAGGACCATACCAGAACTGAACCAGAACTAAGGCAGGACTAAACCAAGACTGAATGAGGACTGAACCAGGACTGAATTGGATCTGGTTTCAGGGGTGCTGGCTGCATTCTGGTGGAGATGCTGCAGGGGGCGCCGGCGTTTCCTGGACTCTCGGACGTCTCTGAGCAGCTGAAGAAGATTTTCACAGTGAGTTCATTACTATGGTCTGCTCCTCCTGGTCTACTCCTTCTGGTCTGCTCCCTATGGTCTGCTCCTCCTGGTCTGCTCCTCCTGGTCTGCACCCCCTGGTCTGCTCCTCCTGGTCTGCACCCTCTGGTCTGCTCCTCCTGGTCTGCTCCTCCTGGTCTGCACCCCCTGGTCTGCTCCCTCTGGTCTGCTCCCTATGGTCTGCTCCTCCTGGTGGTGGAGTCACTCTGGGTTTCTTCATGAGCTTTTGTAGGTTTTGGGCGTTCCATCTGAAGAGACGTGGCCCGGAGTTTCACTGCTGCCCAACTACAGCTCCAGTAAGACCTGCTTTAGTCCTGCTTTAGACCTTCTCAGAGTGTTCTCAGAGTGTTCTCAGAGTGTTCTCAGAGTGTTCTCAGAGACATAATGCATAGCGTACATCGGACTGGCAACTGATTATATCCGTTGCTTATGAGTTGCTGCCCCTCACACATCGACAATGTGGCGAAAACGGGCAACTCCCAGTAGCAGACCAGTCTCAGGAATAACAGCGCGTACATCGACAGCAACTGGCCTCAACTACAGTGTGTTTTCTGACATAAACTGTTGCGGGCTCGCAATACACGCAATACACACATATTGTTGGAGCGCGCCATGGATCTATTAGGAGCGTGCACATCGGGTGATATCTCCGGATCTGAGGACAACTAGTTGCCGAAAAGTAGAACACGGGCAACTGACTGAATCTGGAGATCGACTGTTTATCTCCAGTTGTAAGAGCGCTCACCTCTACCGATTTCGGCAACTGATCATCTCCATCATCTACTCTCAGTTGCCAAAAGCCGCCTTGCAACTAGTTGTCTCCAGTTTCTCTGTCGATGTACGCTAGGCTTAAAAGAACAACAGCAGTATTTGTGCTGCACAAACCAATGATGACAGAAAACAGCCACAAACACGAGCAGAAGTTCATCATTAAGGAATGAACCAAGTTTATCTTTTCCCCCTTCACGTCCTGCGCCAATTAGCTTTACCTGCGTCACCCAATTCACAGTATTTTGTGAAGAGCGCCACCACATGGGTGGCAGAATATGTAACATCCACAGTGGTTGGTTCATTTCCAAAACACTGGTGTGAACGAGAACCTAACAAGTTGAGAACTGCAACATTGTAACAACTTTTGGACCCAATCGAACCACTTTACTGGACCAACAGGTGTGAAAGCACCCTTAGCCCTGCTTTAGTCCTGCTTTAGTCCTGCTTTAGACCTGCCTTAGTCCACCTTTAGACCTACTTTAGTCCTGCCTTAGTCCAGCTTTAGACCTACTTTAGTCCTGCCTTAGTCCAGCTTTAGACCTACTTTAGTCCAGTTTTAGACCTGCTTTGGTCCTGGTATAGACCTGCCCTCGACCTTCTCTTGACCTGTTTTAGACCTGCTTTAGTCCTGCTGATCTCATCATGTTTTTTTTTGTCTCCATAGTGAGTTTTGAACGCTGTGAGCCTCGACCTTTAAGGAGTGTCTGGAAAAGGTATTATTTTCTCTAGATGAGACACAAGCTCCTGAAGACGCTAGCACCTGATGACGTTAGCTATTGAGGATGCTAGCTCCTGGTGACACTATCACCAGCAAACACTAGCTCCTGATGACAGCTCTCTCTCTGCAGACTGGGACTGTTGCCCTCTAAGACCGAGGACCTGGTCCAGATACTCCTGAGACCGAATCCCAGGGTCCGAATCTCAGCCCAAGAGGCTCTGAGCCACAAGTACTTCAGTTCCCTGCCACCAGGGGTCCACAGCCTTCAGGAGTGTGAGTTTTACTACTGCTTCTACTACTGCTTCTACTACTGCTACTACTACTGCTACTACTACTGCTACTACTACTACTACTACTACTGCTACTGGCAGCACAGTGGCACAGCTTGTGCTTCACAGCAATCCTCCTCCCAGTCTTTCTGTGTGGAGTTTGCATTTTCTCCCTTTGTCTGCATAGGTTTTCTCCAGGTGCTCCGGTTTCTTCTACTAAAAATATTACAATAGTTCAGGATGAATGAGTGTGGGACAACAGATGTAAATTATCCTAAGTCTACAATCCTCATTAACATGCTCTGTCCCAACTAAAAAACAGTAAATAATACCGCGCCTGCTACTGCTAGACCCACTTTAGTCCTGCTATAGACCTGCTTTGGACCTGCTTTTGTCCTTCTTTAGCCCTCTTTTAGACCTGTTTTTGTCCTATTTTAGTCCTGGTTTTAGTCTTGTTCTTCTCGTTTCTTTCAGCTGAGTCTATCTTCAAAGTTCCTGGTGTGACCCTGGAGGCTGAAGTCCGAGACCAGTTCTACCCTGGTCCCAGAGTCCGGTCTTCGCTTCTGGACCGGGCCAAGTTCTGGTGACATCACGGTGTCCGGACACCCCAGGTCCTGGTCCCAGAGTCCGGACCCCCAGTGTTACTCCCACCTGCTCCATGTGTTTGTGATTAAAATAAGTTTCTTGACAGTGAAATGTGTCGTTGGTCCCTGAAGCGTTGACTTTGTAATCATGACGTCATCGACACTTCCCAAACACGTCTTTAAGTGAGGACTCAGCCTTGAACAAACGCAAACACGCTTCTTGTATTCACTGAACAAACATTGAAACAGCGCCCTCCTAAAAGCCATATACTGCTGTTTAGTGGTGAGCCGCGGTACTGCAGAGGCGTGTGAGAGCGGTTTTACCTGCAGCAGTGAAGGTTCATTATCAGGAGAACATGGGGAGAGCGAAGAAGGGCCAGGTGAGGGGCCAGGTGAGAGACCAAGTGAGAGACCAGGTGAGAGACCAGCAGAGAGACCAGAAGACAGACCAGAAAACAGACCAGAACACAAATCAGAACACAGACCAGAACACAAACCAGAGAGACCAGAAGACAGACCAGAAGAAAGTCCAGAGAGACCAGCAGCAAGAGACGAAAAAACCAAAAGACCAGGTAAGACACTGTTCTTCCCACGTTCCAAATATGGACAGTTTCACATTGTGGTGGAGCATAGCTGATACATGTTTCCTGGTAACTATGACAAGTGTCAAGAGTCAGATTCTAGTTTAAAGATAATTTATCTGTAATTCCTGGAACAATTCACCTGAGACAAAAATGTTCAAGTCTGCTTTGTCCTCTCTCTGTTCTCTCACTGGTCGCTCGCTCGTCTTGCTCTCTCGGTCAGCACTAGATCATATACAGAATCGGGACGGAAGCAGATGTAAATATAACAAACTACCTACCCAAACCACCCTTAACCATCTTACTCAGACACCTAAAACTTAACCACCACTTAAGGACTTATTAGTCTAAAAATTATTCAACAGTAGGATTGTTACTTCCGGTTTTGTCCCGATTCCGTATGTGATCTAGTGCCGACCTTACTCTCTGGTCTGCACTTTCTATGTTTGTTATGGTGATGATGTAATCGGCAGGCGGCCAATACCAGCCTAATTTCCGGGTCATGTGGTCTGAGGATGAAGGCGGCGGTCATCTGCTTCCTGATCGGCGTGGCCAGCTCCGTCGCGGTTTGTACAACACGTGACGCAAACTAATATCCAATGACGTCTCACAGTTTGTGATATCACACAATTCAGGAATGTTGTTGGTCGAATGATTATCAAATTTACAGTAAATTACAACGATTTCTATGAGAAAACTAGAGCAGAACGATGAAACTTGCTGTTTCTCTGCTCTCTCTGGTCTCTCTGGTCTCTCTCTCTGGTCTCTCTCTCTGGTCTCTCTCTCTCTGGTCTCTCTCTCTCTGGTCTCTCTCTCTGGTCTCTCTCTCTGGTCTCTCTCTCTGGTCTTTCTCTCTCTGGTCTCTCTCTCTCTGGTCTCTCTCTCTCTGGTCTCTCTCTCTGGTCTCTCTCTCTGATCTCTCTCTCTCTCTGGTCTCTCTCTCTGGTCTCTCTCTCTCTGGTCTCTCTCTGGTCTTTCTCTCTCTGGTCTCTCTCTCTCTGGTCTCTCTCTCTCTGGTCTCTCTCTCTCTCTCTGGTCTCTCTCTCTGGTCTCTCTCTCTCTGGTCTCTCTCTCAGGTCTCTCTGGTCTCTCTCTCTGGTCTCTCTCTCTCTGGTCTCTCTCTGGTCTCTCTCTCTATGGTCTCTCTCTCTCTCTGGTCTCTCTCTCTCTGGTCTCTCTCTCTGGTCTCTCTCTCAGGTCTCTCTGGTCTCTCTCTGGTCTCTCTCTCTCTGGTCTCTCTCTCTGGTCTCTCTCTCAGGTCTCTCTGGTCTCTCTCTCTCTGGTCTCTCTCTCTCTGGTCTATCTCTCTGGTCTCTCTATGTTCAAAAGCAAGAGGGCCACTTCAGTTCATCAGACTTGACCTGGGGCAGACGACCTGGATTTAAAAAACCTGGATTGGAGCTGGATTGACTGGATTCTTTCATTTAAAAAGGGTTTTGATACGTCCTTATTGAATCACACCACAGCGGTACGTTATTTGGAATGTTGTGACAATAAAGACAATGACTGGAACAAGAAATAGCATGACTGTATTGGTGGAGAAGAAGTTGGTTGGTTGGCACTGTCAAAATGCCTCAATGGCGACATTGTGTTAGCAGCAGAAGGGCCACATAAAATGGCACAGAGGGCCGCAATTGGCCCGCAGGCCTGAGTTTGGACGTGCCTGCTCTATTGGCTCTCTCTGGTCTCTCTCTTAGGGCACTGTGACCCTGAACATTCCTGGTGTTGGTCTCGGAGTCTTCGCTCTGCTGTTCTCTGTGGGAAACCTCTGCAGCCTCCTCAGGTACCATGTGTCATTCTACTGCGTGATAATATTACTGTGTAGTACTAGATTTAGTACTATGTAATACCTTCATTAAAACTGTTTTCTGATGGTTGTCCTGTTGCCAGTGTGACGTTTCTGATCGGACCAAAGAACCAGATCCTGACCATGTGTGCCAAAGAGAGAGCGTTCGCCACCTTCCTGCTTCTGGTAACGTCTGCTGGTATCCAAAGAGAGACCAGAGAGAGAGATCAGAGAGAGATCAGAGGAAGAGACCAAAGAGAAACCAGAGAGAGACCAAAGAGAGACCAAAGAGAGACCAGAGAGAGACCAGAGAGAGACCAAAGAGAGACTAGAGAGAGACCAGAGAGAGACCAGAGAGAGACCAAAGAGAGACCAGAGAGAGAGATCAGAGAGAGATCAGAGGAAGAGACCAAAGAGAAACCAGAGAGAGACCAAAGAGAGACCAGAGAGAGACCAAAGAGAGACCAGAGAGAGACCAAAGAGAGACCAGAGAGAGACCAAAGAGAGACCAAAGAGAGACCAAAGAGAGACCAGAGAGAGACCAGAGAGAGACCAAAGAGAGACCAGAGAGAGACCAAAGAGAGACCAGAGAGAGACCAGAGAGACCGGAGGGAGAGACCAGAGAGAGCAGAGGGCTGTCACTTCCTGTTTTGTGTCCCATGGTTTCTCTGTTGTTTCTCTCCTCAGTTCTTCTTGGTCCTCACTCTGATGTCAGCCATTCAGGTGAACTATATATATAGAAATGTGTAAATATATGTATGTATTTATCCATATATATCTGTAAATATTCATATATATTATGTATTATACACATATATATTTATACATAATACATATGAATATGTATATATTCAGTGTCCTCTATTTGTGCAGTGGGACAACAGTGTGGCATCATTGGTTTTCTGCATCCTCCAGTTTCTGGCGTTCCTCTGGTAAACATTGTAATAATTGTAATAACAATTTATACACAGACCTTTCGCCTTCTGCGGGCGGTTATCCCTCTGTAAGCTCGGGTCCTAACCCTAACCCTGGAAGCTTGATAGTTCTGCGCAGTATCTTTGCCGTTTCTGCTTCGCACATTTCTGGACCGAGATTTCCGAGGTTGTACCAGGGCTCTGCTGTAACCTCCGCCAGCAGACCAGAGGGAGCAGACCACAGGCACTACTGTCACCTTTACTGTCCAGGCCCTCTCATGCTCCTCTCTAAGTCTTTGGTACTTCGCAAACTTTTCGTGTCTTTCAGACTGATAACCAGGACAGAGGAGACTCTTAAAGGAGTTACAAGTCTGTGAGAGCCACAAATCTGGCTTGTTTGTAGGTGACTAAATAGTCATTCTGTCTCTCTTAGTTCAGGTTTATCTATGATGAAAATCACAGGCCTCCCTCATTTTGTTTAAGTGGGAGAACTTGCACAATTGGTGGCTGACTAAATACTTGATATCCCTTCTGTATGAATACATATACTGTATATACATACTGTACGTGGTGACGTCCTCTGTGTCCAGGTACCTGCTGTCCTACGTGCCCTACGCCAGGACCGGAGTGTCCAAAGCCTGCTCTTCCATCTGCTGCTGAGTCACCTCTGACCCCGGACCCTAGGGACTGCAGGAGTCTCGTGAGCTCTAACTAAGAGGACAGTGATGATGTTCCAGGAAACACAACATTCTCCAACATTTACGGACATTGGTCTCTGCGCATTACGGACCAAAGGCTGTTGTTATTTGTGATGTGTTTTTATTATCGCATATCCTGTGTTTGAACTGTTTGATTTTTGGATCAGTGTTGGAGATTCAACAGTTGTGTAAAGTGATTGATTGATTGATTGATTTTATTCATTCGAGCAGAATTGTATTCTCAATATTTAAATTGCTCCTCGGAGCTTACGTCACTCACATTTCCTGTTCAGTGTTGCCAACTTAGCGACTTTGTCGCTAGATTTAGCGACTTTTCAGACCCCTATAGCGACTTTTTTTCAAAAAAGCGACTAGCGACAAATCTAGCGACTTTTTCTGGTGTTATTGGCGACTTATCTGGTGTTTTGGCGACTTATCTGGTGTTTTGGAGACTCGTGAAGCACGTATTGTTCTGCTGTCCTCAACGTGAGCCCCTCCCCCGTCCCAAAGCACTTACAGGCGGCCAGTCTCACAGTAGCCTTGCGCAGCAGTCCCAGCTACAGTCTATGGGCGGAGCAGAGAGAGAGAGAGAGGAGACTCAAAAGCACAGGAAGTTTTCAGGCTGCTGCAGACTGAACTTCAGCTCCACCACCACCACACATCCAAAGCTCCCCGGCCACTCCTACCACCGCCACCCCCCACTACCCCCCACTCCATCCGCGGCAGCTCTGTCCGTGACTCTGTTTTCTCTCAGTAGTGGGTCACATTAAATCATTTGTTATGCCAAACTATGAAAAAAAAAAAAAACTTACAAAAATAAACCTAAGTAACTCACTTTGCCGGTCCCAAGCCCGGATAAAGGAGGAGGGTTGGTTGTAGAGCTAGCAATTTCACCCTACATAACAATCTTTTGATTACATTTGCTGTTATAACATTTAACAATGCAGGACAAAACTGATGTGTGTAATGTGGATCTAGACAAAGCATTAAAATCATTAAATGTTGTTAATGTTGAAATTATTTTTGTACATTTGTAGTTCTAAACATATTTATGGTGTTTTTACTCACTTTTGTCTCTCCCACGACCTTATTCCTCTCTCCTACAGCGTCCGTTACAGTTATTTGCAAATGGCAAATTATGCAAATTAGGCGATGACGTCATTTAGCGACTTCTAGCGACTTTTGGGACAGCCAATAGCTACTTTCCTTACTGAGGAGTTGGCAACACTGTTCCTGTTCAAATCTTCCTCTAAATGGGCGTAGCCTGGAGGACTAAAGGGGGCGTGAACGAGACTGGGCCGTTTATATAGCTCTGGGCGGGGGGCTGCTGACGTCAGGTCTTGCTTCAGACGTCAGGTCTTGCTGCCGCGCCAGTGTTGGCGCCAGATTCAAAATTCAAATGTAGTAATACAGGTCGCCAGCAGATGGCGCCTCACAGACGGTTTTAGGCAGAAAGTTTAACTTTCAACTAATTTGCACCAAAGTGACAAAATTATGACCAGGATATGTAGACAACACTATTGGACACTCATTTAAATTGTTTATCAGCAAAAAAAAGTGGATTTGAGGGTGAGTTGTCCTCTAAGTAGCACTTTCAACCCTCCCCTCCCTCTCCTCCCTCTCCTCCAAGCCCCGGCGATCCAAGATGGCGCCCTATTCAAATGAATGGTTGTGCTCAGTGGCGCTTTGTGACAGCATGGGGGCTGAAAGATTAGCGGAAGTTGCCTGAAACTCGCAAAGATCTATGGGAAACTCGCCTGTATTTGGGCATCGTCTGGTCCTCCCGGTTCTGCGCAGTGGATGATCTCCCATAATGCGTTGCGCCAAACACGCGTGTGTGGGTCTCACACCGGGTCTCACGCACGTGCACAGAGGGGCTCGGCCGCGCTCTGACCAATCAGAGCAGTTCATCAGAGCGGGAGTTAGAGCGAGAGCCAGAGGAGCAGAGTTTGTGGCACTAAAATGTGGATTTAAACAAAACCGAAGGATTTAAGAAGAAAAAAATTTCAGGATGACAAGGGACACTAAAATCCCCACAAAATCCGATCTTTATTAAAGCTGTAGGTTCTCTGTCAGCTGAGGTTGAGCTGTTTAAATATGCATTGAGTTCTATGGGGAAAATTTCTGGGTAGCCCACGTGAATTTAGTCTGGTTCAGTCTGCAGTACCGCGAGAATCCCCCGAGCACATGAGTTATTCAGCTACAAGCTAGTAATACCCTATCCAGTTATTATAATAGATCCATGCTCTCCTCCCTCCAACCTTGTTGTTGTCAGTCGCGCAGCCCCGAGCAGAGGCTGAGACGCTGTGAATTCAAGCGGAGTTATGAAAAAAGGAAAAAAGGACAGCGAACTGCGGGAACAGTCGGGTAAAAAACGTGTGGTTGCCGACCCGATGCATTGACTGTCTGCAAAGAAAGTTCAAAATTGTGTCTGACATGTTTTATTTCTGGTTTAACTTAATCAGTCAAGCTCTCTGTTGTGGTTAAGCTTGACACCTTCAAAATAAAAGTGCTTCCTTTGGTAATCGGAAGTATTTTGTTACATTTGTAATTCAGATTACAGTGTTAGTATAATGCACAACTAATATTTATATCAAGGTAATATACTAATACTAGAGGTGTTAATAATGAAACTAGTTTTTATTTATATTTTATATAAAATATATGTTTATATATATTACTAATATTTGTATTTTAACATGTTTGCACACTGTCTTTTGTACAAATCGGAGTTATTCTATCTATGCCAAATGTGACATGTACATTTCTCCTGTGTGAGATCAAAAGTCTATCTTATCATATCTTATCTTTTATCGTGTTTGAAAAGTTCAAATGTTGTTTTCTCTTGCGTTGAATCAATCACTAATCAATTCTTATATTGCTTAATTAGTGTGAATTATTTATTTGTGATATATAGGTGTAATGGAACGTCTGCGGGCTTTAATTTGTATGGTTTCTTGAATTAGGTGTAGGGCCCCTATATGCTGACTTCTGCTTAGGGCCCCAACAAGGCAAGCACCAGCTCTGCTCAGTACACCAATGTATGAAATAATTAATGTTCTCTATACACACAAGCATACACATGTTTTCACATACATAACTACATATGTAACCCTGTTGTTTATCTATTTTATTTTAATGGTGATCATGAATGTTCTTATACCTGTCACAGGTTTAAAAGTGTCTGTTGAGGGGGTGTGATCAATAAAAAAGCAGAAGGGGATAACAAGGGGATAAAATTTAATAAAATATTTACAAAGGTCCATTAAAAGAGATGATAAATGCCCAGAGTCCGTCCCCACTGGCCTCCGCTCTTCTCCCCCGGGACCGGGCCGCAGTTCCGCCAGCCACTAGCCGACCACGGGTCGGCACCGGGCACCCGCGGGGGAGAGCCGGCACATCCCGGTCGTCGGTGGGCCTAGCCCGGGCGCGCACGCGCCTTCATGCGCTCTCAATGCGCGCCCCCTCACCGGTGCCGCTCCCCCCGCTGGCCTCAGTCCCCCGTGGTCTCTGGCTGGCGGTGCTCGTCCTCGTCCTTGGCCCGGTCCCGCGTTGTCGTCGTTGTCGTCGTCGTCGTCGTCGTCGTCGTCGTCGTCGTCGTCGTCGTCGTCGTCGTCGTCGTCGTCGTCGTCGTCGTCGTCGTCCTCCGTGTGCTCTCTGTCTCGCCTCTCCTCTCGTGCTGCAGTGCCCGCCCCCAATTAAAAGGTCTTGATGATTAAAAACAGGTGTGGGTGATTAGGGGAAGTGTCCAAAGAACTGATTAAAATGCATGCAATAAAAACATTAAAACACATGAAAAACAAAAGCAGTAAAAGTCTTTGTTAAAAAGTTCAATCTCTGACATACCCATACTGGTAATACTGGTAATGGGTAATGGACTCAATGACTACAGACCTGTAGCACTTACGTCTGTCGTCATGAAGTCATTTGAGCGCCTGGTCCTCTCCCATCTCAAGTCCCTCACCTCCCCCCTCCTGGACCCCCTGCAGTTCGCCTACAGAGCCAACAGATCTGTAGACGACGCCATCAACCTGTTGGTGCAGTTCTACACGGTGTTGTAGAATTATAATGCTGTATACAAATGATTTCCAGTAGGTGTTTGTATAACATGTCTTTGTGCAATATTAAAGCCTGGATTTAATGGAATTCAGACAAGCACCAAGGACAAGGCTTCTGTGATAAAAGTATCATTTTCAGGAATAGCGTGTCTCTAGCTGCCTGAGACACAAAACTGGACTGGCCCAGACTGGGACTAGCCTCAGACCATGTGACGTCATTGGACATTCTGATAAAACCGTTGGGAGGACACATTGTGGGGAGTTGGAGCACAGGGATAGATTTAGGGAGTAGCTCCAGGAGTTCTGTATCAACATTTAATTGTAAAGAGAAATAAATGTACTATTGGAACTCTTGAAATCTTGGCCTTATTTCTGTACCAAATTCTGAACACGTCAGTCAAATCATTTTTGACAACAAAGGCCATCATCGAGTCCATCCTCACCTCCTCCATCACCGTGTGGTTCGCTGGAGCCACAGTCAGGGACAGTCATTGTGCGCTCTGCAGAGGAAGTGATCGGCCGCAGCCTTCCATCGCTGCAGGACCTGTAGGTCGCCCGAGCTCGAGGCCGGACTGGTCGTATCACAGCCGACCCCTCTCACCCTGCACATGGACTATTCCAACCACTCCCCTCAGGCAGGAGGCTGCGGTCCATCAGGACTAGAACCTCCCGCCACAAGAACAGTTTCTTCCCCTCTGCTGTTGGACTCTGGAACACTTCTTAACCTGTCCCCCCGCCCTTTATAAAGTCACTTTACTGCCCATCATACGTCACTTTACTTCACTGTACTGCTGTCACCTTACATTGTGTGCACCATGTGCACTTGTATATTGTAAATAGTAACTGTAACTCTATTTTAAATTTAAATTTATTCTTTAGAAGTGTTTTTTATTCTTATTTTTATTATCTCTTTCTGACTGTTGCACTGAGCCAAAGCAATTTCCAAGTCTGTGACCTCCTGTTACTTACGTGGCAATAAAAATGATTCTGATTCTGATTATGCACCTATGTCTCTGCGTTTATATATGCCATCCATCCATTTTCTTCCACTTAATCCTGGGTCGAGGGGTGGCAGTCAGAGCTGTACCCAGTACACACAGCACCAGCCCCTCACTGATCCTCCTGCAGGTGGTGAGTCCACAGGAGCCTTGATCTTTCAGTGGGGGCTTCAGGCAAAGTGGGGTAAAGTGTCTTGCCCAAGGACACAATGACAGTAGTCATCAGTCATGAAGTAGGTCTTGTGGTGGACTTGAACCCCCAACCTGCGTCTATACACCTGCGTATACCTGTATCTATATTTACCTGTGTCTGTGTGTCTAAATGTACCTGTGTCTCTCTCTGTCTATACTGTATGTACCTGTGTCTATATGTACCTGTGTCTAAATGTACCTGTGTCTCTCTCTGTCTATACTGTATGTACCTGTGTCTATATGTACCTGTGTCTAAATGTACCTGTGTCTCTCTCTGTCTATACTGTATGTACCTGTGTCTATATGTACCTGTGTCTCTCTCTTTCTATATGTACCTGTGTCTAAATGTACCTGTGTCTCACTCTGTCTATACTGTATGTACCTGTGTCTATATGTACCTGTGTCTCTCTCTTTCTATATGTACCTGTGTCTAAATGTACAGTACCTGTGTCTCTCTCTTTCTATACTGTATGTACCTGTGTCTCTCTCTTTCTATATGTACCTGTGTCTAAATGTACTTGTGTCTCTCTCTGTCTATACTGTATGTACCTGTGTCTATATGTACCTGTGTCTCTCTCTTTCTATATGTACCTGTGTCTAAATGTACAGTACCCGTGTGTCTCTCTGTCTATATGTACCTGTGTTTGTGTACCTGTGTGTATATGTTCCTTTGTCTCTGTCTATTGACCAGATGCATCGACGTCATCCAGTCACGTGATTGTGCAGGAGGTTACGGCGGAAGTAGTGGAAACTAGCATTGTGGCGAGAGCAAAACAAACAACTCTTAAAAACTGAGAAGTGACTGCTCCAAGCACATGCTCGATTATGTTATTGATGAAAGTAGGACATCTTGTCAGGGCTCACAAAGAGCGGTATTTGGAGAAGTTAAGGATCACCCAACTGGATGTTGACCTGTACTTTCTCCCCACAGTCAATTTGATCGATTAAATGAAATGTCCAACTTTGCCCGAATTCACCTCACATGATCTTTATCATTGTTGTTAACAATGCATCCCCTTAAACTGGAGCAGATTTAAATGTACATTTGGCTGGTAGCATTAGCGCATTAGCATAGTCCACTTTTCTGTGGCTTTTCTGTTTACAACCAAACATGATACATATTGACGGAGAGGAAAATAGTGAAAAAACGCAACTGACGTGCAAGATAAGATAGATCTTTTATTCATGCCACAGTGGGGAAAGTTCAATCTTGCAGCGCACATACAGGACAGTAGTAAGAGCACACATTTGACATCAAGAGTTTGTTGTGTCATTGTCCTCCAAATAAATGTATGGAAAGAAAAAAAATACAAAATTGTAATTGATTTATCTTGTAAAAAGAAAAAAAGTGTTCACTGTAAATTTGGGAGTCCTTGGATGGCTCCCAGTCCTTTTGGTTGATTGCCACTGGCCATTGTCGTCTTCTGTCTTCATCAGGAGCAGGTATCAGATAAAAAGACACATTTGGCTTATGTCCTGTTAGTACAACCAACCGCACTGCAAAATATCACGGCTTTGGCTGTTATTCGGTGAAAGGGGTTGTTTTGTTTAGAGATTTCACGATACTTTGAAGCAACTGTGGTTAAAGTAATAACTCATCACACAAGGCAGTACTTTTCCACTGCATGTTTTGTATTGGACGGTGTTCATTCCTCCGTGCTGTATAATATCACTTGCATTCTGTAACATCTTTGTTTGTGCTGTCTACCATCGACAATAAAACATGTCTTCTGTCTGAATTAAAGACACGATCCCAGACTTTGTCATCTTCTTCATTTGGTCAAGTTTCCGAAGGCTCGCAATTAGACATCTGCCGTCTGTCATGGAGAGTGGGCGTGGCCGGGACGTAACATGCAAGGGGTCAATATCATATGTACCTGTGTCTATACAGTATGTACCTGTGTCCATATGTACCTGTGTCTTTGTGCCTATATGCACCTGAGTCTATATGCACCTGTGTCTATATGTACCTGTGTCTATACGCACCTGTGTCTCTGTGTCCATATGTACCTGTGTCTATATGCACCTGTGTCTATATGCACCTGTGTCTCTGTGTCTATATGTACCTGTGTCTATATGCACCTGTGTCTCTGTGTCTATATGCACCTGTGTCTCTGTGTCCATATGTACCTGTGTCTATATGCACCTGTGTCTATATGCACCTGTGTCTCTGTGTCTATATGTACCTGTGTCTATATGCACCTGTGTCTATATGCACCTGTGTCTATATGCACCTGTGTCTCTGTGTCTATATGCACCTGTGTCTCTGTGTCTATATGTACCTGTGTCTATATGCACCTGTGTCTCTGTGTCCATATGTACCTGTGTCTATATGCACCTGTGTCTCTGTGTCTATATGTACCTGTGTCTATATGCACCTGTGTCTATATGCACCTGTGTCTCTGTGTCTATATGCACCTGTGTCTATATGCACCTGTGTCTCTGTGTCTATATGTACCTGTGTCTCTGTCTATATGCACCTGTGTCTATATGTACCTGTGTCTCTGTGTCTATATGTACCTGTGTCTCTGTCTATATGCACCTGTGTCTATATGTACCTGTGTCTCTGTGTCTATATGTACCTGTGTCTATATGCACCTGTGTCTCTGTGTCTATATGTACCTGTGTCTATATGTACCTGTGTCTATATGTACCTGTGTCTATATGCACCTGTGTCTCTGTGTCCATATGTACCTGTGTCCATATGCACCTGTACCTACATTTTCGTCCTTATTCATTTCACCATGTAAGCTCTACTGTGACATGTTTCCAAACCTCAGAGCAGGTGTCTGTTGCAGGAGGCTCTCAGACGTTGCTGATGCTGTTTGCTGTTGTTCTGTGGGTGGTTTTCTAATCTGTTGTTGGCGAATCATCAGTTGTTCGGCTGCTGCTGTGACGTCTGCCGCAGATGAAGAGAACGTAACCAGATCTGTGCGGATCAGGGAAGAGGTCAGGGATTTAGACCAACAAAGAAGAGCTCAGAGACACCTGTCGACCAATCAGAGAGGATCCTCCTGAGACACAGACACAGAGACAGCTGAGAGCACAGAGAGGATCCTCCTGAGACACAGACACAGAGACAGCTGAGAGCACAGAGAGGATCCTCCTGAGACACAGACACAGAGACACCTGAGAGCACAGAGAGGATCCTCCTGAGACACAGACACAGAGACACCTGAGAGCACAGAGAGGATCCTCCCGAGACACAGACACAGAGACACCTGAGAGCACAGAGAGGATCCTCCTGAAACAGACACAGAGACACCTGAGAGCACAGAGAGGATCCTCCTGAAACAGACACAGAGACACCTGAGAGCACAGAGAGGATCCTCCTGAAACAGACACAGAGACACCTGAGAGCACAGAGAGGATCCTCCTGAAACAGACACAGAGACACCTGAGAGCACAGAGAGGATCCTCCTGAAACAGACACAGAGACACCTGAGAGCACAGAGAGGATCCTCCTGAAACAGACACAGAGACACCTGAGAGCACAGAGAGGATCCTCCTGAGACACAGACACAGAGACACCTGAGAGCACAGAGAGGATCCTCCTGAGACACAGACACAGAGACACCTGAGAGCACAGAGAGGATCCTCCTGAGACACAGAGACAGAAGGGGCCCTTGAGGTCACAGAGAGAGATCATCTCAGAGAGAATGAAATTACAGACCCCAGCTTTAAAAATGTGTTATTCACAAGGCTAAAGTTGCAGACCTGAGCTTTAAAGCTGTCTTTCTCTGGTCTCCAGCTGCAAATTCACCTCAGTGTCGTTCTTTCATTATTTATTTTCTGTAATTGTTGAGTGTTTGAGTGTTTAGAGGAGGAGACAAGGAGCTAGGAGCTAGGAGCTAGGAGCCAGGAGCTAGGAGACAGCGGTGAGGAGCCAGGAGCCGAGGGCAGAGGAAGCACATCACGACGCTCAGGTCTGTGGATTTATTTAAAATCGTCGACTTTAAACATTTCAGGATCTAATATATATTTATTTTTATATTTGATCTATTATTTTAAATCATTTTCAAACGTGTGAAGTGCCGTCTGCAGGAGTCAGGAGCTGTGATATGGAACGATTGATTTGAAAAAGAGAAAATACAAAAATTATGAATCAGACTTTTAGATTTGTTTGAATTGATTTTACATTTTCTTTATAATTAATAATTATAATAAAACATCTTTCTGTCGCTGTGACTCGCTCCACTCTGTCGTCTCTGATTTCAATAAAGAACAAGACACAGAAAACAACCATTTCTGTCACAATATTTTACCACAAATTTGTTTAGGTTTTTTCTGTTTCACTGAGACACAGAAAATATATATTTACATATTATCTTATATATATTACTGTTGTCATTATTCTCGTTGTACTATATATGTATTTATATAACAGTAAAAAAGCGTATTTCTATTTGATTCATTCAAATGTCACTTATTGTTGAAATGCAGCCTCCCCCTCCCCTTCTTTCTCCCCCCTCCTGAACTTATTTTCAGTTTAGTGTCTGTAGTTTTAGAGCCCTCTCCCCCTCCTGCCTCCCCCTAGTGTTAGAGCCCTCTCCCCGTCCTGCCTCCCCCTCTGTGCATAGTGTTAGAGCCCTGTCCCTCTCCTGCCTCCCCCTCCTCCAACCCCTGTACTTACTGCTCGAGCCCCTCCCCGTGGGTCCCATGTGAGACCAGTTCATAAAACAGTGACTGTTGTTGTTTTAGATGAAGGTAGAGGGCGCCACAGAGTCCGGTCTAACCGCTGGTCCTGGTCCTGCTCCTGTTGCTGGTGCTGGTCCTGGGGTTGGTCCTGGTCCTGGTGCTGGTACTGGTCCTGGTGTCTCCCCTGGTTCGGTGTGGCGTCTCCTCTCTGCGGTAGAGCGCTCCCTAGAGGCCGGTCAGGAGAAGGGCGATCCCACAGAGCGCGAGCTGAAGGTGAATCTGGACGAACCAGATCTGTGGAGGCGTTTCAACTCCATCACCAACGAGATGATCGTGACTAAGACCGGGAGGTGAGGCACAGGATTTGAATATTGTCAGAGAAAAAAGCCTGTCTCACATTTTCAGGAAGACTGTTCCAGATTTCAGCAGCATGAATCTAAAATGCTGCCTTCTCATGTCCCATTGGAGCCTTTTGTTTTCTTATATTCCTTTTTGATTTTGAAATGTTGCTTCTACGAAAACATTTACTGTATTTGTGTCAAGCCATGTTTCAGCCATAAAGATAAAATCAAGAAAATAAGCACTAACAAATTATTAATTAAAAAAAAAAACCTGTTTCAAAGAGATCTGACATTAAAGTAGCTTTTAGAACAATATCTGAACTCGGAACATTGTAAAGCACTTTGGGTGAAGTTGGTCTGTAAAAATGCGCTATATAAATAAACATTACTTACTTATTTACTTACGTAGTAGATTTTCATGTCAAGTCATCATTAAATCTGTCAAAAGGCATTCATAAACCATGCTCTTTTTGAATACTTCTTTAACTGATAACAGTAGTTCAGCCAAAATTTGGATTCCAAATTTAGTTTTACAGCCCTTTAATATTGTCATTGTTTTCATTCCGATGTCCCGCCCTCCACTGTTTTATCAATCAGAGGGTCCGTGATCCGGGCGCCAGAACTCATTGCATCGAGCTAATCTCACTGGTAGAGTAACATGAGGCCGTAGAACTAAAAAAGGTCTCGCCATTGTTCTCAAAATCATTGATGACAAAATAAGGAATAAAATTAGGATTTATATCTTTGTGAAAAAGGTGTTGGTTATAGATTTGTTGTTGACAAAACTCTATTCAGATATTATATTCCCTGCTGGATTCGTCTGCATATCTGGCAACCAGAGTCAGGGAGAGAGGGAGATGTTGCAGTACCGCTTTTGGCCAGATTTTTACCGCTCCTTTAAGCAAGTTTCAGATAAGATTTCAGTGTCAGCCGTTGTGTTCAACTTTTACACAGTACAAGAAGTAGATTTGGTCGATTAATCTGACTCCAGATGGTTTCTGTTGTGTATTCTCTGTTATCTCTGTTATCACTAAGGGAATGGCGCAGGGCCTGGGTCTCTCCTCTAATTCAACTGTCAGTGGCAGCAAAGCAGAGACACTGTGTTTCCTTGTGTTTAGAGATTAGAGGGGCAGGGGAAAGCAGGGGAGGAGGACAGACAAGTGGATGTTTTTCTGGCAATGGACCAGAGAGAGGTGGGTGGGTTTAGGTTAACGATGATGGGTTAGAGGAGGAGCAGGCTGAGGAAGGGTGTTCTCAGGTCTCTCTAGTACACCTGGTCTCTCTGGTATCCTCTGGTTTCTCTGGTCTGATCTGGTTTCTGGTTTCTCTGGTCTGACCCGTTCTCTGGTCTCTCTCTCTAGTCAGACCCAGTCTCTGGTTTTTCTCTCTGGTCTATCTGGTCTGACCCGGTCTCTGGTCTCTCCTTAGGCGGATGTTCCCAGTCTTGAAGGTCCAGGTCTCTGGTCTGGATCCCAGGTCCATGTACTCCTTCCTCTTGGACTTTGCGCCCGTCGATTGCAACCGCTGGAAGTTTGTGAACGGGGAGTGGGCGTGTGCGGGGCGGGCCGAGGGTCGTTGCCTGAGCACGGATGGGCGTGGCCTGACCATGGAGGGGCGGGGCCTGCCTTCAGAGGGGCGTGGCTTTGGTGGTGTCTACATTCATCCTGATTCGCCAAACTTTGGGTCGCACTGGATGAAGGCGGCGGTCAGCTTCAGCAAAGTCAAACTGACCAATAAGAGCGGAGCGAGTGGTCAGGTGAGAGGACTGGACTGGACTCGGATCAGAGGCCAGAGACAAGAGACCAGAGACTAGACCAGACCAGACCTGGACCTGGACTGGTCCTTGTCCTGGTCTTTGCTTTGGTTTCTGGTCTGCAGGTCTGGTCCAGGTCCACATTCAGGTTTGGTCTCAGATTTGTTCTCAGATTAAGTGTCAGGTCTGGTCCCTGGTCTGTTCTCTGGTCTCAGTCTCCGGTTTGGTCCAGGTTCAGAGTGGATAATGGCTTAATAATGTACTTCAGATTTCAGTCCTAGTCTCAAATCTAATCCAAGTCCAAGTCCTTGTCCTGGTCTCTGCTTTGGTCTCTGGTCTGCAAGTCTGCTCTGAGGTCCAGGCTCAAGTCAGGTCCAGGTCCAGATCCAGCTCCGGTTTCTGGTCTCAGGTCTGGACCAGGTCCACGTTTAGGTCTGTTCTCATATTTTGTCCCAGGTCCTGGTCCCTGGACTGGTCTCTGGTCTCAGCTCTGGTCTCAGCTCCGGTCTCCGGTCTGGTCTCAGCTCTGGTCTCCGGTCTGGTCTGGTCCAGGTCTTGGTCTGGTCCAGGTCCAGGTCTGGTCCAAGTCCAGGTTCTGAGTGGGTAATTGCCTCTCAGCTTCATAATGGACTCTTCAGATTGAGGCTTTTAGTCAAAATTATGTTTTATTTTTGTTTCTTTTACAAATCTGAAAAACAGTGTTTTTGTCAAATTCAAACAAATATAAATATATTTATACAAGAAAGAGCCCAAAGAGTCACTTTCTGCCTCTATGGTGAGGGTGGTCTTCTCTTTGATCATAAGATGGGACAGAGGCCAGGAGACTGATGCCCGAACAGAATCAGGACCAGGACTAAGACCTGGACCAGGACCAGGACCAGGACCAAGACCAAGACCAAGACCAAGACCAAGACCAAGACCAAGACCAAGACCAAGACCAAGACCAAGACCAAGAGCAGAACCAGGACCAAGACCAGGACCAGGACCAGGACCAAGACAAGGCCAGAACCAAGACAAAGACCAGGTGCCGTGCCAAACTGGGGTTGTGTCCTTAGGCAAGACACTTCACCCACACTGACACACACACAGACAGACACACACAGACAGACACACACGCACACACTGACACACACACACAGACAGACACACACAGACACACACATACAGACACACACACTCTTGTTGATGTTTACCCATTACTGTGTCCGTAATGAAATAATTGCTGTGGTTTGTACATTATGGTAATTGCGGCTCAGTTTGGAGAGAGAGGTCAGAGATGTTTGTTCACATTTAATTGGAGCTCGTTAAACATGAACAGCACTCCAGCTCGACCAATCACAGCGCAGCACCACAGCCATTCACAAACTTTCAGCCAATAGTTCACATTGATGACATCTGCCTGTTCCAAAGAGCGATAGTTTCACAGTGTGTCCTGGTAACTATAATCACTATGGTCTCTCTCTCTGGTGTCTCTCTGGTCTCTCTCTGGTCTCTCTCTTTGGTCCCTCTCTGGTGTCTCTCTGGTCTCTCTCTGCTCTCGCTCTGGTGTCTCACTCTGGTCTCTCTCTCTCTCTCTCTGGTCTCTCTCTCTGCTCTCGCTCTGGTGTCTCTCTGGTCTCTCTCTTCTCTTGCTCTGGTGTCTCCCTGGTCTCTCTCTTCTCTTGCTCTGGTGTCTCTCTGCTCTCGCTCTGGAGTCTCTCTGGTGTCTCACTCTGGTCTCTCTCTCTCTCTCTCTGCTCTCGCTCTGGTGTTTCTGGTGTCTCAGATGACAGCTGGTATGTGTCTTCCTGGTAGATCGTGCTGAACTCACTGCACAGATACGTCCCTCACGTCCACATAGTCTGTGTTGGTCCCAGACACAGACTGGTGTCAGACGTGTCCTTCAGCGAGACACAATTCATCGCAGTCACAGCCTATCAGAACGAAGAGGTACTCCCAGCATGCACCTCTGCAGTATTACAGCTCTCTCCAGTCTCTCTCTCTCTGTTTTTCTCTGGTCCCTCTCTCTGGGGTCTCTCTCTGGTCTCTCTGATGTCTCGCTGATGTCTCTCTGGTCTCTCTCTGGTCACTGGTGTCTCTCTGGTCTCTCTCTCTGGTATTTCTCTGGTCTCTCTCTTGCTGGTTTCTCTCTCTGGTGTCTCTGGTCTTCTCTTTCTCTCTAGTCTCTCTCTCTGGCCTCTCTCTGGTCTTGCTCTGGTCTCTCTTTGGTCTCTCTCTGTACTCTAGTCTCTCTCTGGTCTCGCTCTGGCCTCTCTCAGCAGCCCCAAACTACATCTCCCATGATGCACCTCTCTATTTCAGATCACTGCTCTGAAGATCAAGTACAATCCTTTCGCCAAAGCCTTTCTGGACGCCAAAGAGAGGTACCAGAGCTTTTTTTATGAGACTAAAGTTACAGACCCCAGCTCTAATAGGTTGTAGGCTCTTTTATTCTTTCCATGAAAATGCAGTGAGACATAAAAAAAAGAAAAGTCTTCTGTTATGTAATGTTATTTTTTGCTGCATCTTCCACCAAAGTCTGGGGTCGTGTCCTTACTTCAGACAGAAGACATGTTTTATTGTCGATGGTAGATGAGCACAGACAATTACACGTTACTCAGTGAAAGTGATGTTATACCGCATGGAGGAATGGAGACCGTCCAATCAGCAGCTGCCAACGTACAAGGAGCTTGGCCTTCAGCAAACCAAAACATGCAGTGGAAAAGTACTGCCTCGTGCATATTGTTAGAACGATTCTTCCCTATATATCTTTGTTCGTGCTCAAATTCCATCGACAATAAAACTTCTGTCTGAATTAAAGACACGATCCCAGACTTTGTCATTTTATTCACTACCCAGAAAAATGTCCCATAGAACTCAATGTAAACTAAAACAGCTCGACCTCAGCTGACAGAGAACCTGACAGAGAACCTACAGCTTTCACAAAGGCTTTTTTGTTGTTGTTAAATCCTTTTGTTGTTTGGCCCCTGCTCTAGCTCTGCTCTGATTGGTCAAAGCGCGGCCGTGCCCCTCTGTGCACGTGCATGAGAGCCACACATGCGTATTTGGAGCAAAGCCTCATGGGAGCTTGTCCACTGCACAGAACCGGAAGGACTGGATTAATCTTTCAGTCCCCATGTAGGTCCCATACGCCACTGAGCACAAGCCATTGATTTGAGAGGCATCTGGCTGCAGACTCCCCCCCTGGCAGACCTCCTTGTTCAGCCCCTGTCACGTGACCTTCGCCATGAGCTACTGTTACGTCACTTCCCTGGGACTTGAAAACGTTTTTCTTCATAAAGTTATAAAGCTTACAGTATATTTAACATAGGGCTGGGCGATATGGCTGAAAACTATATCACAATATAAATAATTCATATTGGTCGATAACGATATATATTGATTGTTTTTTATTTATTTTTTTAAACTAAATAAATACATTTGTCGTGTCGGCTAACACATTTGTTATGTCGGCTAACACATGCAGCCTTGTGTTAGCCGACTGGAATGAGGCTGGAGCCAAATGTTCAGAAGCAGTCTCCCCCACTTTAGTCCTGGTTAAATCCTGGTTTAGTCCTGGTTTAGTCCTGGTTTAGCTCCTGTTTTGGCTCTTTTCGAGTGTCTTGTGTCCCCGTGACGGCTCCGGAAAAAGTTAATCTCTTGCTTTTGTCGAATGCATGGAGTCTCTGTACCCACTGCCTCTCCCGCTGCACATGCTGTTCCTCGCACGGACATGTATAACTATTGACACGGCCTGAAACACAATCTTTAGATCCATGGCTATTATAATAGATCCATGATCCATGGACGCTACGCATGGTGCGGTTGTTGTTTTTGCATTTCCCAGAAAGTTTTGCGGTTTTTAGTCGGCTGTGATAGGTCGAGAAGTCTTTGCCTACATCCCCCAGAATGCCTTGCGCTTCTGACTCGGCTTTACTTCCTGTGTTTTTTTCCTGTTTTTTTTCGAACGGACTGAAGTGAAACTATTGAAGTTCTATCGACCCCGTTTTCTATTGATATCGAACACGTGTCTATCGCAATATATATCGTTATCGTTTTATCGCCCAGCCCTAATTTAACATATAGTATATATTAAGTAACAAACAAAAATAGTGACGTTTGTTCCACAAATTGAGACCAGGTATTATGTATATGAGCGATCGCTGTTTTCATCTGGGCATTTGGGATGCCAAAGGACAATTCTGTTGTTTGTTTAAACAAACAATTTTTGTTTGTTTACAAGAGCGCCACCTACACGTCACCTGTAGTATAGAACATGAAAAAACGTCGAAAAGACAATATATATGGTAGGAGATACCATGGCGAGGCTTTATTATAGCAAAGAGCTGCAACTTCTAGTTTCTTATTCCATTCATCTATATTATTCTCACAACAGCATTAAAGTTACATAGGTAACCAATTTCTTTTTTCTTTTAATCTCTAGAGCAGCCATTCCCAAACTCAGTAACACCGAGGCCCCCTTAAAAATCTGACGGGTCTGAGTGGCCCCCCAAAATAATAACCAAGAGGACAACATTAAGAATAGGCTCTTCTGGTTATTTTATTTTGGGGAAATAGCCTCTGCTACAAACATTGTAATACAAAAAATATTACAGTGGATTATTCAAGTCAAATAATGAACACAAATATTTTAATATTACAAACAAAACATTATAAATTTAACATTAAATAATTATATATATATATTATTTTTTTTGTATGACCTCCCGCGGCCCCCCTGCAGTACCCTCGCGGCCCACCAGGGGGCCGCGGACCCCACTTTGGGAGACACTGCTCTAGAGGAATAAGAGTTAGCCAGACCTATAGGTCTACTCACATTTTGGATTTTCCCCTTTTGTGGTGTGGTGTCTCTGTGTGACACGTACGTCTTTCCATGTGTGACGTGACAATGACTATATAAACTGTGTACTGACTTTATTCTGTCTGAGAAAAAGAAACAATTGAAACAACTGGAACTTGAGAGAAACTTAAATAAACTTCCAGAGTTTGGCGCACCACGATCCGTCTCTGTCTGCTTCATCCCTGACAGATTTGGTGGAGGATGTGCGGCTCAGTGTGTGCCAAACTGCTTCATCCCTGACAAACACATTCAACAGAAAAGAGTTCCATGTCCTCAATCCGAGAGAAGACAAACTTGAAGGGCTCCAAGATGTTCTCATGCTCCTCACTGTCCGGGTCTATGTTACTATAATAATACTATAATCTGTCGCGAGAATACTTTTCATCGATTATAGCTCTGCTTTTAACTGCCTTGTCCCAGGTAAACTGATTGAAAAGCTCATGCCTCTCGGTTTAGTGTTGCCATGTGTAAATGGATTTTTAGCTTTTTAACTGACAGATCTCAGAGAATGAAAATCAATGTTTTTCTGATGTTGTTTCTGTGAGCACTGGTTCTCCTCAGGGATGTATTTTGAGTCCTTTGCTTTTTACTTTGTACACTCACGATTGTGTGTCCTCCTCTGAGGACACACAATCTCTCAAACCTCTCAAACTTGATCATCAAATATGCTGATGACACCACCATCATCGGTCTCATCAGTAACAATGATGAATCCTCTTATAGAGCAGAGATACAAAATGTGGTTCAGTGGAGTCAAACTAACAACCTCCAGTTGAACGCATCCAAAACATGTGAACTGTGGCTTCAGTCGTAACAGATCTCACACTCCTGTAGTTATCGACAACTCCCAGGTACAGATCGTAGAGGAGTGCAAGTTCCTGGGTTTAACTCTGTCTAACGACCTGAAATGGGTTAAAAACACTGACCGGGTTGTTAAGAAAGCTCGTCAGCGTCTCTACTTTCTGCGGAAATTTAGAGAATTTACCACTAACTCTAAGATTCTGCTTAACTTTTATCGCTGCACCATTGAGAGTTTACTTGTTGGTTCTGTGTCTGTGTGGTTTGGAAACATCACAGATAAAGAAAGGAGAGCGTTAAACAAGGTGCTCCGCTCTGCAAAGAGGACCGTGGGCTGTGAGCTTCCTGTTCTGGAGGTTCTTTATAAATCCAGACTTTTAAACAAAGCTCTTAGGATTGTCAATGACTCTTCTGGCCACCCTGGAAAAGCCTTGTTCCAGCTTCTTCCTTCTGGCAGAAGATATTGTTCTCTGAGATGCAGGACATCTCGTTATGCTAACAGCTTCTTCCCACAAGCTGTTATCAGTGTGAACAGAGCACTTTAATGATCTTGCACTTTGTATTGAAATTGTTTTAGCCGATCGTTTTGACAGTGACAATTGTTTTACTGTTTTATTTGTTTGTTTTTTTCTCTACTTTTAATGTTGTTTTATGTCTGTACTTGTGCACACTGGGGACTTTTGCTAATGAATTCCAATGTGGTTTTACTGCAAATGGCAAATAAATGAATCTGAATCTGAGTAATAGAAAGATCTTTGTTTACATCCCTGTGCACATGCGCCCCTCGCTGTGTGGCAAGAAGACAGAGCGGCACATTCTGAAGCATGGATGCGAAGAGTACTTTTAAAAGACTCAGTGGGCGAATAGCACTGTATATAAGCACTTTAACGCAAGAAGATCAGAGGAGATATAAAGACAAGCTCAAAATAAGTATATGAGACCGAACTGAACAAATTCAAAGCCCATATGAGACCTGGGATGACGAGAAAAAACATTGGTCAGACTAACCTCTGTCTTGGCACAGATCTGTTGGGACTGGGACTCAGGGACATTTATTCTTACTTCATAGAAAACCCGGGACCCGTGAAAATCTATTTCTGGCGTTTTTCATCGCAGTAAAATGGCCCGGCATTTCGCCGTCGCGGTAAAGCACATTAAAAGCGGGTTGCCCCTGTTTGCTGTTACTTACGGTAAAGGTGGAACAGGAAGCCGTGGGGAGGAGCAACCAAAATGCAATGTTAAAGATGAATCATCATTCATGAATGAATGAATGAGTGAACAAGTCCGCAGTGAAAGTAGTTGCAAAACTTACATTTGTTTTTGAATTTTTATCCCCTCATCCCCCCGGCTTCCCGTTCTACATTTACCGTAGGTAACAGCCATAGACTGTATATATTAATGGACAGAGTCACGCCTATCTCTGCTGTTCTAACTAATGGACCAAAAAATGTGCTCTACTGGAGAAATCCAAAATGGCCGCGAGTGGTCCCGCCCACAAGAAAATTGTGGAAAAACGCATCTGCGCATGCGTCAGCCGGCGCAGCTCCATTCATTTGAACGAGAGACTTCAAAAATTCACAGCAAGTAAACTAGAGTGGACCAAAAAAAATCACCCCCCTCAGCATTGACACACATGTGGAACGGAGCTTTGGGCAAGAGCCAACTTTTGGTCCATCCTGTAAAGACGTTTTTGAGAGGTCTGCCAACGCTATATGTTAGCATTGGCTAATTCTTATTCCGGGTCCACCACCATCGGCCCGGGGTGGTATTGCAAGCATGTCAGCGCACGTCATTTTGGCCACTTTTGAGCTGGGACCCTCCCCCACTGGTAACAGCATAAAAGGGCAACCACTTTACCGCGGCCGTTTTTCGTTGTTCTTTTCCGAAAGAATTAGAAAAAAAACGTAATCTGTCCCCAGTACAACCGACCACACAACAAGAATGGACCATTCGATTTGGTAAAACCTCTCTCCAAACGTTGAAAAATAGCGAACTCTACCGCATCCAGGTACCTTTCTATGCTGTAGTGCCACAGTCACGTGACCAGAGCAGAAAAACTATAAACAACGACGTCACTTGGAGATCCTCCTATACTGCAGAGCAATACTGTAGAATAATACTGTAGTAATACTTCAGAATACTGCAGAGCAAAACTGAAGAGCAATACTATAGAGTAATACTGTAGAGCAAGAGTCCAGCACCAGAGAAATGCTGAACTGTACTTCCATTTCCTGTTGTTTCAGAAACCCCAGTGGGAAGACCTCATCTGAGGCTGAGACCTGCACCCTGCCCTGTGAGACACCCCCATGTGACCCAGACATGTGACCCCGACATGTGACTCAGACATGTGACCCAAACATGTGACTCAGACATGTGACCCAGACATGTGACTTGCACATGTGACCCAGACATGTGACCCCGACATGTGACTCAGACATGTGACCCAGACATGTGACTTGCACACGTGACTCAGACATGTGACTCAGACATGTGACTCAGACATGTGACCCAGACATGTGAGCCAGACATGTGGCCCAGACATGTGACTTGCACATGTAACCAAGACATGTGACTCAGACATGTGACCCAGACATGAGGCCCAGACATGTGACCCAAGACACTTAACCCCACATTGCCTGAAGCCCCAGCTGAAAGACCAAGGCCATCTCGTAAATGACGGAGAAGCCATTTTCCCGTGGATCCACCACCTGCAGGAGGATCAGCGAGGGACTGGTGCTATGAGACTTGGGTGGCAGCTCTGATTGCCACCCAATAAAGGGGAAGACAATGACATGACATGACATAATCCTGCTTTAATCCTAGTTAGTCCTGCTTTAAACCTGGTTCAGACCTGCTTTGACCTGCTTTAGACCTGCTGTAAAGGCTGATTAGTTGATAGGAAATGTTTTATTTTGACACTTCCTGTCTCAACCGGAACCTAAGTGGCTTAAACAGTCTATGGACTTCACAAACAAACAGCTACGGTTTAGTCAATGGTCTAAATAGGAAACAGCACTGATGGTATAAAAGAAACAACAACAAAGTTTAACTACAGTTGAGATATAGAGGGAACAAGGTATGCTTTGATGAGATTTGTGTAAAAATTGTCAAGTTTGTTTAAATTTGTAAAATAATAGTAATGAAGCTGAAGCGCAAATTCAGACTGAGAGACCGGCCACAGCTCTCACCCGTTCAGGGCCAGCCAATCACACAGCTCTGCCAGCCTCGAGACTCTGCCAATCACACAGCCCGGCCAGTCTTTTGCCAACCCACTGACAGCAAGCGGGCAGTTTAAAAGCAGCCACTTCCTGTAAACAGCGCTTCCTGAAGCTCTTAACACCCACCGCCTCCCCAGCGCCTCCTCAAGCTGGCTCCTGCTTGGGTTCCTGCTTTGGCTACTGACCTGGCTCCTGCTCTGGCTCCTGCTCCAGCCCCGCCTATACATAGTTCCCACAGACCAATGAATGTCACATGACCTCCTCGGAGACGCCATCTTTGATGGCACGCTGCTGTGTTTGTGCATTCCATTAAACAGAAGAATGAGAATAAATGTAGATATTCAAACCCAAATTGGAAAAAAAAGGGCAACTTTTGAGCAAATAATTGTATATTAATACAATGGCACCACAGTTTAACGTGCTACGGACATGTTTTACATATTTGATCAAATTATGCAGGAAAAATTAACAAGCAATGCAAACATTTCTCAAAAACTTTAGATTTAATACCAGTTGGAGCTCCATTTAATTATTTTACTTATATTAACAATTAATTTAATTAATGCTAATGCCACACGGACACTCTGGATTGCTGTTATTGTTTATTTCCGCGTTTTTGACCGTATGTTTTGGTGAATGGTGGGCAACTGATTTTTCCAGGCGTAAAGAGCAGTTTATTTTATGACACAGATCTTTTTACAGAAGCAATGCTGTTTGTGAACATTGTTTTAGCCCACCATAGAACTATTATTATCTATTTAATACATTTACGTTGCCCTCGAGAGCCTCGGACGCGACACCGATCCTCCTCATAATAAAGTAATCTAACGCTAAATAATGAAACTCTCAAGTTACCAGGTATCAGCATACACAAGTTAGTACTGAGTAAATTACGTCTGTCAACACATTATGAGATACGATACGCACCTGACACAAAGTGCTCCGAGCATATTCTTGCGTGTTTTGAGGGAGTTTCTTGCCTGTTTATCATCGCAAGCCATAACCTCCGTGGTTGTTCTGACAAAAGCTTAGTCTTCTCACATTCATGAAGTCTAATGATGGGTATACTGTAAAATCCAAGTTTAACGGAACCTCCGGCACGATTTGAACATCCATTGACCCAGCAGGAGATGACCATTTTCAACTTTATCACGACATTAACACGTTTCAGCTTCTTTTTCTATTGTTTTGCCCACAGAATGCCAACACAAATGTCGCCGGGTCGGCAAATCCCCGTATGTAGTGACGTCATGTGGGAACTATGTATACACCCCATTCACACCATGCTTCTGTGACCCAGACATGTAACCAAGACATGTGACTCAGACATGCGACCCAGACATGAGGCCCAGACATGTGGCTCAGACATGTGACCCAGACATGTGACCTGGAAATGTGACTCAGACATGTGACTCAGACATGTGACCCAGACATGTGACCCAGACATGTGACCCAGACATGTGACTCAGACATGTGACTCACACATGTGACCCAGACTTGAGACCCAGACTCGTGACCCAAACATGTGACCCAAACATGTGACTTGGACATGTGACTTAGACATGTGACCCATGTAATGTGCTCCTCCAGGTCCCGGCTGGTCTCTGTGCCCAGCCTCAGGGGGCGGGGCATATCCCTACCATCATCACGGATACAAGCATCACAGTTACCATGGATACCCGGGAAGACACGCCCCCTACCCGAATCCGCTGCTGCAGCCGCGCCCACAACACACAGGTTTGTGTGTGTGGGGGTGTGTGTGTGTGTCTGTGTGTCTGTGGGTGTGTGTGTGTGTGTATATGTCTCTTACGCAGAAAAAACATGATAGTGGTTTTTCCCAAGACTGACCCCTTGGGGTCACCCACACCGTGATCATATGTATAATGATTAATATTTTTATCTATGATAATTCATATGTAACAAATATTTTACAATAAAGGGTCTAAAGTAATAGCCTGACTCTGGCCAGACCCTTGTACTTCTGCCATACTCCCCCAGAGACGTTTGGTTGAACACAAGTGTCTGGGATCGAGCGCCAATGCAAATTCCTTTAGAAGATCAAAAAATGATCTGTCAATCAGGATCTCCGGTGTAACGTCGGTTTTGTACCGGCTTTTAGCGCGTGTCACACAGCAGCCATAGCAAACCAAGATGGTGGACATAAAAAGTCTGTGAATTAAAAAAAAATGTTTTGAATACAAACGAACTAAGACACGTTTGTCACTTTTAATGCAATATGAGGCGAGATGTTGATGGTTCCATGTTGTTATGTGTGTATTAGGAGTGAAATGTTAGTGTAAAGTTTGGTTTAAGTACTGGTTTGAGTGTCCCTGTTTACAACACTACGCAGCAGAGTTGTCAGGTTGTGTGGTTTCCCGCAAATTCTCTTTCCAAGCGACTTCTAGGTATTAAATAGACAGAAAGACAAAAACAAAGTCATGAGTGCATTATGTTTTATAGCCACGTTTTTTTTGGGGCATTCTCGAGGGTTTTGGGCTGGAAAATCTTGCCGGCAACGCAGCGTGGAGTCGTGCGCTGAATTGTGTGTTTCGATGCGAATGGTTGAAGTAACACGTCATTCAAGATAACAGACAAGTGGTTTATCCAATCACATACAAGGATTTTTTCACAAGGCCCCGAATTCTAGAATTCATCCGCTATGAAGGAGATCCAGACCCTTGTGTGAAGCTCAGCAAACTACACGGGTGTGGCAAGAGTCAGGCTACTAAAGTAGGGGTCCTAACCCTAACCCCTGGAGGACTCGTCAGTTTGAGGTTGATTTTTTTTTACTCAGGTTTACTCAGGTTTTACTCCTGCTTTAGACCTGCTTTAGACCTGCCTTAGACCTGCTTTAGACCGGCTTTAGACCTGCTTTAATCCTGCTTTAGAGCAGTTGTTAGAGCACTGGTCTTTAGACCTAATGGTCGTGGGTTCGAGCCCACTACGACCCATGTCACCGGCTCCCGCTGATGTCTGCTGTTGTTGTGTCCCTGGGCAAGACACTTAACCCCACATTGCCTGAAGCCCCAGCTGAAAGACCAAGGCCATCTCGTAAATGACGGAGAAGCCATTTTCCCGTGGATCCACCACCTGCAGGAGGATCAGCGAGGGACTGGTGCTATGAGACTTGGGTGGCAGCTCTGATTGCCACCCAATAAAGGGGAAGACAATGACATGACATGACATAATCCTGCTTTAATCCTAGTTAGACCTGCTGTAAAGGCTGATTAGTTGATAGGAAATGTTTTATTTTGACACTTCCTGTCTCAACCGGAACCTAAGTGGCTTAAACAGTCTATGGACTTCACAAACAAACAGCTACGGTTTAGTCAATGGTCTAAATAGGAAACAGCACTGATGGTATAAAAGAAACAACAACAAAGTTTAACTACAGTTGAGATATAGAGGGAACAAGGTATGCTTTGATGAGATTTGTGTAAAAATTGTCAAGTTTGTTTAAATTTGTAAAATAATAGTAATGAAGCTGAAGCGCAAATTCAGACTGAAAGACCGGCCACAGCTCTCACCCGTTCAGGGCCAGCCAATCACACAGCTCTGCCAGCCTCGAGCCTCTGCCAATCACACAGCCCGGCCAGTCTTTTGCCAACCCACTGACAGCAAGCGGGCAGTTTAAAAGCAGCCACTTCCTGTAAACAGCGCTTCCTGAAGCTCTTAACACCCACCGCCTCCCCAGCGCCTCCTCAAGCTGGCTCCTGCTTGGGTTCCTGCTTTGGCTACTGACCTGGCTCCTGCTCTGGCTCCTGCTCCAGCCCCGTCTATACACCCCATTCACACCATGCTTCTAGCCACCACCAGTGCTTGACCCCGGGGGATCTGAGATCATCTACAGCAGCAGATGATCTCCCCTCTGCAAGTGTCACTGCCGGGGTCATTGCGCCAAACAAATAAATCTATTTCTGTCTTGGTCTCTTCAGATTTAAATTGTAATATAACGGTTAACAGTGTAATTAATGCTAGATTAGACGTAATTGTAAGGTGATTTTTATTTCTGTTCTGGCTCTTACGTTGGTTATATGACTATATGGAAGGACAAAATAAACTTCTTTTAAACCATCAGTTCTGACTTCAACTTCACACTCAACTGGAACGCTACACCTGCTTTAGTCCTGCTTTAGTCCTGCTTTAATCCTGCTTTAGTCCTGCTTTAGTCCTGCTTTAGTCCTGCTTTAATCCTGCTTTAGTCCTACTTTAGTCCTGCTTTAGTCCTGCTTTAGACCTGCTTTAGACCTGCTTTAGACCTGCTTTAGACCTGCTTAATCCTGCTTTAATCCTGCTTTAGTCCTGCTTTAGACCTGCTTTAGACCTGGTCCAGACCTTAACTCTTCCTTCTCCTATAGTTTGTGACGTAGACGGCTGGACTCCGCCCCCTCACAGCTCCAGGTCTGACATTATCATTGATTACGTTAATTCATTAGAATATATCTAGTAGTATCTAGTAGAATAGTAATTATGATATATTAATAATATTATTATTGTTAGTAGTATTATTATGATTATGATTATCATTATTATGATTATTATTGTTATTAATAACATTAATGATGTTTTTTCAGTCAGTATTGTCTGTGGAGCTGCGCTGAGTTAAGCCCCGCCCCCTCTCCCTGCTCATCACTCCATGGACCAATCAGCAGTGAGGGCCTCCCCCATGCAACCAATCACAGCCGAGGGGGCGCCTCCAGCTGGCCTCCAGGATCCACCCACTCTTTCTGATTCATCCAAACTTGAACAAGTCCCATTTTAATGCGTTTGATGTTTGGGGGTCAGTACCATGGATCTATTATGGTCTGTCCATTAAAGCTGGGATGACGAGTTACAGACCCCAGCTTTAAACATGTGTTATTTATGAGACTACAGTTAGGTCTCGGAACATCTTTCTCTTGTGTAACTGTTGTGACGTGTTTGAGTTTTGTGAAAATAAAGGATGAACGCCTCTCAAATTGCGGTTCAGTGATTTTCAGTGAAAGGAGACCAGGGAGGGACAAGACAGAGACCAGACAGAGACCAGACCAAGCTGAACGGTCTCGTTCTTGTTGAAAGGGCCTGGCTGCAGTTACCGTTATATCCATCAGAGTGCGCCATTGTCACAGAGACGTGGTGAGTAAAAGGGCAACACAAGCAGTTTAGTCCTGCTTTAGTCCTGCTTTAGTCCTGCTTTAGACCTGCTTTAGATCTGCTTTAGAGCTGCTTTAGAACTGCTTTAGACTTGCTTTAGACTTGCTTTAGACCTGCTTTAGATCTGCTTTAGATCTGCTTTAGATCTGCTTTAGACCTGCTTTAGACCTGCTTTAGACCTGCTTTAGATCTGCTTTAGTCCTGCTTTAGACCTGCTTTAGTCCTGCTTTAGACCTGCTTTAGACCTGCTTTAGATCTGCTTTAGACCTGCTTTAGTCCTGCTTTAGACCTGCTTTAGATCTGCTTTAGATCTGCTTTAGACCTGCTTTACATCTGCTTTAGACCTGCTTTAGACCTGCTTTAGACCTGCTTTAGACCTGCTTTAGACCTGCTTTAGACCTGCTTTAGATCTGCTTTAGACCTGCTTTAGATCTGCTTTAGATCTGCTTTAGACCTGCTTTAGACCTGCTTTAGATCTGCTTTAGATCTGCTTTAGATCTGCTTTAGACTTGCTTTAGACCTGCTTTAGACCTGCTTTAGACCTGCTTTAGATCTGCTTTAGATCTGCTTTAGATCTGCTTTAGATCTGCTTTAGACCTGCTTTAGACCTGCTTTAGACCTGCTTTAGATCTGCTTTAGATCTGCTTTAGACCTGCTTTAGACCTGCTTTAGACCTGCTTTAGACCTGCTTTAGACCTGCTTTAGATCTGCTTTAGACCTGCTTTAGACCTGCTTTAGACCTGCTTTAGATCTGCTTTAGATCTGCTTTAGATCTGCTTTAGTCCTGCTTTAGACCTGCTTTAGACCTGCCACCTGCTTTAGATCTGCTTTAGATCTGCTTTAGACCTGCTTTAGACCTGCTTTAGACCTGCTTTAGGCCTGCTTTAGACCTGTTTTAGACCTGCTTTAGACCCCTACCCAGGACGGGGTCTGGGTAGGTCTGGGATGGGAGACCCCTGTGAGAGAGCGCTGTCAGATAATAATGACAGAGGTTTGTTTGTTTTATTGGTCCAGATCCAGAGGGATTTGTCTTCAGACGTATGTGAGGAAATGAACCATCTTAAGAAGTTAGTGACGCTTGTTAGATCCACCTGAGACCAGAGAGAGACCAGAGAGAGACCGAGGGAGATCCGAGGGAGACCGAGGGAGACCAGAGAAAGACCGAGGGAGACCAGAGAGAGACCAGAGAGAGACCAGAGAGAGACCGAGGAAGACCAGAGAGAGACCAGAGAGAGACCAGAGAGAGACCAGAGAGAGACCGATGGAGACCAGAGAGAGACCAGAGAGAGACCGATGGAGACCAGAGAGAGACCAGAGAAAGATCAGAGAGAGACCGAGGGAGACTAGAGAGAGACCAGAGAGAGACCGATGGAGACCAGAGAGAGACCAGAGAGAGACAGAGGGAGATCCGAGGGAGACCAGAGAGAGACCGAGGGAGACCAGAGAGAGACCAGAGAGAGACCAGAGAGAGACCGATGGAGACCAGAGAGAGACCAGAGAGAGACCAGAGAGAGACCGATGGAGACCAGAGAGAGACCAGAGAGAGACCAGAGAGAGACCAGAGAGAGACCGATGGAGACCAGAGAGAGACCAGAGAGAGACCAGAGAGAGACCAGAGAGAGACCAGAGAGAGACCGAGGGAGATCCGAGGGAGACCAGAGAGAGACCGAGGGAGACCAGAGAGAGACCAGAGAGAGACCAGAGAGAGACCGAGGGAGATCCGAGGGAGACCAGAGAGATAGACCAGAGAGAGAGACCAGAGGGAGAGACCAGAGAGAGACCAGATAGAGACCAGATAGAAATACCAGTGAGACCAGGGAGAGAGACAAGAGACCGAGACCTCAAGAGGTCAGGGTCTAAAGTAGGAACGGTTCAGACCTGGTTTTGATGTTGTAGGAGGAGCAGATGTGTTTTAAAGACAGTCCTTGGGTCCAGGGTCAGACCCGCCCCTCACATCTGCAGCTGTCACAGAGACCATAAACCAGGACTGAACCAGGTCTAATATTTATTCCTGGTTCAGTTCTGTGTAGTGGATTATTGGTCCGAGCGACTGTCTAATGGAGGTGTGTGATTGGTCTGGGGGTGTGTCACTCGTGTCTATGATTGACAGGTGGGTAGGTACAAGGTCAGGCTCCTGATTGGCCATACAGGGTCAGTGGGCGGGGTCAAGGCCAGGCCAAAAAAGGAAACAGCAGTGGCGTAGTAGTAGTATTAGTAGTATTAGTATTAACAGTAGTAGTATTAGTAGTAGAGGGTCACAAAAGTATATGTTTCGTTACGACCATGAACACATCCAGAGACTGTTTTTCTCATTTGTGAAATGACCTGAAATATTTCACCTATTCAGGTTAAGAGTAATGACAGAGCAGACCAGCTGGGACCAGACCAGGTCTGGACCAGGTCTGAACTAGGCCTGAACCTGGTCTAAGCCTGGTCTAAACCTGGTCTAAACCAAATCTAAACTCTGTAAAGTTTCTCTCAGAGCTGGTTGTGGGTATAATCTCTTTAATCCAATGAAGCGCAGATGGATCCGGTCCAAACTCTGCATTAGGACTTGGCCTAGGCTCGGTCTAGAATCGGTCTGGGACGAGACCTAAGGCAGGAAGTGTTCTGAATCAAACAGTCTATTCTCGTCAGACTCTGATGAGATTCAGATCCAAGTGTGGGAGAGACTTCACATGAGACCAGGTCCTAGGCTGGTCCTGGCCCAGGAGAGCTCTGACTGCAGACGCTGCTCCCTCCTCACTGCAGACGAGAGCTCTGACTGCAACACTCACAGATCCCAAACCCAGTGAAAGCTCATACTCTAAGCCTGGTCCTGGTCTTGAGGTCCTGACTACATGTTTCACATCACATAGTAAACTCAGGTTCTCCTCAGGAGGACCAGAGACCGGAGACCAGAGACCAGAGAATAGAGGCCAGAGAGAGACTCTGGATGAGGATGGAGCAGTGAGTGAAGAGAGAGAGGAACACACACATCATCTGCTTTAACTAAAGACACACAACATTTATCTGTGACTTCTGCCTCTTCCTCTGCTTCTGTCTCTGCCTCTGTCTGTCTCTGTCTCTGCCTCTGTCTCTGCCTCTGTCTCTGCCTCTGTCTGTCTCTGCCTCTGTCTGTCTCTGCCTCTGTCTGTCTCTGTCTCTGTCTCTGCCTCTGTCTGTCTCTGTCTCTGCCTCTGTCTCTGCCTCTGTCTCTGTCTGTCTCTGCCTCTGTCTGTCTCTGCTTCTGCCTCTGTCTCTGTCTCTGCTTCTGCCTCTGTCTCTGTCTCTGCCTCTGTCTCTGCCTCTGTCTCTGCCTCTGTCTCTGTCTGTCTCTGCCTCTGTCTGTCTCTGTCTCTGCCTCTGTCTGTCTCTGCCTCTGTCTGTCTCTGTCTCTGCCTCTGTCTGTCTCTGCCTCTGTCTGTCTCTGTCTCTGCCTCTGTCTCTGTCTCTGCCTCTGTCTGTCTCTGTCTCTGCCTCTGTCTGTCTCTGCCTCTGTCTGTCTCTGCCTCTGTCTGTCTCTGTCTCTGCCTCTGTCTCTGTCTCTGCCTCTGTCTGTCTCTGTCTCTGCCTCTGTCTCTGCCTCTGTCTCTGCCTCTGTCTCTGCCTCTGTCTCTGCTTCTGTCTCTGCCTCTGTCTCTGCCTCTGTCTGTCTCTGTCTCTGCCTCTGTCTGTCTCTGTCTCTGCCTCTGTCTCTGCCTCTGTCTGTCTCTGTCTCTGCCTCTGTCTGTCTCTGCCTCTGTCTCTGCCTCTGTCTGTCTCTGTCTCTGCCTCTGTCTGCCTCTGTCTCTGTCTCTGCCTCTGTCTGTCTCTGTCTCTGCCTCTGTCTCTGTCTCTGCCTCTGTCTCTGCCTCTGTCTCTGTCTCTGCCTCTGTCTCTGCCTCTGTCTCTGCCTCTGCCTCTGTCTCTGCCTCTGTCTCTGTCTCTGTCTCTGCCTCTGTCTCTGTCTCTGCCTCTGTCTGTCTCTGTCTCTGCCTCTGTCTGTCTCTGTCTCTGCCTCTGTCTCTGCCTCTGTCTGTCATGTCTCTGCCTCTGTCTGTCTCTGTCTCTGCCTCTGTCTCTGTCTGTCTCTGCCTCTGTCTGTCTCTGTCTCTGCCTCTGTCTGTCTCTGTCTCTGCCTCTGTCTGTCTCTGTCTCTGCCTCTGTCTGTCTCTGTCTCTGCCTCTGTCTCTGCCTCTGTCTCTGCCTCTGTCTCTGTCTCTGCCTCTGTCTCTGCCTCTGTCTCTGTCTCTGCCTCTGTCTGTCTCTGCCTCTGTCTCTGCC